TGGAAGCAGGGCCAGGCCACAAAGGAAGAATAGAAACAAACCGCAAGGAATTGCAGAGGTGGCATCAGGAAGGCTAAAGCAGGAAATAAACTGAGAACAGCAAGGGATGCTAAGCACAACAACAAAGCCTTCTTCAGATACATCCAGAACAAAAGTCATGCAAAAGAGAAGGTTGTCTAACTAGTTAAAGTGGATGGAAGAGTGGTAACAGATGACAAAGAAAAGGCAGAGACACTCAATTCCTACTTCGCCTCAGTCTTCTCCCACAAGGAAATCTGCAATCAAGAGGATGTACAAGCTGAAAGTGAGAGATGGCAGCCCAGGATTGACAGACGAATAATCAAGGAATACCTAAGTGGAATAAACACTTTCATATCTCCAGGCCCTGATGAACTCCATCCCAGAGTCATAAGAGGAACTCTCAAGAGCCACTGGCTATTCCCTTCGATAAATCTTGAAAAACAGGAGAAGTGGCAGATGACTGGAGAAGGGCTAATGTTGTCCCTATCTTCAAAAAGGGGAAAAATGAACCTGGGAACTACAGCCCAGTTAGTCTGACCTCAATGCCTGGAAAAATTCAAATTAATTAAATTTGAATTTAATTCAAATGTTACCCAGCAGATTATTAAAAAATTGGGGGAAACAGCAAACACCCAAGAAGACAGAATGGAGATTCAGGGTGATCTTGATAAACTTGAACACTGGGCTGAAAGCAACAGAATGAGATTCAATAGGAACAAATGTCAAGTCCTCCACCTAGGAAAAAGAAAACAAATGCATGGATACAAGATGGGGAATATGTGGCTCAACAGAACTGAAAAAGATCTTGGAGTAAGTGTGGACAATAGGCTAAACATGAGCCAGCAATGTGATGCAGCTGCCAAAAGGGCAAATGCTATTTTGGGATGTATTAACAGAAGTATTACTTCCAAATCATGAGAAGTAATCATTCTTCTATACTCCTCGTTAGTCAGACCTCATCAGGAATACTGCGTCCATTTCTGGGCACCAAAATTTAAGAAGGATGCAGGTAAATTAGAAAGGGTCCAAGAGGGCAACCAAATGATCCAGGGTTTGGAAACACTGCCCTATGAGGAGAGATTGAGAGAAGTGGCCTTGAGAAGAGAAGATTGAGGCAGGACATGATATCCCTCTATAAGTACCTCAAAGGCTGTCAAAAAGAGGAAGGTCAAGCTCTCTTCTCGCTGATGCTAAAGTGTAGGACACAGAATAATCATTTCAAGTTGCGACAACTCAAATTCGGGCTGGACATCAGGAAAAGCTTCCTCATGGTCAGAGCAATAGCACAGTGGAACCAGCTGCCTAGAGAGGTGGTGGGCTATCCCACTCTAAAGACATTCAAAAAGAAACTGGACAGCCATCTGAATGGGATGGTGTAACGTGGTCTCCTGCAACAGTGGGGGGTTGGACTCAGTGGCCTTCATGGCTGCTTCCAAATCTACTATTCTATGATTCTATGACTGTTCAGATGCTTTTTCAATGTCCCAGTGAGGGGGAACCCACAACCTTCCCAGGTAATAGGTTCCATTTTCTACTGCATAGTGTAAATCTGATTTCTTCTAACTTAAGCCTATTATTCTGTGTCCTGCACGCTGGAATGAAGGAATAAGGATCATGTCCTTCCTCTGGGTGACAGCCTTTGAGATACACGTAGAATGCTATCGTATCACCTTTCAGTCTTCTCTTCTTGAGGCTGAACATGCCCAGTTCTCTCAGTCTTTCCTCGTAGGGGTTTGCCTCCAGTCCCTGAATCATCCTTGATGTCCTCCTCTGTGCTCTTTCTAGCTTTTCTGCATTCTTTTAAAACTTAGGTGCCGAGAAGTGGACACAGTACTCCAGGTTAGGTCTGACTAGTGCTGAATATAGTGAAACTAGTATTTTGTGTTTTGGAAGTGATGCCTCTGTTAATGCAGCCCCAAATAGCCAAGTTTGCTGTGCTACTCTTAACTACTTCCCTCATAACTACTACATCATGCCTCCCTGAAACACTGGCAACTTGCTTCATCCTCTTGGTTCATTCGTATCTTCTCCTTGACTGGTGGGTCAGTAATAGACTTCAATCATTGTGTTACTTTTATTCCTTGCTTCATTTATATTAATCCAGATGCTCTCGATGAGGTTACTAAGGTCACTCTCCTGAATTTCTTTGAAGAGATATGTATCTAGCAGAGAGTTTGACTCCACCTCCTTTTCTGTTCCTTCTATTCTTCTTATGTCCTTCAGTTTCTGAATTCCAGTCATGGGAGTCATCCCACCAAGTTTCAGTGAAAGCTATCAGGTTGTATTCACCCTCCTGTTTGTTTCACATATGCGGGGCATTAGTACATAGACATCAAAGACCACATGCTTTATACTCAAGCTTTCTTCCTACATTTTTTGGAAGACCATTTATTGAACACTGTTAGAGCTGCTTTCTCTGTTGTGTTTCCCAATCCGTTGTCTGTTATTACCCTTCAGTGTACTTCTCCAGCCCCTGTAGGATTCTCTTTAAAGCCCTCTTGATAAAATTTGTTCATGCTGTGGGAAAACACATTCTTTGTAACGCCTTGTAAGGTGCAACCCTTCCCTTGCCAGCAGCTTCTTCCAGGAAATGTAGCCCGTGGTCCCAGAAACCACATCTCTCACATCAGCATACCCAGGCATTCAACAGCAGCATTTCTGTTCCCTACCTATTCCTTTTCCAAGAACAGTAAGGACTGAAGAGAAAACTATCTGGGCCCCAAAGTTCTTGAATTTCCTTCCCAAAACTTGAAAGTCTTATGTGATTTCTTCACATCTCTTCTTAGCAGTGTCATTTGTTCCTACATGTATAAGAAGGAAGGGATACATTTCAGAGGGCTTTATGAGTCTTGACAATCTTTCAATTACATTACTCATCTATCTTCCAGGGAGACAGCATACCTGATGAGTCCACAGGTCATCATGACATACATGCGTTTTCAGTCCATGAAAGCAGTAAGTCTCCTACAAATGACACTCTTCTCTTCTTGTTCTTGCAAGTCTTGGTATCATTGTCTACGCTTGGTTGACCTTCTGCTCAGTGTTGCACAGGAAGACTTGTAGTTCTTTCACCGCAGGCTATCTTCCAGTCTCAAGTAACTGAAGGTGGTTCCGTAGTCCCACTGCTTCCACTGCGGCAGAGTTCTTCTGCTCCTAGCTGTCACCCTTTCCCAGGGAGTTTCCTCCTCATGTCCCCTTCCTTCAGGATTCTCCTTTTCTGGTTCAGTTTGCTTCTCGCTCTCACCTTTTCTTCCAGCAGAGATACTAGCTTGCACTTGTTGCATATGTAGGAAATGTTGCCCTCAGTCAATAAAATAAAGGTTGCACAGACCTTGCAGGTCACCACCACTGGGGCGTCTTCTCAGCCCATACGCTCTACTGCCTTTTTAAATTCTACTTTTTTAGCCATGTTGCCACCACCAGTGATTCCTGTCTTCCCCTGATGGTTAACAACAGTGTTCCCTTTGCTCCTGCCTTTGTCTCCTCCTCTACAACAATTCTACTGCCAAACTCCTGTTAGCTCTCCCTGCTCATTTGCTCTGTGGGAGCTTGCTTGCACAGAACAGTTCTGAGACCAGCTGTGGTACAGTCCTTTGCTTTGCTCACCTAGGAGTCAAGAACCAGAATGAATCTCACCACCCAGCTGCTTAGAGTGACCAGGTCACTCTCCTTCAGTTGCAACTCTCAGGTGCATATGGGGAGCACACCGTCACTTGGAAGAGACAGTTCCTTGCTATTCCACGCCACTCACCCCTTTGCCTATGCCTCCTCTTCCAGAACAACTCTGCTGCAGTGATAACTTTGTTTTACTAAAGATAAAAGAAGAACCACAAATAGAGTAAGGATTCTTTATTGCAGGACTACACTGCGGGTCTTTCCTTAGGGTGACACCATCCACTTAGGACAGCAGCTTTCCTTCTGTCTCAAAGAAGCTCAGGAGAGCTTCCAAAGCACTCAAGTCAGGACTGATAAGAATTTAAACTACTTTCTACTAATTAGTCTACAAGTCAATGATCTAATTCTTTGATTTCCTGAAAGTGATACCCTACCCCTACACCTGCACAAGGCCTCTTAGTTGCTTCAATAAAATTTTACCAGTTTTCCTTTTCTGCAACTACCAATCCCCATCAACCTCTCCTGAAACCTTAAGCAGTTCTATTCTTTAAGCCTCTCCATCTGCTTTCTTTCAAAACTCCTTCATTTTCTTTACTTTCTTCTCTGTACTAAAATGAGTGCACAATTCCTCAAAACATTTTTCCTCCACATTCGGTCACCCCAAAAACTAAAATTGTTTGAACTCTTTTTCCTTCCTTCTCCCAACCCCTTCAATACAAGGTACACGACTTTTGTAAGGAAGACATGCTTGCTCAGCAACCTATATTTATTAAACTTTCTAATTTTTAATGTCACAGAGTGCCAGTTCCAGCATCCATTCCCCCAGGTGCATTCTTATCCCTTGGCATCAATGTGAAAGTATCAGGGAAGCAGCATCTACAGAAGCAACACCTCCAGTGCCTGAAAGGCTGCTCCTGCTACTTTATGAGAGGGCCAGAAAAACAAATATAGAAAAAGCAGCATAAACATATGGAAAGTAGATCAGGTGGCACAGTTACAGATCAGGAAGCTCATCAGGAACGCCCTCTCCCCAAAAGAATGTTGCTGAGGGCTTGTCTGGCTCAGCAATTGTACCTCTACTTCCTTTCCTGTGTCGGAAGACAAGCAGAAGGAAGTGAAGTCCTGGGAAAGACTGATTGATGTTCTTTTTAATGCCTCAGCTCTGTGGTCAGTTTGATACCAAGCTGAGCTCCTCAACAGTTTGTGCCAAGGCTCAGTGCAAGACAGTGGACACTCCCTGCACTGCACCCCATCCCACAAAGAACTGGGTAAAAAGAAAGCAGAGAGAGGCCTTCTTCTTTGCAAACAATTTATGCCAATCGCCAGATCTGTATTCCAGAGCTGAGAAAAAAGGATTCACTCACCCATTCTGGTAGGTGTGCTTCATACAAGCAAATGCTTCCAGTGCAAACCACGTGCCATAGGTAAAGCACACACCCCAACTCCTAATAGGAAGACAAATCAGTCAGCAAATGTTACCTATTTGGGAGGGTGAACTTGCTCATGTTCACTGGTTTGTCCACAATTAGCCATGCCCCTTGAAAAGTTCAGCTCCCACTGCTATACAGGAGGTGGTTGGATGAAGGAACTGAGCATAAGGTTCTCAATTTCCCTGCAACGATATCTTTCAAAAAACCTAGACCTGGAGTTAAGTAGGCTTAACCTGATGACATTACATAAAAGGCTGGCCTCTGTAGACTCAGGTTCAGCATGGTCCCACCCCACTCCCAGCTGCAGTAACTCTGGGAGCGAGGAGCATAAAAGCCACATCCTAGTGGGGAAAGGGTGCTGTTGAAGGGGCAACATCAAGGGAGGCTGCCCCTTTTTGGGAAGCCACTTTGTGGTGACCCAAGGGCAAGGACCTTCTCCCCTGCCTGATACCAGGAAAATCCAGCTGCTGGGCTGCCTGCTAGAGGGATTATAAATGGGTAACGGCAGCCTGTAACATTGAAACTGTCTTTCAGGAAAGGAGGAGGAGGTGGAGAATCAGAGGCAGCTATCACCTATACGAGGCAGAGGGAGATACGGGGGAAGGGGACTGCTACACCATAACGAGAGAAGATGCACTAATAGAGTGCTGACTGTCCCCTCATTATCCCATATTTCAGATAACATGAATCGTACTGGCAACAGTTCCCTTGGGTTGAAACTGTTGATGAATGCCAAGTCCATGAAGAGTAAAACTAGTGCTGTCTAGGACCTGATCCTGGGTGAGTACACTGGCCTGGCCTTTATCAGTTTCCTAGCTGAATGTACCTGGGGGATTTAGATGCATCCCAGCCCTGCCCACCAGGGTTCTCTGTCCAGCGGCAGGCAAGACCTGGACGGTGAAATGATTCAGTAGCCCATCAGGGTCTATCCGCCTGCCCAGGTGACCTCTCCCACAGGCTGCTGGATTTATGTTTATTTGAAGGTGGGTTCCTGGGACAAATTCAGTATTCTGCTGGTGTACCAACCACCCCACTGTGCAACAGTTTCCCTTCCTGAGCTAGCTGCGAGAGTGCTGGGGTTGGGGTTGGAAATTCTGCAGAGAAGGCCTTCCTCCAAGTACTCTCCCTCCTAGGGCTCCCAGAGTAGGGCCTCCACCTCAGATCTCAAGGGGTGGGAGGGCACATAGGGAAGAAGGCGCTTGTTCAGGTATCCTGGACCCAAGCCCTTTAGGGCTTTATAGGTCATAACCAGCACCTTAATTTGGTCCTGGACTTCAGTTCATAGCCATTGTTACTGGCAGAGGACTGGCGCTATAAGTGAAAACTGGTCAGTCCCCGTCAACATCCTGGCAGCTCTATTCTGAATCAATTGGAGTATCCGGACCATCTTCAAGGGCAGCCACACGTGGAGTGCATTACAGTAATCCAACCAGGAAGTCACCAGAGCATGGACCACTGTTGCCAGGCAATGCCCATCCAAGTAAGGACGCAGTTGGTGGATCAGCTGAAGCTGAAGGAAAGTGCTCCTCGCCACCCCTGCCAACTGGGACTCCAGGGACAGCTCTAGGGCAAAGGGCACTCCCAAACCGTGAACCCTGTCCTTTAGGGGGAGTGCACCCCATCCAAACAGGGCTGAAATCATTTGCCTGGAAGGCTGAACTGCCAACCAACAGGACCTCCATTGAGACTTATATGGATAAGTCTCAATTTATTGGCCCTCATCCAGCCCATTACCTCGGCCAGATACTGATTAAGGACAGTCACTGCCTCACCTGGACTAGATGAAAAAGAGAGGTAGAGCTGGGTGTCATCAGCGTACTGATGACTCCGCAGTCCAAACCTCCAGATGACCTCTTCCAGCAGTTTCATGTAGATGTTAAAAAGCATGGGGGATAAAATGGACCCCTGCGGAACTCCATGGCAAAGTTGCCATGGCACAGAGCCATAGTATCCCAGTACCACCTTCTGGAATCGGCCAGACAGGTAGGAGTGGAACCATTGCAAAGCAGTGCCACCAACTCCCAACCCAGCAAGCCTATCCAGAAGGATACCATGGTCGATGGTATTGAAAGCCACTGAGAGGTCCAAGAGAACCAACAGGGATGCACTCCCCCTGTCCCTCTCCCTACACAGGTCATCAAACAGGGCGACCAAGGCAGTTTCAGTTCCATAGCTGGGTCTGAAGCCACTGAAATGGGTCAAGATGATCAGTTTCCTCCAAGAATGCCTGGAGTAGTCCTGCCACCACCTGCTCAAGCACCTTGCCCAAAAACAGGATATTGGCCACCGGCCTATAGTTGGTGGCCACCTCTGGGTCCAGAGACACCTTCTTCAGGACAGGTCTTATCACCACTTCCTTCAAAGAGGCGGGAACCCAGCCCTCCCTCAGAGAGGCGTTGATGACCTCCTGCACCCAAAAATATCCCATTTTTTGGCTTTGGTGAGCAGCCACGAAGGGCAAGGGTCAATTAGGCAGGTGGTGGGTTGGACCAATCCAAGCACCTTATCCACATTCTCAGGCTGCCACAATTGAAACTTATCTAATAAATGTGGACCAGATGGCGCTCTGGACACTCCCTGTTCTAGGACCATATCAACTGTGGAGTCCAGCTCGTGGCGAATCTGAATGATTTTATACTTAAAGTGCTGGGCAAAGTCCTCACAGTGAGCTGTGGATGGTGCAATAAGATCCTTTTTAGGGCCAGAATGTAACAGGCCATGTACCACCTGAAAAAGCTCAGCTAGACGGCACTGTGAGGATGCAATGGAAGGGAAGAATTCCTTCTTTGCCACCCTCACCACCACAGCATAGGCTCAATAATGAGCTCTAAGTTGTGATCGGTCATATTTGTCCCAGGTTGTCCTCCACCTAAGCTCTAGTCACCTCCCAGCTTGCTTCATTGCCCGCAGCTCAGGCGTATACCATGGCACCGAGCAGGCTCCGCATGCCAGGAGAGGACACTTAGGAATGATTGTGTCAATTGCCCTGGTCACTTCTCCATTCCACAAATCAACCAGGGTATCAACAGGAGCGCCAGCTTTATCAAACAGAAAATCTCCAGAATCCTCAGAAAACCATCTGGATCCATGAGACTCCAGGGGTGGACCATTTTAATAGGGTCCGCATCCTTACAGAGGGAGAAACTGGCCCCAAGTTCAAACTTCATAAGGAGGTGATCTGACCATGACAAACGGGTTAGAGTCATATTCCTCATTTCCAGACCACCATCTTCCTGTCCCATTGAGAAAGCCAGGTCAAGAGTGTGGCCTCTCTCATGTGTTGGATCAGTGACATGTTGAGGCAGCCCCATGGCTGTCAGGGTGGCCTCTTGGCTTGGGCTTTGGTGACCGAGCCCTTTTTCTTGTGAGCCATTTGGGTAGGGGCCTTATCAGAGGCTGTCCCAAGGCTCTGGAATACCCTTTCTAGGTTGGCGACTTCCCTGTTAGGTTTTTTTAATACAAGCAAAATACTTTGTATTCCAGTAGGCATTTGAAAATGTCCTGTGAGTTTGTCACTGAGTTAGTTTTACAGTTTACATTTCTGTAGTATTTTCAATCTTGATAGTGGGTTGAATGTTAATATTTGATTATATTTTAAACTTTGATATATTTTTGAATATTTGGATTATGTGAATTTTAATGTCATGAGGTTCCTGGAGTCCCAATCATTAGAAATAGGCAGGATATAAATATATATGCCAGTGTAGTCAAGCAACCTTTTCTTTTTGAGATTTTGAAGATATTTATAACTTGAAATAAGCTTCAATCTTGGATTAAATCAAGTATTAAAAACAGCAAAAGCCTCTGTAGGTTAAAATAGATTTTTGGGACATATAAAGAAATTAAATATTTAACAGAAATGAAATAGCATGGTTTGAATCTCAATCAGGCAAATAAATGCTTATATGAATTTGTTTTTCTTACAGATGTAAAATTCATCATAATATTTTCCTAGTGTTACCTTTTACATACCTATTTAGATAAGAAGCCAGGTCAATGTATGTGTGTGCATGCATGCATGTGTTTTATTCAGCCTAGTTGTTAATACTGCAGCTAGGTCCTCATTTGGCTTTGCAACGACTGCAATCTTTACCTTGTTTCATGATTCTGAAAGACTGCCTGTTTCTGACAGACATGCAAAAACTGAGATAATTGAGGAAGGACTCCTTGGAGAAGAGCCTAATGCTGGGAACAACTGACGGCAAAAGAAGAAGGGGACGGCAGAGGATGAGGTGGCTGGATGGAGTCACTGAGGCAGTTGGCGTGAGCTTAAGTAGATTCCAGGGGATGGTGGAGGACAGGAAGGCCTGGAGGAATGCTGTTCATGGGGTCGCGATGGGTAGGACACAACTTCGCAATTAACTACAACAACTAGCAGACAGATCAGCCATGGAAGGAATTGTGTCTTGCCAAAATGAGACCAATTTTCCCTATCCCAATGGAGAGTCGCACAAGCTGCAGGAAGTGGCACCTGGATCTAGAAAGAAACTCACCCTTCCCAGGAGCCGTCAGGTCTTTGCACTCTCCGGCAGTACTGCAAACCGTTCTGGAGTGTCTCTCTAAGCAAAAGGAAACAGTGGGAAATCTTTGGAACTCATGAGTATTCCCTGCTCTATCTTACCATCACTGAGTCATTAGTGACAACTCAGAGTAATAAAAATGTTCAGTTTGTACACATGTCTCACACTGAGATCTTTTAATGTTCCCATTTACCCATGCCCCACAGAAGGGCTGAAGGCACAATTATTTACATTCCAAGAGGCTTCACTGGAGAGAATGTTCACTTGACATGACTCTGGAATTAAGGTTTCTCTCCTCGTTCACTTTGTTTTTTTATTTTCATGGAATCATAGAATAGTAGAGCTTGAAGGGGCCATGAAGGCCATTGGGTCCAACCGCCTGCCGTTGTAGGACACCAATTTACACCATTCCACCCAGATGACTTTGTTGTTCTTATTCATTTTACCTGATCTCTAGTGACCGATGCTCAGGGAAGCGATCATGGAAATGTTTCAGTGCCTGCATCACTGCTGAGGTACACTCTACATAAGTATAATCTACCATGATGTCACCTGCAAGTCACAGAAAGAATAAGGTAAGTGTGCCAAATGAGCAGAAGCCAACAAACAAATCCTTCCATGGAGGAGCTTTAGAACATGTTTCCTAAAGGGGAGGGAATCCAGGGCCTGGAATGTCATTTTCCATTGTAAAGTTGGTGCTATGAAGTTTCATATCTGTGGGACACACACTATAAAGCACAATATTACTTACGAGCATGTGCATTACACACCTTACTTTCACCCCCCTCCCCCCGCAAACGATATAGTTTTCTGATGTAGGACAATGCTAATTCTTGCAACTTGAAATAATTTCTCTCTTCTTTTCAAATGAAATACTGATCAGTTTTGTTACTACAGACAGACACAACTGTGCTGGGGTCACCAGGAACCAAGTAAAACTACCTTGAAATGGTAGAGCCTTTGTTCACCAGAGACAGTTCACCCACTGACCAACAGTAGGCTTTATCTCTGACTGCTGTGCCAATTACCCAGAACAATTAATTCAGGCAGATCCCATCCTGTTTGAAAGTCCAACAGCTGATGGGAATGCAACATACGCTCCTAGTCTTACCAAACACCTCAGAAGGATTCAGTAGCTCCAAAAGCCAGCCTCCACGCATCGTTTCATAGGAAGAAAAGCCCCCATCAGCATTTTGCATGTTCAGCAACTAAAACCAGATATAGAGGAAAAAAGTAATTGTATATGATGCATATGTGTGTAAGAAGGAATTCAGAGAAAAGCTGCAAAAATTTCCAACAATACCCAGGCCTGAATCATCAGGAATATTCTGAAAAGCTCCCAACCATGTTGCTTACCCAGCCCTAAGTTTTGCCCAGAAATCCCAACCTCTAGTTTGCGACCACCACAAAAAGTTAGTGACACTGCACTAAATTTTGGGTGCATGGGTGGGTGGCTGGGTGGGGAGGGGCAGGAAGGTCTCTACAGTCTCTATATTCTGACTTGCTCTCTTTCTCTGTTTCTAAATGCTGCCTCTACTTCTCCATGCTCACCACATCCACAGCATCAAAGAGACGGTCAGGTGGAATGTGGTCCTTTATGAATGGGCATTTTTCCTGCAGTAGCATCACAGACTTCAGCCCTTCTGCGGTGCAATCAGCAACTATCCATCCACAGTCACGAGTACTGAAAGGAAATCCACCCTGCAGATTAATAGAAAATAGAGATTTTCTTAAGCAAGGAAAGCAAAACAAGATCTCTTACAAAATAAGACCGCAGATATTAGCAATGCAGATGCCTTCCTGCAGAATTTCCTAGTCTTTTAGCCAAAATTAAGTTAGCATTTTGGCACAGGGAAAGAATTATTCTGATTGATTGATTTTAGATAGCCCATATATTTTGTAATTTGGAAATTAAACAATTTCCACCCAGTTCAGGTTAAAAAAAATCTACAATTAATTCAGAATATTTCAGAGTGGTAGACACGTTTCTCTGTAAACTGCATGTCATTTTCAGTTACAGGAAGACAGATATAGGTTAAAGACTAGAAAAGCTTTATGAGCACTTTAGCAGTGGAACAAGCTACTGAGAAAAGTTGGAGTATCTTCCTCTTTGGGAAATGTGCAGGGAAAGCTTTGGATATCCTTCAGGGTTGACTGAATATCTGGCAAAGTGTTTCTGTGCTTCCAAAAAAGGCAACCCTTCAAACCAGGATTCTATCACATTCTTATGACTGTACCTTGCTCATCTGACGATAGTAGCTCTTATAATCAGGAGGATTATCTGGAATCTGGAGGAGACACAAACCACACCCAAAAGTAGCAGGCAGGAGCAATTCATACTACAGGAATAGCATTTTAGTAATTACTCTGCATATGTTACAGACTTAAGGAAAGTTGTTACATCGCAGCTTAAAACCATTCTAGAATCATAGGCTCCTGGAATACTAGAGGTAGAAGAGGTCATGAAGGCCATCAGGTCGAACTCCCCGCTGCAGCAGGACACCAATTTACACCAACCCACTCAGATGACCGTCCAGTTTCACTTGGAATGTCTGTTTATTCTTACATATATTTCTGCAAGCCAGTGCCAAAAATTTTTCATGTATGCATCCAACATGTACCGTATTTTCCTGTCTATAAGATGCCCCACGTATAGGATGCCCCCCACTTTTCTTACCGACCTCCGAGAGCCAGCTGCTGCCATACACGTGCACCCACCGCCTCCCTGCATGCGCATCCCACCCCACCTGCATGCGCCCCCCTGCATGCGCGCACGCCCTCGATCACACCAGTATCCCCCCCCCAAGCGCACCTGTGGTTCTCCTCTCAGCCCCCTGTGTATAAGACGCCCCTCCATTTCTAGGTAAAATTTTTTAAGAAACAGTATCGTCTTATACACGGAAAAATACAGTATGTTGAGAGCCAGTGTAGCACAGTGGCTAAGAGTATGGGTTTGGGACTCAGGTGATCTGGGTTCTGCTCCCTGCTCAGCCATGGAGCCAACTGGGTGACTCTGGGCCAGCCACAGGCTCTCAGCCCAATCTACCCCAGAAGGCTGTTGTTGTGGGGAGGAGTGCAGGAGGTGGAGAATGATGTAAGTTGCTTTGTGTTCTTCTAGAGGAGAGGAGAGGAGAGGAGAGGAGAGGAGAGGAGAGGATATAAACTGAATTAAAAAAATTAACATTTTCTAAAAAAGATGATATAGTGTCTTAAGGACAAGCAGAAGAGGTCACAAATGTGACTGCATGGTGGTGGGAGTATACTTTTCAGACTTTAGTATTTATATTTGGTACAAGGGTTGCACACCGTTTCCCAGAGGCAGGGGTTCAGGCAGTCCGAAATAAGCATTCAGCCATGTGACAGATTCCTGGGAATCCTGGAGAGATAGGTAAGTCTATGCAGTTCTTGGGGAAAAAACTCAATGTACATTGCAAAACCTCACTGAAGTAGATCACAAATAGTTAGCTAGCAAGTTTGTAATTATCTGGTAATTTGGCACTTACCTGCGTGATTCTGAGGAACTCATGAGCATGTATCAGACAGGAGGTAAATTCCGGTAACTTCTGGGCATCAGCCTTTTAAAAAAGTTGTTTTGAAGCACTTGAATAAATGTGAACGTGAATACATCACTCATGATCCAAAGTAATCTCTCAATAAGTTATTTATCTTCAAATGTTTTGAGAAAATGAAGGCTACAATCATATATACAGTTGCTTGGGAGCATGCCTCACTGAAGTAATGGCCAAAATCGATGTGACATTAATTTTGTGCATTCAATTATCACACACTTTTAAAAAATGAAAACAACTTTGAATGTGAGGTCATGCATCCATGGAGCAGGGAAGAATTACTCTTTTCCTCCCTGTCACATTCCTGACAAAAAATTCCCTTCGGAACTCCTAGTTTCATTTCAAGGTCAGCTCCCACTGGCACCAGCAGGGACTCCTTTTGAAATACAAATAGCAGAAAAATGATTATTTTCAGGACTGTGGAACTAAGAGAAAAAATAAAATTCCTCCTCCTCAACCTCACCTCAACTGGTCCTGAAGTCAGTCTATACCTACTATTTACAAAGCAAACAAACAAAAACAAACAAACAAAAACCTGGATTCAAATAGAAACATAGCAAGTGAGAAGGGGTCTTTGGGCCTGACCTTCAGCACAAGCTGGCTCCATTCATATAATATCCAACATGTGGGTGTCCAATCTTTCCTTGAATGCCCTCACTGATGGGGCTCCCACCACCTCCCAGGAAGTACTTCCTGACATTCAACCTAAAACCCAGTTCCTTGAACTTGCCCCATTGGACCATGTCCTTCCCTCCACCATAGGGAAGAACAGATCATGACCTTGTGATACTCCTTCACATACCTGTAAGTCGCTATCAGATTCCCTCTGAGTCTCCTCTTCTCCAAGCTGGAAAGTCCCAGTTCCCTCAATCTCATCTCATATAGCCTCCAATCCAACTACCATCCTTGTGGCCCTTCACTGAACTGCTTCTAACCTTGCTATGTCCCTCTTGCAATATGGAGCCCAGAACTGGACACAGAATTCCAGTTGTGGGAACACCAGAATCTTATAGAGTGGCACCAGCACCTCTCTCAACCTGGAAGCAACACCTCAGGCTATACATCCAAGGATGGCATTCACCCTCTAAACTGCCACATCACACCGCTGGTTCATGTTCATCCTGCGGTCAACAAGTACCCTGATATCCCTTTCACAAGTGCTGATCTCCAGCCACTTGTCCCCCATTCTGTACCTGTGACATCTATTCCTCTGTTTTGCACTTATCTGTGTTGAATGCTCCACTGATAGTTATCCTATGCTTGCGGTCTGTCAGCCATGCCCTGATCCATTGGACAGTGCATTGATCTATCCTGAAGCTCATCAAATTCTCTTCTTATTTTTTTCATTTAATTTTTATTCTTTAAAATACAAAAACAAATACAAAAACCATATAATAAGGAAAAAAACACTCGGTACACAAAATAAAGTTTAAAAAACAGAAATCACCCTTAGTACACCCCTTCACCCAAGCCATGGCTGCCTGGTATTTTTTTCATTTTTCCGTTCTTTCCAAGATACCCTCTTCCATCAAAAATTGCAATACATCCTTCGTTTTATTTTGTTTTATCTCACATGTCCACTTGGCATTAACTGCTATATTCCAAATAAATTTCCAAATTATGGAATATACCATTCAATTAATTGGAGACCCCTTTTCTGCTTCCATGTCTTTGCTAATAACAATTTTGCTCATGACACTAAATTTATTATTATTATTAATTCTTTGATGTTCCACTTCCATTTCTTTTCACTGAAATTTAGCAACAATGCCATTTCAGGATACACTTCAATTTTTACATTCAATATCTTACTGATCTCCTTAAAAATCATATCCATATTTAAAATGTTTTCATATCCCCACCACAGATGGAAATAAGTACCCATATTTTGTCCAAATCTCCAACGTAAATTAGAATATTTCTTATCCATATAAAATAGTTTAACTGGAGTCATATACTATTTCCATACTAATTTATAATTTTTCCATAATTTTAATTGACATACTTTTTAATATTCACTTATCCAATATTTCCCCCCAATCATCCTTGTCTATATCCTTCCCTAAATCAATTTCCCATGAAATTTTTTAAAAGATCATATATATCTTCCCTGTCTAATAAAATCTTATATATCTCACTTATGATTCCCTTTGTTTGCATTCCGCCTTGCGGCTCCCTATTCGTCACAATCTCCTCAGATTTGGTAAGATCTCTACACTTACCATTTTTCAGCAATCATTCTCTAGTCCATTGTTCTAATTGCATAACATTAAACCAAGTTAATTTTCCTTTTCCAAATAATGCCTTTATCCTTTCCTTGTTATCAATTTTCTCCATCAAATCTTTTACCATAAATTTTGCTTTTCTTTAAATACCTTTCTTAAATTATCCCTCAAATTTTGTGGAAAACCTCTTATCTTTGTAACTGGAGTTACTGGTGAGGAGATTGGCATGAATTCTTCCCTATATTCATATCAATTTTTTAAAAGGCAATTTTCTATCTTTTTATCATGTTGTTTAAAAAAAGATCCCTCTCTTTCCTGTTGTTCCATCTCTGCCCATATTATCTTGTCTGGCTGCAAAATAGTATTTGGTATATATCTTGATTTGTTTCATAAAATTATTTTCTATTTGGAATACCTAATCCTCCCCCTTTTTGTATACCATCTTTTCTTACTAATCCTTGATTTCTTATCTTTATTATATAATTTATTAATAATGTTTTGCCCATCTTCCAAATCTTTCCCTACTAGCCTAACAGGAAACATCTGAAACTAAAATCTTAAGTAAATTTTCATTATACAAGCTGCTGTCCTCCCAAGACATGATAACCCTATTTTTCTAAATTGCTGCAAGCTTAGCCTAGAACTTTCTGTAGGAGCCCACTCCCTCTCTTCCCCTATATAAGTGGTGGGCTCCCACCTGAGTATGCTATAAGCAAACAATGGAATGTATTCACTAACCGAGAATATGAAGATGGAGGACAAAACAATTTGTCATGAATATTATCATTACCAAAACTGATGAGGGGCTGGTGGGTGGGTTGTGTTAATGCACAGATAACCACTTGAAGAACTACAGTTACAGGTATGCAACCTGCATTTCTTCATCATGGTTGCCGAGCATCACACATATGGGTGATCAGCAAGCAATTTGGATGGGAGGTGGGAGGTGCTGGCAGGCCAAACACCTATATGGCACATCCATATATCTGCTCAGGTGAGTAACAGAAAGAACAGGCCCAAACATCTCAACATATACTTGAACTTGCTTATCAAACATAGCAAATGATGCAGTTAAGCCAAGATAGCACTAAGGCACAGTGTCCAAGAAAGCATGCACAGTAAGTCCACTAGTGCAAGAGTAAAGAGTATATGTACAACTATCATGCTAAGACACTGAGTACAAAGTATTACTGAAGAACAGAAGACAACAACACCCTCCCAAAGGAGCAGTCCCTCCTTGCTCTAATGTCTAACTTTTAATGTTTAACAAAGGTAGATGGATTAGTCCATGTCGCTGCCCTGCAAAGCTCCTCAATCGGGAGACTGGCATGCAGGGCCATCGATGTTGAGACAGCTCTTGTTGCTTGTGGCTGGACAGGCAAGTCCAAGGAAGACAGTTCACAGGCGAGCTTAATGGTGTCCACAGTCCAGTGCACCAAACGCTGGGGGCCCACTGGATCTCCTTTGGACCAATCACCATATTTAATGAATAGATGATTCGTCTAATGGGTAGATTCTGTCCTGGATCAGTAGAACACTAAAGTGCGACGGACATCAAGGGTGTGTAAAGTCTTCTCAATGTCCAAAGAGGGGAAGGGGTAAAATGCAGGAGGACAATATCTTGATTAAGGTGACGGACAATGCTACCTTGGGTAGAAAGGACACATCAGTTCAGAGAACCACTTTTTCCCTGCGGAAGGTCAAGTACGGGGGGGGGGCACCCATAGTGCACAAAGCTCACTCACCCAATGAGCTGAGTGACTGCAACAAGGAACGAGACCTTCCAAGAGAGTAATATTAAGTCAACAGTTGCAAGGCGCTCGAACACTGGTTTAGTTAAGGCATGAAAAACCACAGAGAGACTCCAAGAGGATGCAAGTTTTTGAGCCCTTTCATAAACTGCCTGGATAATGGATTAGAAAAGATGGAGTGCCCCTGGAGTGGTCCATGAAAGGCAGAAATCACAGACAAATAGACTAATTGAGTTTGGCTTGAGTCCAGACAGATGTAGAGAATGCTGAAATTCCAGAACCTCTGCATCGAAGCTGAGAAAGGACAAACTGATGAAGAAACACAAAATTTTCAAGCCTTGCCCACTTAGAAGAATAAGAGTGTCTGGTGGCAGGTCTAATTGCTGCTGACAGAACCTGTTGAACTCCAGGGTCCCAGTCCCTTGCGTAAAATAGTCCAGAGCCATCCAAGAGGTTGCAGAAGTACCAACTGAATCTGCAGAACCCTGAGGTGATGGGATTTGGCTCCATCGGCACTGAGGAAGGCATTAGATCAGAGGAGCAGACTGAAGCGATCGGGTTCAATCCCATCGGAACTGAAGACAATACTGGGTCAGTAATATATTCACAAAGTGGAGACAGAACTTCACCCAGGAATGGAGATAGGGAAATGATGTTCTGCCAAGTCAGAATGGTGTGCAGCCTGAACTGACAGAGTCCGAGTGGTAGTTACGATACCCTCCAGGCTGTGTGGCAAAGTGTCTGATCTCCTTGTCAGAGTAGAACCCCAGAGCTGGACGCTTGGGTTGGGCCTCACGCTCCAAAAGGATAGGTGTCTGGGACCGTTGGGTCGGAGACCTTCCAATTGAGGATTCTCAAACCAGAGAAGCCCTTGGGACTAAGGACCACACAGGAGTCGTCTGTCTCAATGGTGTGCTCAGAGTTCTGTGCTGGTAAGAGAGAGTTCCACCCATTGGAAGTGCTGCTTTTACATTTTAGCCTTCTTTACCAGTCCAGCTTCCTCAGTCTTGAGGTGCTTTTACTTTTCCTTCTTTTTCTTAGGCACCTCCAATTCCACAGAAGGCTAGGTATGGGGAGCACTCGACTTAACCTTCGACGCCGCACCAGTTTCCGAGTGCTTTTTACAGGCCTCCTTAGAGGTCGAAGCGGCTTGTTCTACTTTGGGTACCTCTCACATAGCACCAAGGGCACAGTCCCACAGCACCACGCAGAGCCTTCCCACCTGGTGCCTGCAAGCCTGCTTACACTTCTCAACACTGTGTTCCTTGCCCAAACAGAACAGGCACAAGGAATGTCCATCAGAAGACAGCCTCTTAATACTGCAGCTGGCACACTTTCCGAATGCTGGTTTGCTCAGCAACATCAGGAAGCCAAAGAAAAAGAGAAGGAGAGAGAGAGAGAGGATAGAAGGATTATATATAAGTGGAGGAAGGGTAAGGAGGAGAACGAAGATGAGGGTCGAGAAAAGAAGTGCCAATAGAAAAGTTTTATTGTGAAAAGAAGCAGTGAGGAATAGTTCTAAGGCAAAAGTTCGGAGTACACAGAGAAACAAGAATGCTGGAGAAACCCAACGCACCTCGCAAACGGCAGTCAAAAGTGAACTGAGAAAATGGTGAGAGCATGCCGCATATATAGGGGAAGGGAGGGAGGGGGCGCCTGCAGAAAGTTCTGGGCTAAGCTAGAGAAATCTTCCTGAACAAAGCACGGAGCAGGCGCAGCACCCATATGTGTGATGCACAGAGACCACAAAGAACTGGTTTCTCAGCCTCAGCTCTGTGCCAGATGTCAGGGTTGGGGAGGAGGAGTAATGCGAGGCACATCTTTTTGGACCTTATGTCGCAATAGACAGGCTTAAGAATTACACTGTAAGTAACTTTAAACAAATAATATTGATTGTTCTGGTTCTGACTCAGAGCTGAGCAGACCAGAGGAAGCTTCCCCAGCTGGTATAGGAACTATTGGATACAAACAACCAAGCACCCAGATAGGGCTCAATCAGAGTGAGTGAAGAGGAGCTAACAGAAGTTTGGCAATGGGAGAGGTCAACGGAAAGGCCCTTAATTTTTTTCCCCTTATGTACCATGAAGGAGGGAGCAGCTATAACCATGCACAATAATAGTCTTCCAAAAAATTATAGAAAGTTAGAGTACAAAATATGTTGTCTTCAACATCTATATACTAATGCCTGAAGTACGGAAAACAAACTGAATTAACCTGAACTCTTTAATACAGGAGGGCTAATATGAACTCAACCATGTAATTGAAACTTGGTGGGATGATTTCCATCCCAGGAATTCAACAACTGAAGGATATAACCTGTTTAAGAAGAACAGAAGGAATGGAAAATTGGGTAGAACTGCAGTATATGTCTCCATCTTCAAAAAGGGCAATAAGAACGATCCAGGAACTACAGACTATTTAATCAATCCCTGGAAAAATTCTGGAGCAGATTATAAATTGCAAGTCTTTTGTGGAGGCATGATGCCATCATTATGGGGGACTTCCCTAATATCTGTTGGCAGTAAAACTCTGCCAAAGGCATCACTGATCACTCCCTCCAGCAGAAAATCAAAGTGGGAATAAGAGGTATGGCTTTACTCAACCTGATCCTAAGCAACAGGGAAGACATAGTGGACAAAGTAATAGCTAAGGGACCTCTGGGGGAAAGTGACCCTACCTTACTTGACTTCTCAATAATAAAGGAAGCTAAGACTAAATGCAGTCAAACAGGCACCCTGGATTTCAAAAAATTCAGGGCAATGATAAACAAGTCCCATGGCGAGCCGTTCTAAAGGGAAAGGAGCCCAAGAAAGGTGGGATTATTTTTAAAAAGAAATGCTTAAGGCAAAACTGCAAACAATTCCAACAAGAAAAAAGAGTAGTAGACAACACAGGAAGCCTGTAAGGCTTCACGAAAAGCTAAGACCCATTTCAATCTGGCTTCAGGTCTGGCTATGGAACTGAAACGGAACCTAGCTTGGTCGCCCTGTACGATGACCTGTGCAGGGAGAGGGACAGGGGGAGTGCGTCCCTGTCGGTTCTCCTGGACCTCTCAGCAGCTTTCGACACCATCGACCATGGTATCCTCCTGGATAGGCTGGCTGGGTTGGGAGTTGGAGGCACTGCTTTGCAGTGGTTCCACTTCTACCTGTCTGGCCGATTCCAGAAGGTGGTATAGGGAGACTATGGTTGTTGCCAAGCTCCTGTTAGCTCTCCCTGATTGCATGCTTTGATCACTTGCTCTCTGGGAACTTGCTTGCTTATAACCAATAGCCCCTAAACCAGCTGAAGCAGCTTCCTCTACTCAGCCAGGAGTCAGGAAACAGAATGAAAGCTCCTTTCCACAGTAAACCCAAGAAGTACCGATTTGTTTCTGAAATGATGATGATGATGCAAAATCCTTACTTAATTCAATGCAATGGAAACTGTTAAGATTCTGCTTATATTATTATATTAAATTACATTCATATTTGGGGTTGGCCCCAAATCAGATTAAACAGATTGACCTTTATCAAATGAAACCTTTTTCAGTCACATAATATATGACCTAATTAATGGTCTCTTTTTTAGAGGGGTCAGAAAGGAGAGTATGTCCAGAGTCAGTCCAAATAGTTAAGTCTGGAATTATGTACACCAGTGGTCTTCAACCTTTCTACAGCTGGGGACCAGTGAAAACAGGAAAACCACTCTGGGGACTGCTGAGGCAAAAACAAAAGGCACCATACACACAATACAGTATTCTGTGTATTAGTTTCCAAACATAATACCAAAAAAATGAAAATTCTCCAAAACAACCAGAAACCAAGCAACAAAAAATGCTAACAAAAGAACAAAATACCAAAATCAGTGCAGCGTGGCTCCCACTGTCTCCTCCCTGCCCCTCTGGTGGCACCAGAGCAGCCCCCACAAATGTGATGCCGACTGAGGAAGACCTGGTGGAGCACAGCCAGCCAGTGGCATGTGGCCCCCTCCATGGACCAGCAGGAAATCTCCTGCGGACCGGCACCGGTCCATGGACCAGTGACTTCAAAACACTGATGTACACTCCTTCCCAACAAATGCTGCTTTTTTCATCCATGTACCACGTGACATAATTATTAGCCCCAAAAGTGAGTTTTTGGGGGTACTACCCCCTAAATGCCCTAGTAGTTGCTCATAAGACGGAACTTTTATAACATGTTCAGATATTCAAAGCTTTTCTCATGTTGTGGAGTAGGACTAATTGATCCTCTTAGCACAAAATTACTGGCTATAGGCATGGCAAGAGTTATATTTTTCTAAGGGGACAAGAGTAGCGAAATTTCAAGTTAAGACAAATGTATGAAAAAATGGTATTACCTCCAGGAAAGCTTGGACAGCAAATGCTGTATCCCAAAGCTGGGAACCGTTGGTACCCTAAAAGAAAAGAAAGGCATACTCTAAAACCAAGCTGAACTGTGATCTGCCAACTTACATATGTTTCAGCCAATCAATGCACACAACCAATTCTAAGAAGGTTGAAAATTTGCTAAGAGACACTTTCGCATTTATGCATCAAATGGTAAGATTTCTCTGTTTCCTTCTGTAACCTGTAAATAAGAATTGACTCTGTGAACTCACACATCTGGATTCTATTCCTGCATAAAACAGCCAATCTAGATATGAAAAGACATGAAAAGAGTTTCAGCTGGAGTCCCATTCATCCTCTTTCATGCATGTTTCAGGTGTGCCTCCTGCCTCCCACTCAGTCTGCTTCAGTAGAAGAACAAATAAGAGTAAGATATCAAAGCTGAAGTAATTGCAATGGCAATAAGAAACCATATTTTCATAGTGAGAAGGTGGTCTGCTGTGACCACTAACTCAAAGCGTTTGTCTGTATAAGAAACAGTGAGAGACTCTAGGATGGAACTAGAGGGGCTGTAGATGGGTAAAGGTTGGCAAGGCCCTTGAGAAAAAGCATAACATCTGGATGCAAGCAGAGCAAAGAGCCACTGGCCATGATAAGACCTGCAGAGATATACACAGAGTGATTAGATGCTAGTCCATTCTTTTTATGGGAGAGCAAAAAGTCAAGCACTAATGTGAGATTGTACATCTCAAGACATTGTTCAAGAAACCTATGATTGTTTCAGGACATTGTTCAAGAAACCTTGGTTTCATCCAACTGGTGCTCCTGGTGAAGGTTTATTTGAACGTGCAAACTGCTTTTTCTTTCTGCATCCGAAGGGAGCTCCCCATCCAGAGAGTGAGGCATCCATTGTGATAGCCAGGTTCAGTTCCAGAGGGGTGAATGTGTCTCCAATAGCAGTATTAGCCTTATCAGACCACCACTTAAGATCCCTTTGGATCTGCAGTGGGATTTGAAGCCTGGCTGTATGGAATTTGGTTTGGAAGGAGGTCAGGAACCAGAGCTGGAGAGGTTGCATGTGCAACTGGGCAAGTGGTACCACAGTGATAAAGGTGGCCATGAGGCCAAGGACTTGCTGGATCCTGGTGACAGTGACCGTGCCGTCCCTGATATGACAGGTAAACTCTTTGGTGAGGATGCACAGTCTGTCAGGTGATAAGAAGGCTCTCATTGAGATGGAGTCAAGACATGCCCCACTTCGATGGACAGAGAGCATAGGGGAGAGACAGGATTTAGTTGACTTTATGTATAAATTGAGTCTGATAAGGAAGCTGCTGGAGTACAAAATGAAGCAGGGCACAGCCTGGTAGAACTTTGTCAAGAGAATACAATGTTCATAGCAAACACTCTTTTCCAACAGCCCAAGAGACGACTCTACACATGGACATCACCAGACGGTCAACACAGAAATCAGATTGACTATGTGCTCTGCAGCCAAAGATGGAGAAGCTCTATACAGTCAGTAAAAACAAGACCAGGAGCTGACTGTGGCTCCGATCATGAGCTTCTTGTTGCAAAATTTAGGCTTAAATTGAAGAAAGTAGGGAGAACTAGCACTAGGCCACTCAGGTATGACCTAAATCATATTCCTGATGAATATACAGTAGAGGTAACAAATAGATTTAAGGAATTAGATCTGATAGACAGAGTGCCTGAAGAACTATGGATGGAGGTTTGCAACATTGTACAAGCGGTAGCAACTAAAACCATCCCAAAGAAAAAGAAATGCAAGAAAGCAAAATGGCTGTCTGAGGAAGCTTTACAAATAGCTGAGGTAAGAAGGGAAGCGAAAGGCAAGGGAGAAAGATACACCCAACTGAATGCAGAATTCCAGAGATTAACTAGAAGAGATAAGAATGCCTTCTCAAATGAACAGTGCAAAAAATTGAAGAAAACAATAGAATAGGGAGGACCAGAGTGTCTTCAAGAAAATTGGAGATATGAGGAGTGAAAAACCACCCACTGATGAACTGATTTTAAAATAGAATGTGGACTGTGCTGAAATGGACAGGCTGATTTTGTCTCTGAAGCAGAAAGAGGATACATACTTCTATCAAATTTTTATTATTGGCTAGAGAAACAGGACTATGCATATATTTGAATATGTCTATGGATTGCTATAAAAAATAATAGGGAGCTGACCCAGCAGGTCTGATGACTCTGATGACTGATGTCTTTTTTAGTTTCTTTTTTTAGTTTGTAGAAAATAATAATAAAATTTACTTTAAAAGAGAAAAAAAGAAAATTGGAGATATGAAGGGAATGTTTCATGCAAAAATGGGCATGATAAAGGACCAAAAAGGCAGAGGCCTAACAGAGGCAGAAGAGATTAAGAAGAGGTGGCAAGATTACACAGAAGAACTATACAAGAAAGAGCTTAACGTCCCTGACAACCACGATGGGGTGGTCACTGACCTCGAGCCAGACATCCTGGAATGTGAAGTCAAATGGGACTTAGGAAGTCTGAGCAACAACAAAGCTAGTGGAGGCGACAGTATTCCAGCTGAGCTATTCAAAATCCTAAAAGATGATGCAGTAAAAGTGCTACACTCAATATGCCAGCAAATTTGGAAAACTCAACCGTGGCCACAGGATTGGAAAAGGTCAGTTTACATTCCAATTCCAAAGAAGGGCAATGCCAAAGAATGTTCAAACTACTGCACCATTGCACTCATTTCACATGCTAGCAAAGTTATGCTCAAAATCCTACAAGCTAGGCTCCAGCAGTATGTGGACCGAGAACTACCAGAAGTACAGGCAGGGTTTCAAAGAGGCAGAAAGAGTTCCACAAAAACATCTATTTCTGCTTCACTGTCTATGCTAAAGCCTTTGATTGTGTGGATCACAACAAATTGTGGCAAGTTCTTAAAGAGATGGGAATACCAGACCATCTTATTTGTCTCTTGAGAAACCTACATGGGGGTAAAGAAGCAACAGTGGGAACTGGACATGGAACCACTGATTGGTTCCAAAATTGAGAAAGGAGTTCAGCAAGGTTGTATACTGTTGCCCTGCCTATTTAACTTGTATGCAGAGCACATCATGAGAAAGGTGGGGCTAGATGAATCACAAGTTGGAATTAAGATTGCCGGGAAAAATATCAACAGCCTCAGATATGCAGATGATACCATTCTAATGGCAGAAAGTGAAGAGGAACTAAAGAGCCTCTTGATGCGGGTGAAAGAGGAAAAGACAAAAGTTGTCTTGAAACTCAACATCAAGAAAACTAAGATCATGGCAACCGGTCCTATCACTTCCTGGCAAATAGATGGGGAAGAGAGGGAGGTAGTGACAGATTTTATTTTCCTGGGCTCCAAGATCACTGCAGATGGTGACTGCGGCCAAGAAATTAAAAACATGCTTGCTCCTTGGGAGGAAAGCTATGACAAATCAAGACAGCATATTAAAAAGCAGAGACATTGCCCTGCCAACACAAGTTCATATAGTCAAGGCTATGGTTTTCCCAGTTGCAATGTATGGCTGTGAAAGTTCGACCATAAGGAAGGCTGAGTGCCAGAGAATTGAAGTCTTTGAACTGTGGTGCTGGAGGAGACTCCTGCGAGTTCCTTGGACTGCAAGAAGATCAAACCAGTGAGTCTTAGAGATCAACCCTGACTGCTCTTTGGAAGGCCAGATTCTTAAGATGAAACTCAAATACTTTTGGCCACGTAATGAGAGAAAAGGACTCACTGGAGATGAGCCTAATGCTGGGAACAATAGATGGCAAAAAAAGAAGGGGATGGCAGAAAATGAGGTGGCTAGATGAAGTCACTGAAGCAGTTGGTGTGAGGTTAAGAGGACTCCAGGGGATGGTGGAGGACAGGAAGGCCTGGAGGAATATTGTCCATGGGGTCGCGATGGGTTGGACATGACTTCACAACTAACAACAACAAGGAAGTTGCATGTTAGTTCAGTAGCCTGTATGGAGGCCTGTCAGGATGAGGCAATGATAAGCCAGTTGCCTAAACAGGGGTATGCACTCACCCCATGAGACAAAGGTGGGCACAAACAACAGCCATAAACTTTCTGAATACATATGTTGCTATTGCTAGGGCAAAGGGAAAGACAGTGAATTGAAAGAGTGGTTCTTTGACCTGAAAGTGAAGGAAATGTCCATAAGACTCTGATAGAAATATGAAAGCATGCATCTTTAAGGTCCACCGAAGTGAACTGTTTGTCTTTGTACAGTAGTGGTAAGATAGACCAGATTGAGACTATCCAGAAGTGTTTAGGCTTGATGAAACAATTGACACCTCTAAGATTGAGGGCCTGAAGACCTCCATCCTTTACAAGTGTAAAGTACCTGAAGTAGAAGCCAGGGGTTCTGGGCTACACTCATTCTATGGCTCCATTTTGAAACAGAGAAGAAACCTCTGCAAGTAGGGTTTCAGGAGTGGTTTTCTTTATGGTACCAGGTGAAGGGAGGGACTCAAACACAATTCAGTGTCTATGGAAGATGATGGAAAGTACCCATGTATCTGAGGTGATGTCAGAGCAAGAGTGGAAAAAGTGCTGGAAGGGATGATTGAAGGATGGATTGAATGAGAGAATAGGCTGGTAAAGGAGTCATAGGTGTCTCCTGACTTCATGCTGGCATCTTATTTTAATGACAAGTTCTAGTTGTCTTGAACTTGGGTTTTATCATATTGAGGATGCTGTGCTTTGCTTTGTTTTGTTTTGTTTGTTCTTCTGCTGTAAGTCGTCCCAAGACGTCAGTGGTGGATAGGTTAGAAAAGCTTTAAATAAATAAATGTATTCTTGTCTGTACTTTTGGCCTTCAGTTCAGTTCCTTCAGGGGGTTACATCCCTTCCCTGACAGTTCCAAGATAAATCTGCCAATTTCATATTTAAGATTTCATGCATTTGATGAAGTGGACCAAGTCCATAAATGCTTAAGCCACAGCAAACGCATTACTTTTTAAGCTGCCACAAGACACTGTGTTCTTTAAGGTGTTAAATATAACCTTTTTATAAACATTTCTCTCACAGTGAATTCCAATACAATTTAAAATTCAAAATGGTAACAGTGAAACATACAATAAAAATGTAGGAAGAAAAAAAGGAAAGCAATTAAAACAGTAGAGTGATTTTTCTTAAATTATCAGTCTTTAAAAACAGAAAAGGAAGAAAAGAGGAAGAAAAATAAGGTCTTTTCATCTTTGTCTGGAAATAATACCTGCATCTTCAGGCCATCCAGTCCTAGCCTGCAAGGAGACAAAAAGCACGCAATGTTGCTTTCTGGGTGAACTTCAGCAAATTTCATATAGCCTTGAGGAACATACGAACAAGAGGGCTGTTCACTGCCAGCACTTACACACCCCATATCCAAAGCTTTCAAGACAGGGGCATTGAACCTCTTTCAGTCTGAGGGCCAAATTTTGTTTCTGGGAAGTTCTTAGGAGCTGCATTCTAATGGTGGAGAGGGTGAAAGGCAGATAGGGCTGAGAGCACGAGCACTAAAAAATGCCAGCATACATTAGCGTAAACATTTACTGTCTGGGCATTCCTGCCTTTTGCAGTGGGGAACAATTATACAAAACTTGGAAAACCACCAGGTTGTTGGGGGAAAAGGATATGGCCATTTGCAGAATCCTGAAAAGTGAGACTGGGATTGCCGAAGGGTTGGGTTTGCCCCCTGGATTTGATGTTTCCCCACTCTTGTGTTAGGTTAAATGTATGGTCCTGGCCATTTGGAGAAAATCTCTATGTGGTAATGGCTGGTTCTGGATGTGGAGAACCCAGGATCAAAATCCCTGCTCATTTTTGAGATTCACATGGTGGGCAAGTCACTCTAACAAACCTAACTGGGTTGCTTCCCAAGCTTTGCTCTGATCTCTTTGGAGGAGAGTACAAGTATGATTTAACAAACCTTACTAATTCATGTGCTCGGGAACTTAACAGACTGTTTACAAGGCTAGCTGCCCCCTATAACACTTGACAATATTGCTCCAGTCACAACAGTGCAATTTTCTAAGCATGGCTTAAGCAAAACAGAGTTTTGAAAGCATTATGTATAATACAGTGATAAGAACGTATACTTTTGGGTTTCAATAAAGCCTTACCAGAGGTAGTCAGGGATTCTAGAGACATGTTCTTGGAATGCAGGAGACTTGTCTCCATCCACATACCAGCGCACAAGCATGTTAATTGTTTTAGATATCTACATGGATAAAGACAGGCTAAGAGTTATTTCCCCTGAGAAGGCTAAAGCAATCAGCATCCAACATTCCTGCCTCTGCACCAACACAGTTTCTACATCAAGTTCTCATGAAAACCAATCCAGAAAGAAGGCTTCCCGAGGCACTGGATCAGTGGATTCAGGGACCAACAAACTGGATGGATCAAATAAAGAATCATCAGAAAGCTGCCTTGTATCAGGGCAGCCTATTCCACTATCTAACCTGGTATTGTCTATGGTGACCACCACCAGCTCTCTAGGATCTTAAGTTCTTTACAGGTGGGAGACGCCAAGTACTTGGGACCTTCTGCACACAACTCGCATGTTCTGCCACTTTATCTACAGTTCCTCTCCAGTGAACATAACAGGCCGTATTTCCAAGGAAGTGTGTGTAGAACTGTAGCCAAAAGTTTGTGAGGTGCTCACAAAATGTTTGTGAGGAACACCATCGGTGAGGGTGTTCAAGGATAGGCTAGACATGCACAAGCTAGGCATGTCATGAGTGGAGCCGGCTGGAGATGGGGGTCAGACTAGATGGCCTGGGAGGCCCCTTCTGACTCGCTCAGTTTCTATGTTCCTATGCTTCTAAAAAGAGGCAAAATGAAAAAAAAAATAGTTAGAAAATTTAACTGCTCCATAGACTAACGTGTACTTGTTGGTATTTTTTCCAAACAGGCCCCCTTACCATAACCTCCCTGGCAACTGCTATCTGTCCCTGCCCTCATCTTTTCTGAACAGTCCTCCATCTCAAGACAATTTGCCTTGTTTCAGTGCTGTTTTCAGAGCAGAGGGGATTTTAAAAGTATTCCCAATTTACTATTATGTTTAAAAGTACAGTGCTATTGTTATATATTCGTAATTTTACTCAGTGGGTGAGATTTCTTTTCAAAAATTCAGTCTTCTAATTTAATGAAAAATATGTGAAGGCCACCAACAAAAAAGTTGCAGTTCATTTCTTTTGTTAAACGGAAAGAGAAATTGTAACCATAACATTTTCCAACATCAAACCTAAGAGACAGTCATGGCAGGCTGCCCACACAGGTAGCCCATATCACAGCAGGTAACCCCCTGAAAAGTTACATTTCCCTATTTAAATACAGGGTGTCCCGAAAAAAATTGACATCATTTCGTAGTCGAATAACGTGGCCAATACTTGCTCAAATGATCTCAAATTTTAACAAAATGTGTAAAAACTAACTAATGTTAGTTACGCAATGTTATGCAAGACATGCCACAGCGTGTTTGGCAGGAGGTGGACTACCAACTTGACATGTGTCGTGTCACAGGCAGTGCGCGTATTGAACATTTGTGAAGCTTTGTGAAATCGTTTAGAAAATCTACATCCCTTTGAATCTCTTGCTCGAATTTTGATAAATCTTTTACTGTTCAACATGAAGCCTATTTAATTTTGTTTGCCTAGGACATGTAGTTGCTCGGATATTCACATTTCAAGTAATGTCAAATTTTTGGGGACACCCTGTACAATACAAATTAGAGCAGCAGTGACTGGGGTGAAGGATAAACTGTAACACACACACACACACACACACACACACACACAGTGGTATGTTGCCCTTTCCTTAAGACAAAGGTTATGTGTCGGGAGCTGGGCTTAGAGTGACAACAGAGAATGGCAGGAATCAGCTTGCAAGTGTACAGCAACACAACTTTAACCCACTTGCACCATCTGATCCAGAGGAACTTTTCCTCCTCTGACCTAAGTGTGCAAGGACACTCTTCTGGATAGTTCAGAGCAAATCAAAGATGAGTGATGACATAGAAAGTAAAACTGGCATGTGTGTGATATTATAACGTATAGCAGAGGCACGCGCTTCAAGGTTCGACTCGACCGTCAGGTTCACATTTTGGGAAAAAGCATGATTTGGAGGCCAGTTAAACCAAGAAAAGTTAATTAAACTTTCAGATTCAGGGTTTTGTGCCTCCAACTATCATATCATTTTTCAAAAGCTCTTTTTTCTCTTTGTCATAACTGAATGAAATTTACAGGCATATAGCTCTTTAGGAAGGATTGTACCAACCAAAAGACAGAAAAACAGACACAGCATTTTTGTGTTACGCATTTTTGTTGTTTGATATGTTTAGTGGGAGGGAATTGCTAATAACTTATAGAATTATATGAAAACTGTGGTGATTGTTGCCCCTTCTGAGTGGATGGAGCCTCTCAAATTGCAGAAGGACAGAAGGATAACTGCATGGGTCATGTTCAAGGGCAGTCTTGATATTTTGAGAGTGTCCAAAAAAGAATGTATTTATCTCCCTGTGCTCCTTATGGATCATTCTTCTGAAAATGACAGTCTAAAGGATACTCTTTCTAAGCAACATACAAATTTTCACAAGGACAGCTGCTGTGGCTTATGTAAAAAGGTGAATTCACGAGTTATTTGAGTAGAATGAGGCACTTCCCTTTACCTCTCCCCTCACTTTTTTTTTTGGGGGGGGGAGGCAATTTGTATGAAAATGGCATACATAACAGAGGTTCCTGATTCAGCTTAGGTGTTGGTCAACCAATGTACATCCCTAATGTATAATGAGTAATAAGACTCTCCAGGAAGAGATTGTACTCTAGTTGCATTTGTTTAATCTGCTATATTCTCAGCAATGATTCCCACACTGTATTCCTGCGATGGAAACATGTCATTCTACTAACCCAAGAAACCAGAGCCTTTGTGTGCATGATGGGCTATGTTGGTGTGCAGGTGGTGACTGCCAAGAACAGAGGCAGAGTAGCTTTCCATGAAGGAGGTGGAGGGCTGAGATTATCCCTGTTGCAGGAATCTCTCCTGGATTCTTCAGGCACCTGTCAATCAAATTACCAGTGAGAATGTGCAGGTAGCCCTAAGGCATGATATGGGCACATATCAGGCTGGAGCCACCAAGGAAAGGATTGAGTTAAACCTATACTGCCCTTCAGTGTGGACATTTTAGTGCTGATTGCACTGTGTTGCTGGGGGGTCTTGTAGGGAAAGTATCATAGAAGCATAGAATAGCGGAGTTGAAAAGGGCCATGAAGGCCAACCCCCTGCTATTGCAGGACACTACATTATACCATCCCACTCAGATGGTTATCCAGGTTCTTTTTGAATGTCTCTAGGTAGGAGAGCCCCCCATCAGCTTCAGTCCTCCGTCAGCTTCACTGGCTTCCCATTGAAGTCCGGGCCCAATTCAAGGTGTTGGTGATGACCTATAAAGCCCTAAATGGCTTGGGTCCTGGTTACCTGAAGGAGCACTTACGTCCATATATGCCCGGCCGCCCCTTGAGATCTGCGGCAGAGGCCCTTCTCCGGGAGCCCTCCGTGAAAGAAATTAGGAGGGTAGGTACTCAGAGGAGGGCTTTCTCTGCGGTGGCACCCAATCTATGGAATGTGCTCCCCAGAGAGGTCCGCCTGGCGCCGTCGTTATTTGTTTTTCGGCGCCTGGCAAAGACCTTTTTATTTAAGCGTCATTTTAATTGTTAACAGTATTTGCTTATTTACCTGGCCAGGGCGACTTCTTTTATATTGTTATTTATTTTATATTGTTAATTTTATATTGTTATTTTTGTATTTTATTGTATTTTATTTTGTGTTGTGAGCCGCCCCGAGGCTTTGGCAAGGGGCGGCATAGAAATGTTTTAATAAATAAAAATAAAATAAAAATAAATATCTCATTCTTGGGCTTCCACCTCTCACTTTCAACTTGTACTTCCTCTTGGTTGTAGATTTCCTTGTGGGAGAAGACTGAGGCAAGGTAGGAACTGAGCGCCTCTGCCTTTCCTTTGTCATTTGTTATTACTCTGACATCTACTTTAAGTAGCTGGACACCCTTGTTTTTCTCATGTCTTTTGTTCTGGATGTGTTTGAAGAAGGCTTTCTTGTTGTTCTTAGCAACAGTTCCATTTTCTGCTTTAGCCTTCCTGATACTGTCCCTGCAATTCCTTGCTGTTTGTTTATATTCTTCTTTCATGGCCTGGCCCTTCTTCCACTTTCTGTACATGTTCTTTTTTTCTTTCAGGCTGTCACTCAACTTTTTGTGGACCCACATGGGCTTCCAGTGCTCTCTTCTACACTTTTTTTCTTGATGAAATTGTTTGTATTTGTGCTTGGAGAATCTTCTTTTGGACACTTGGACTTCTTTTTTTGAATTCAAGTATCACATGGTCACTTTCCCCCAGAGTTCCCATGGTTATTCTTTTGTCCACCAGGCCATCCCTGTTAGTATTAAATCGAGGACAGCTGATCCTCTCGCACCTTCCTCTACTTTCTGCTGGAAAGAGTTGTCAGCAACACATGTCAGGAATCTCTTGTGGGCGCCATGCTTGGCAGAAATTGTCTTCCAATATATATCCGGAAAATTAAAGTCCTCCTTGATCACTACATCATTCTTCTTGGAAATGCTGGCAAATTGCTTTTTGAAGGTTGCATCCTTGTCCTCTTTTTGACTGGGTGGACAGTAATAGATGCCAATAACTATGTTTTTCTTATTTTCACTTCCTTTACATTAAGCCAGATGCTTTTGATGGGGCTACTAAGTTCCTCTTCTTGTATTTCTGTGCAGATAGATGAGTCTCTCACATATAATGTGACTCAACCACTGGGTATTGGTGCGGAGACATAGAGGTTCATTCTCATTGTGCCCTGATTTTCTTTCTATGTTTTTGGGAGACTGATGTAGAGCCCTGCTTGAGGTTTTTTCTCTGTTGAAATATATAAGTCTTTGCCAGGTGATGGTATGCCATGCTGCACATCTCCTTCCCCCATGTTTTAGTTTAAAGCCCTCCTGATGAACTTTTTCATGTAGTGGCCAAATGCCTGCTTCCTTTGTGAGGTGCAGCCCATCATTTACCAGTAGTCCATCTTCCAGGAAGCTTAGCTTGTAGTCCCAGAATCCAAATCTGTCTTTATGGCACCACCATCATAGCCAGTCATTCACTTGAAGGAGTTTTCTTTCCCTAACAGTTCCTCTTCCACATACTGGTAGGACTGGGGAGAAGAATATCTGGGCCCCAATTTTTTTATCTTCCTCCCTAGAGCTTCGAAGTCTGGTGTTAATTCAGAAAAGCTTCTCATAGCAGTGTTGTTAGTTCACTCATGGAAGAGAAGGAAGCAGTATTTGTCAGTGGGTTGTATGAGTTGTGTGAACTTTCTGGTTGTATCTTTAATCTTGTCACCAGGGAGACAGCATATTTGACAATTTTCTGGGTCATCGATACATACATATTTTTCCATCTTGCACAACAGGGCATCTCCCACAACTATCACCCTTCTCCTTTTGGTGTTGCCACCTTTGGTATCTTTCCCTTGTATGATTGGCCTTTTGTCTCCTTTTCAGAGTTACACCATGTGTCGTGTATTTCTTTCACAGTGGGTTTCTCACATGCCCCTTCCTCAAGCAACTTAAAGTGAATTGAGAGTTCCACTGCTTCCACTAGGTTTTTCTAGGCCTTCTGCATCTGTCACCCTGTTCCAGCAAGTTTCCTCATTTCCCCTTCCCTCAGGGTGCTCTTCTGCTGCCTCGGCCTGCTGATGCTCTGCTTGCTTCTGTAGTACACTTAGCTGCTGCAGCTCCTCTGCGCTGTCTAAATATTTTCCGTTTTCTTTTACTGTCTGGGGGGTGGTCACTCGTTGCTCTAGTGCTCTCACCTTTTCTTGTAACAGGTTGGCACCCTTTGAAATCAGGGAAGTATTAATTCCACTAACACTGCCTGTGCTAGAAAAGGGCTAAAAGAGCCTACAGAGATATGACTCAAGGGAGGAGGAAATGAGGATCATCTGCCGGATTCCAGATGAAAAGCAGTGCTAGAAGATGGCCCACTAGGCTACGATCCCAAATCTTGTATTTGGAGCCCCAAATCTCTGCATGACCGCCTGCCCTACCACTAGCTACCCATGGGCTCTTTCTGAAATAAAGATACAGAGGCAGTGGCAATCTCTGTGGCATAATTCCCCTGGATTACCTGGACTTTTGCCCACATGTGCCTCACTTTATGTTGCCACTGCCCCCATGGATCTTACTGCCTGAGGGTTTTTTTCCTCCAATCAAATGCCCTCCTCAATTCTATCCATATCTCCCTTTTTGCAAACAGCAGCATCCTTGGGAGACAAGGTCCTTTAAAAACACACACACCTTTAGAGTGCTTAGAAATAGCACGTGCGAGTTTGGATGATGATGATCCCTAGCACTGCCCCTATTTCAGGCACTCAAAGCGATGCTTGAGCATAGATGAGGACATTTAGCCAAGGTGTTCACAAGAGTCAGCAAGCAGCTGATATGGTGAAGCTGAGCCAATCCCACAGTGTCAAGAAGATACTGGGAAGGAGCAGGACGGGTGGGAGAACTAAGAAGAATTTTTGGGTTGGCTTTTTTTTGGCTGTCTGCCAGCCAATCTGTGGTTTCTTCAACCAACTATGGTGAACTAGGTCCCAGGTCATGTTACGGCCATACTTTTGTAGTATCTGCAGAACAAGCTCAGATCTAGAGCTATTTAGTTCTAAGCAAAGCTTAAAAGTGACTTACAGGGCCAATGCTTATGGACTTGGTGAATCGGTCATCAGCCTTGATGTGATCATAGAGCTCATCCATGGCTCGGTGTCTCAGACTCTTGCTGTGGAATCTTTCATAGGTGTTAATTATTGCTAGAATGGAAACAGAGAGACAACCAGGATTCATATTACCTTCTGAATATAGCAAAGCCATCACTAGAAAATGCCTAAAATAACAAAAATACATGGCCTTCCTTATTTCTACTCATAGCTCTGGCCCAGAGGGAATAATATATACTCACCTCCAGTAGTTTTTGCTACTCCCTTCCGATCTCACCACAAGAATCCCAGAGATTCTGCTGGGAAACATATAGCTTATTCTATTCTGATCTCACTTCAGGAATTATCTGCTTGGCAAGTACTTTTATTTTGACTAAGAAAAGAGACAAGGCCAAACATGTAAAGCAAGGGTCCCTCTGCTCGCAGGATCTGAGGTAGCACTTCACTTACCATAGACAATTGTAAGTAGCCAGCTGTGTGGGGTGAATACATCATCTGAAGCAACGTTATTTCTCTGCGCAGGCCAGTCAATTCTGGAATAGTCTTCTACATAGAGCTCCTAGGAAAAATGGTCACAAGAGTCTACATAGCAGAATTAATACCAGAAATAAAAGTTGGCAACAGAGACCAGAAGCCCATTCTCAGTCTAGGAAATGTTACAAAATGAGGTTAATGGTCTTTTACGACGCATCATTCTAATAAGTCACAATGTCCAAGAAAAAATTGTGTGTGCATATTTGCTTTCCTTCCTGCCTATGGAAGGACTGCAGATAACAAGGAATTAGGATTAAGGAAAAGTAATCAGTGATTTTGACAGATTGTCTGTGTATTTTTCATGCAATAAGAGACAGAGCTTTTAAAATCAAAAACTGAGATACAATACAAAATGTTCCATCATGTGCCATCTATATGGAATTGCGGAAGACTGGGAAGAAAACTGAGAAGAGATGAAGAAAAGGAATTGTCTGGAACTACCTGTCGGAGGCTGAGGATAAGCTCATCTTCCTCTGCAGTGAGGCGTGCAGCATAACAGTAGGCCATTGGCAGGTAAACCTGACGGCAGTGACACCAAAGAGTCGAAGGGTGGACTGGCATCCATGAAGGAAACAGCCTATCATAAGCAGGAATGAAAAACTACTTTAAAGGATTGGCAGATACACTGAGATAATTCATCCAACTAGCCCCAGGCACTTTGTGACTGCTAAGAAGGTATCAACACAGCATTCTCCATGCTCCTCTGACAAGCTGAGGGTGAAGCCACTGTGAAGTCCTCCCAGGCAAAATGAACTCCAGAACAGACTGAAAAAAATTGAACAAGCCTCTTACAAGTGGACCTATATATACTGATAGAGATTTAAGGCACAATACAAACATTCACCAATGGTACGTTAAGCACCTAATTTCCAAGCCCCCATCAGAAATCGCATTTGAGACAGAAGGCAGGGAAATTTCAACATGACACTTCATATTATATAGCACCTGTACCCATTACAACCAGCAAAGGCAGAAAAATGCTTTCTTTTATCTTCAGAAAATATAAGTACCCAACTAATCTAACCTCTTCAAAAATATAAAAAATACCCCAGCTCTAAGAGTCTGCATCCCGTTCTCCTGTGCATTAATTCTCTCATACAACTTTTTGGACAGCATCAATTGGCTGTTCAGCACAGCCCTCTATAGTCCTTTCTGGAAAAGAAGTTAACAATTGATTTAAAATATGATGCCCCCCAGGTTTCATTGGTATCACATTCTAAAAGTATAATCTAATACAAAAGTTATCAGGGTACACTGGACTCCACAAAGCTAACTTAAATTCTTCACAAAGCTAACTTCAATTCCAGAAGTCCTGTGACAGCAGAGGGAAGGAGAAAGGAAAACATAAATACAAAACACATATGTAAAATATGGGACTCCCAAGAAGAACACAAACCTACTTGGCTCAGAATTAGTAGAGAAAAGCATTTTTTAAAGCATTTAACATGATCAAAATTATAAATCAGAAATCAGTCCTACATGTCTGTGCTCTGGAAATGTTAACCCCTGTGTCAAGGCAATGCAAACTATGAGTAGAATTAACCTGCCAGGGTAAGACTTACATCTACCGCCTTTCCCTGAAAGTAAAACCAGGTCTTATATTAATTTTTGCTTCAAAAGACGCATTAGGCCTTATTTTCAGGTGAGGTCTTATTTTTTTCTTACGAAAGCCATAAGAAAAAGCTGTGTGATTGGCACATCCTTTCTAAGTGTTAATACTTGGAAAAGAGCAGAAAGTTTCTGCACTATGCCACTCCCTTTGGTTTTGAATGCGAGCCTCAATCCTTGCCTCCCCTCCACAAAATGCCCGCCCCCCCCAGTCAAGTGCCAGCTTCAGGGCTGGCAGCCCTGAATGTCAGGGCTACAGCCAACAAGGAAAGCACCATGCCACCTGAAAGCTTGGAGGGAGGGCATGTCAAGGCCAGGGTTCCTATTCCAACCTCAAACCACATTTCTGAAGTTGGAGCTGAAACTCCAATCTTTCCTGTGGTCATCATCTAAAGAGCACCTAATTGTACCCTCAGTCACTTTTAAAAATAAGAGGTTCAGTTTTGCTTAGAATGATTCAGATATTTCATGCAGATACTGGGTCCATAGCTTGCGAGATACACTTGACAACAGTGAAACTGCTGCCTGACACTGATGGCTGAAAGCATGAAGAATTTCATCAAGGATGTTGCCTGGCAACATCCTTGCCTGGACAGAGAAAGTCTGGTTTCAACAGTGTATGCTCCGGTAATCTTCAAGTAAGATTACCTTTTGGAACAGGTTCTCAATCCTGTAAGTGAGAAATTAACTAGGCATAAATTAATTGAAGAAGTGATTTGGATGATTTGAGGAGGCAAGCAAATTAATTGAATATTTGGGGGTGATTTGGATGGGAAACTAATAGCCTGCCTTTTCTGAAATTGAAATTTGAGGGTTTTTTTCCCCAAATATTACAATTTTTATCACAACCTGTGACACACTCTGTCACAAGTCACATGCATCTTCTTTTTGTAAGTAGCCATCCTATCTTGTATGAAAGAAGGGCAGTTCATGTACCTTAAGTACATCAGTATTCAAAAAAATTCACACCTGCACACAATGGGGGCAGGGAAGAGGGCTTCAGCATTCCTTAGGCAGGTAAGAGTGCTTTGTTTTTGTACAAGCAATTATGTAGTTCAGTGGTTTTCGACCACCTGTCTGTCGACCGGTGCCGTTCTCTGGGAGATTTCCTGCCCGTCCATGGGGGGCTGCATCCTGCTCACCACAGGCTGGCACAGGGGCTGGCTGTGTTCCACCACTCCTCCTTCGGTTGGCTTTGGCTTGTGGTGGCTACATCAGTGCTGCCAGGGGGGCCAGGGAGGGAAGAGACGGCTCGGTGGGAGATGGCTGGCACCTGCACTGTGCCAATTTTGGTATTTTTTTTTCTTTTATTTTGCTCCATTTCTGGTTGTTTTGGAAATTTTTTTTTTTTGGTATTGTGTTTGGAAACTAATACACAGAATATGGTATTGTGTGTATGGTGCTTTTTGTTTTGGCCTCAGAGTTCCCAAGGCAGTTTTCCTGTTTTTGCTGGTCCCCACTGTGGAAAGGTTGAAAACTACTGGCATAGTGGAGCCCAGCTACTGCCACAAATGGACCTCTGGGGGGCTTTTCTTTTCTCACGGGAGCTGAAACTCACAACCAGGAAGTATGGCATAGTGCAGAAACTCTGTGCTCTTTTCTGAAAATTAACACCTAGAAACAAAGGGCCGGTCACAGGAGACATTGATGTCAACAGACCTGCTCTGTCTGAGAGACATTTCACCTAAGGAGGACCAAAAGCCAGGCCTCTAAGAACATGAAAATTGGTGAGAGGTTCTCATCTTAAGCCCTCACTAACTTTGCAACTAGAATTGCATTCTTCTTCAGGAATTTCCTCAGTATTCTCCAAAGCAAAGTTTACAATAGGAAATCTGAAGCAAGAAAGTAAAAGAGCCAATCTCTGCCTGCTTCAATAAAATGTTAGCGTACATTCAGGTTTCTTGGGGGCAATGTTTACCCCATGACCAGGAGTTTCTTGAGGCAAGAGCTCCAGGGAACTGCAATATTTCTATTTTCTGCTCTTTAATGGAATGTCACAAAAATTGAAGCAGGGACTTAACGCATGTAACCTTCATGCTTGATGGCTACTTCATTTGTTCCGTATAGATACAACTCCTGTTTCAGAACTAATCCAGTAAAATCACACATACCACATCTCAGGAAAAAGTGTATTCATTCCATCCCAGCTGTAGACATTCAAGACAGCCAACCAAAATTTACCCCAGGAAGCGATTCCTACAGCACCACCTGAAGAGTCAAATACATAAGAACTCACACAAAGCTGCAGTGTAACAGAGATATAAATTCTGCTGTAGGGACAGTAGGATTTACAGTTTTATGCCGTATGACTATGACCTGGTCTATGTACGTATGAAGCAGACAGAAGTGACATTGACTGTGCCACTTCATACTGTAGACAGAGGATCACATTTGGAAATGTTCCTTTCCTTAACTCCCTATAGGTATACATTAGCAGGAAGACAACTGAGCTGGGACAAAGGTGTATTAGCCTATTACTTTCAGAAGCATGCAAAATGCCGTTTTCCACCTGCAGTCCTCCTTCTCAGAGTGAAATCTGGGCAACGTTATGGGAATCAGAGTACATCAGGGTCCTCACTTGTTTGGAGGCTGGATGTGTTACGATCCCAACAACCAACCAAGATGTTAAAGTATGTCTACAAAAGAGATAGTTTAAGTAAAAACCCTCCCACTGGAATATATGAAGAAGCTCAGACTGTTGCCTCTGCCCCCTAACTCCACATCCCCTGATCTTCAGCCCTAACTCAGAGGAGGAGTTGCATCGGTAGGGTTAGAAGATCAGGCAGGTAGCTCTGATCTTGCAACACGGGGCACCATCAGTCATGTCCGTGGGCTATCAAGGTGGCCCAATATTACTTATAAATGAAAGCTAGAAGTTAAATAAATTACAAGTTAACTTTACAAAAAACAGCATATTCCTTGACAATTATAGAATAGCAGAAGAAACAGAAGCTGGTTTTTCAGGGCTTCTGACCATCTACTAGCAAAATACTTTTCTTCATCCCCTCTGTAGCCCCCTCCCACACCAAGTCTGCTCTGAAGGTGGGGGGGCTCTCGAGAACAGATTTAGGAGATGCACGGGTAGGAGGCTGCAGGGGAAAGGCAACAAGAGGCTTCCCATTACATGAGCCAAACATCTTAAAATTAATTTAAGCCTTGGCCTCTACATTCATGCATGCTTTCCCTTGCTCTCCTCTGCTTCCACGTGTGCATTACCAAGGTGCAGCAAACAAAGCGGTAGAGCAGTCAGCTGCCAGATGCTAGAAAACAAGCTGCGTTTTTCTCTCCTCTTCATTGGTTAGCCTGACTACAACACCAAACCTTTTGCCTCATCATCTCTGGGAAGGCTTACCCCAGTTCCTCGACAATTGAGTGTGGGTCTAGCACAAATGGGGATTCTGGTGATGGAATCTTTGGCAAGAGTGCAATGGGGCAAACACCCAATGAGAGACCAAATAGAAAGCATGTTAATTTATATTTTCAATATGTCGTCCCAATGATAAAAGTATCTGGACAGCTTACAAAAAACAGAAAAACCAAAAACAAAGTAATCATAACCACAACAGATAGCACACTGCATCCAATGCTTGTTGCTCATTGTTGCTAGTTGTGAAGTCGTGTACAACTGATCGTGACCCCATGGACAACATTCCTCCAGGCCTTCCTGTCCTCCACCATCCCCCGGAGTCCACTTAAGCTCACGCCGACTGCTTCCGTGACTCCATCCAGCCACCTCCTCCTCTGCCGTCCCCTTCTTCTTTTGCCATCTGTTGTTCCCAGCATTAGGCTCTTCTCCAGGGAGTCCTTCCTTCTCATTAGGTGGCCAAAGTATTTGAGTTTCATCTTCAGTGTCTGGCCTTCTAAAGAGCAGTCCGAGTTGATCTCCTCTAAGACTGACTGGTCTGAACTCCTTGTGGGGCAAGGGACTCACAGGAGTCTTCTCCAGCATCACAATTCAAAGGCCTCAATTCTTCGGCACTCAGCCTTCCTTATGGTCCAACCTTCACAGCTATACATTGAAACTGGGAAAACCACAGTCTTGAATATACGAACTTTTATCAGCAGGGTCATGTCTCTGCTTCTTAGTATGCTGTCTAGATTTGCCATAGCTTTCCTCCCCAGGAGCAAGCATCTTTTAATTTCTTGACTGCAGCACCATCTGCAGAGATATTAGAGTCCAGGAAAATAAAATCTGTCACTACCTCAATTTCTTCCCCATCTATTTGCCAGGAAATGATAGGACTGGTTGCCATGATCTTAGCTTTCTTGATGTTGAGTTTCAAGACAACTTTTGTCTTTTCCTCTTTCACCCGCATCAAGAGGCTCTTTAGTTCCTCTTCACTCTCTGCCATTAGAGTGGTATCATCTACATATCTGAGGTTGTTAATATTTCTCCCGGCAATCTTAATTCCAATTTGTGCTTCATCTAGCCCCCCCCCCCCCCTTCACATGATGTGCTCTGCATACAAGTCAAATAAGCAGGGCGACAGTATGCAGCCTTGCAGAACCCCTTTCTCAATTTTGAACTACTCAGTAGTTCCATGTCCAGTTCTCACTGTTGCTTCTTGACCCACAATTTGTTGTGATTCACACAATCAAAGGCTTTAGCATAGTCAATAATGCAGAAGTAGGGGTTTTTCTGGAACTCCCTAGCTTTCTCCATGATCCAGTGTATGTTGACAATTTGATCTCTAGTTCCTCTCCCTCTTTGAAATCCTGCCTGTACTTCTGGTAGTTGTTCTCGGTCCACATACTGCTGGAGCCTAGCTTGTAGGATTTTGAGCATAACTTTGCTAGCATGCGAAATGAGTACAATGGTGCAGTAGTTCGAATATTCTTTGGCATTGCCCTTCTTTGGAATTGGAATATAAACTGACCTTTTCCAATCCTGTGGCCACTGTTATATTTTCCAAATTTGCTGGTATATTGAGTGTAGCACTTTAACTGCATCATCTTTTATGATTTTGAATAGCTCGGCTGGAATACTGTCTCCTCCACTAGCTTTGTTGCTGCTCAGACTTCCTAAGTCCCATTTGACTTCACATTCCAGGATGTCTGGCTCGAGGTCAAGTGACCACTCCATCATAGTTATCAGGGATGTTAAGCTCTTTCTTGTATAGTTCTTCTGTGTAATTTTGCCACCTCTTCTTAATCTCTTCTGCCTCTGTTAGGTCCCTGCCATTCTGGTCCTCTATCATGCCCATCTTTGCATGAAACGTTCCCTTCATATCTCCAATTTTCTTGAAAAGATCTCTGGTCCTCCATATTCTATTGTTTTCTTCTATTTCTTTGCACTGTTCTTTTGAGAAGGCATTCTTATCTCTTCTAGCTATTCTCTGGAATTCTGCATTCAACTGGGTGTATCTTTCTCTTTCTCCGTTGCCTTTCGCTTCCCTTCTTTCCTCAGCTATTTGTAAAGCTTCCTCAGACAGCCATTTTGCTTTCTTGCATTTCTTTTTCTTTGGGATGGTTTTAGTTGCTGCCTCTTGTACAATGTTGCAAGCCTCCATCCATAGTTCTTCAGGCACTCTGTCTATCAGATCTAATTCCTTAAATCTATTTGCTACCTCTACTGTATATTCATCAGGAATATGATTTAGGTCATACCTGAGTGGCCTAGTGCTAGTTCTCCCTACTTTCTTCAGTCAAAGCCTAAATTTTGCAACAAGAAGCTCATGATCGGAGCCACAGTCAGCTCCTGGTCTAGTTTTTACTGACTGCATAGAGCTTCTCCATCTTTGGCTGCAGAGCATATAGTCAATCTGATTTCTGTGTTGACTGTCTGGTGATGTCCATGTGTAGAGTCGTCTCTTGGGTTGTTGGAAAAGAGTGTTTGCTATGAACATCGTATTCTCTTGACAAAATTCTGCCAGCCTTTGCCCTGCTTCATTTTGTAGTCCAAGGTCAAACTTGCCTGTTATTTATTTATTTATTTAAACATTTTTATGCCACCCCATTCGCCGAAGCCTCGGGGCGGCTTACAACAAGTAGTTCAATAATTATAATTAAAAATATAAACATTAAAATAAAATACATACAATATAAAATAAGCCGCCCTGGTTATCTTTTGGCTTCCTACTTTAGCATTGCAATCCCCCATGATGATAAGGACATCATTTTTGGTGTTATTTCTAGAAGGTGTCATAGGCCTTCATAGAACTGGTCAACTTCAGCCTCTTCAGCATCAGTGGTTGGGGCATAGACTTGAACTACTGTGATACTGAATGGTTTGCCTTGGATTCAAATTGAGATCATTCTGTCATTTTGGAGATTGTATCCCAACACTGCTTTTCCTACTCTTTTATTGACTATGAAGGCTACTCCATTTCTTCTGAGGAATTCTTGCCCACAGTAGTATACCTGATGGTCATCTGAATTAAATTCACCCATTCCTGTCCATTTTAGTTCACTGATTCCCAAGATGTTGATGTTCAATCTTGTCATCTCTTGTTTGACCACGTCCAGCTTGCCTTGATTCATGGATTTTACATTCCAGGTTCCTATGGAGAATAGATCTTTGCAGCATCGGACTCTCCTTTCACCACCATATATATCAGCAACTGAGTGTCCTTTCGGCTTTGACCCAGTCACTTCATTCTTTCTGGTGCTACTAGTACTAGCCCTCTGCTCTTCCCCAGTAGCACATTGGACACCTTCCGACCGGAGGGGCTCATCTTCCGGCATTATATCTTTTTGACTGTTGGTACTGTCCATGGGGTTTTCATGGCAAGAGTACTGGAGTGGGTTGCCATTTCCTTCTCCAGTGGATCAGCTTTTGTCAGAGCTCTCTGCTATGACCTTTCTGTCTTGGGTACCCCTACACAGCTTAGCTCGTATCTTCTTTGAGCTATGCAAGCCCCTTTGCCACAGCAAGGCAGTGATCCACGAAGAGGCTGCATCTGATAGATATATCATCTACACTGGCTGGCAATTGAAGTCTGGGCCCAATTTAAGGATCTGGTAATGACTTATAAAGCCCTAAACGGCTTGGGCTCTGGATACCTGAAGGAGCACCTTCTTCCCTATGTGCCGGCCCACCCCTTGAGATCAGAGGCAGAAGTCCTTCTCCAGGAGCCCTCTTTGAAAGAAATCAGGAGAGTAGCTACTCAGAGAAGGGTCTTTTCAGCGGTGGTGTCCCGAATGCAGAACACGCTCTATAGGGAGGTTTGCCTGGTGCCATCGCTTTATTTTTTTTGGTGTCAGGTGAAGACCTTTTTAGTCTCCCAGTACTTTAACAGTTAATTGGTTTTATCCTTGTTTTTATCGTTATCTGCATCCGAAAAGTACTAGACTAGGAGAATCTTCCAGAACATAGGCACTGCACAGGCACAGCACCCATACGTGTGAGACCATGAAGAAGAACACTGATAAATAAGCAACTTGTAGTAACAGCACTCATATCAGATTGGCCATAAATGACCAAATGCAGGTATGTTCCCACTATGCACCGTAAGCACAGGATCTCTGTTAGTTTCTCTCACTTGTGTTTTCCAGAATTTCATAGTGACTCTGGCAAGTAACAGCTGCAATGACTTGAGGCATTATAAGTTTGGCTCAATTAATCAGCAATCAAAAAGGTCAGGAACAAGCTGAACTATCTAAAGAACAGATCTGAAGACATTTCAGACCAGAACTAGATCTGCCCCATACCATTCCCAGTTCCTGCACCTGCAGTAAACAACAGAAGAGAGACCCCTTTTCACAGAATACCAGTGCTTGGTACAAAACCCAGATCACCTCCACTTCCAGCCTCTAGCATCCTAGTCACCTTTGCTATGGAGGTTGTTTCGAGCCCGCAGTAGATCTGGATCATCAGGACTGACTCCAAGAAGTCTCATGGCTGTGTAGTTGAGCGCAGTAGTAAATACTTTGGATGTGTCTTCAATATGCCTACCAAACAAGAGATGAGGCAAGTGTGACCATGCAACAAATCTTTACTGACCTGAACCTGGTCAAGATTTATTGGAGCTGGAGAAATCAAAGTTAGCAACATTACTGAAAAGTTACTTCCATGCAGATCAATTGCTAACAAAGAGATGGGAGCCGAAGAAGCACTGACAGAGGGTGTGTTGACAGAACTATTGAAAATGCATGGTTCCAAGTTCCCAGTATGGACTAGAATCTGTTTAATTGATGCCTGTTTGCACAATCAGTTTCAAATGTGAATTACAGTGGTGACTTGTACTCCGAACTTATTTTGTTTCAGGAGGGTTTTTGAACTCTGAATTGTTCAAAGTCCGAAACAATTTTCCCCATTGGAAATAACAGAAAGTGAATTAATCTGTTCGCAGACCCTAAACAATACCCATTTAGGTAAACGTAAACAGCAAATATGGCCTCCTGAAACAAATTCAGTCGAAGGTTATATATGAGGTGTGATGAAAAAATAGAGTGAATGTTTAGATAATGATATAAAAATATAGTAAAAGACACTTTGCCATTAATCCCCTTCGAAATCCTCCCCCTCACTTTGAACACACTTACCTGAATGCTGTCATGGCTGCCTCGATGTCCTGAATCGATTCAAGATGAATTGAGTCAAGTAAAAATGAAACAGATCAATTCAAGACAAATCAATTCAGGACATCAAGGCTTTTTTTTTACTTGGGCACACAACCAATGATGTTTTTGCTGTAACCAATTTTTTTTCTGCTTTGTTCACAGTTCAAACTTAGAAGCATTGTTCAAACTGTGGGGCAATTTTATCTCAACTCTAACATTCGAACTCTGGATTGTTCGAACTACCGGGCACCACAGTATGTCATTTCTGCCCACTGAGAGGACAAAAGATGATCAAAGAATCAGTGAGCACTGGAGATTACACGGGCAAGGACTTGTTTCTCATTCATCCCAGGATAAGTGATCATAAGTTGACCACAATACCTGTTGGAGCAACTCTCCCGACTGCAATCTACTCGGACACAATGTTTAACTTCTGTGGTCTTTCTCTGAGTGCTAACTCCAGGGGAACATGGAAGGTGGCAACCAGGGAGAGGACTTTCTCGGTGGTGGCCCTCCACTTATGGGATAACCTCCCCACTGCAGCCCGACTAGTGCTGAGATAATCTTTTTGGCACCAGGTTACAATGCCCTCTGTGTTGAGGCCCCTCTGAGACCTATCTGGGTACCCAGAGGCTTGAAGAATTGCCCACCCAAGGTGTTTTTCCTGCAGCAGCGCACCTCTTATCAGGCACGCCTTCCCTACATGAATGAAACTGCGATCATGGCCATCCCCCCACCCCCAGCGCACCATTTGCACCCATCTCTCATTCCCCCAGTGCGCCCGCGATCATGCTCGTCTCTCCCCACTGCCCCCCAGCGCGCTGGGATGATGAGCGCTTGCAGGGATGACAGGAGCAATCTCGATCGTGCTGGGGGCGGGGCGGGAAGATGGCTGTGCTTGTGCTTGGGGTGGGGGGGGAGATGGCTGCGATCTTTGTTGTCACTTTGCTTCACATTTTTCTGATTTAAAAAATGGCTACAGAACGAATTAACCTTATTTACATTGAACCTTATGGGGAAATTTAACTTGGCTCACGACCAATTTGGGTCACGACCAGAGTCCTGGAACAGATTAAGTTCATGAGCCAAGGTACCACTGTATTTATTTTTAAAGTAAATGCATAAAAGTTTCAACTTCTGCAGCCCCTTTTAGTACAACTGCACATTAAGTGGCAAACATAAACTGCAAGGTAAGATTTCCACCCTCAAATGGTGCCCTCTGCTTTGAGCCCCCCTTGTCCCTGTCTCCCCAGCACCATCATCAATTTTCACTCTTCTTTCGAAGTCATAAACAATCTGTCACGCTGACAGGATGGACATATTCCAACCAGTTTTTTATGCAGAGCAAAAAACAGATTGCACTTGCTTATACTTGATTATACCAGAAATCTATGTAGATTATGACAAGCCAAATGTTGTAGTTGCAGCAACAACAGTAGGCAGAGACTTTCAAGCTATTAACAAAGATAAACGCAATGGCTTTAAGCAGCACAGTGCAGAAGGCTTGGTTATATTATTTATGCATGATTCTGTTTGATAGATAAGAGTGGAGACGCTTTACTTGTGGCTTTGGTACCTTAACTCAAAGCAGCAGGCCACATATCAAGTTTAAATGTGTATTTTTTCACCATATAATTGTTTTCTACCACATTATTAAAAATAGTGGGTAATGGCTGACCTAGTTATTTTGAGGCTGGAACCTAGACTTCCTCCACTACTCCACTATTCACCAGCACCAAAGAGTCAAAGACATTCTTGTGACGGCCAGGCTTGAATATTAAAGTTTCTGGCTTCTCCCACCCTATCCCCAAAATTAACTTGAAATGTAAGCTTTTTTTTTTAATATTCCAAAACACTTCCACTGCCTTTTGTTTTTCTGAAGCACAGGCTTTCTAATTTTACTCACAGGCCCCATCCTCCATCTTCGAGCTGCACTGAACGTAGGTAGCGTTCCATCTCCTTTTTGCTTGCTTCTGGTAATTGGATCTTGGCAACATGGCATGTGATTAGCAGCCCTGTTTGAAAAAGATCATCATTTAACTAAACCCCCCAATGCAGCAACAATGCAAAAAGAGGAAACATACCATGCTAAGAGGAGGTAAGTCAGGGTAAGATGGGATCAGTTTTACTGAAATCAGAGGTAGTGACAGGAATGTCTTGTCATACGAAGCGTGGAAGGGACCAGCGACAGCCTCTCCTCATCTTTAGTTTAGGTCTCCCCCCGACCCCCATTCTGCCCCTCCGGTAAACTTTCAAGCACTGCCGGAGCTCCTGCAGCTTTCCCGGTGGCTGGTTTGGGGGCAAGGAGGGAGGGAGTGCGCACACCCGGGTGCAAGCAAGCCCGGCCTCCCCCGACTTGAGGGCGCTGAACGTGAACATGGCTCCTTCCCTCTGTTATTGTGTTTTTCTTTTAAGACAAAAGATCCTAATGTGTGAGTTGTTTTTTTCTAAACTAAAACCTCAGTGTTCAGGTTTTATTGCAGTGTTGGCACTTTGTGATAAGTAAGTGGGTTCTGGGTTGCAGTTTGGGCACTCGGTCTCTAAAAGGTTCGCCATCACTGGGAGAGGTGATGTTTTCTAAACAATGGCAGGTAGGCAGCTTATGAACTGAATCTAATTCAGTGCTGTGTAGCATCACTGGGCCATGGCTGAAAAGCAAGAAACAGCACAAGATACCTATAATAAATTTACATAACTGTGTTTTTTGCTCAGGGAGTTCCTACGCTTCCTTAAATGTTCCAGGGAGAATATTCTAGAATGTGATGTCTTTATTATTAAAATCTCCTTTTTTATATATCCTGCCTTTTTCAAGGCAGCTTACATCATCCATCTTATCCCCACAACAACAACCCTGTGAGGTAGGTTGGGCTGAGAGTCTGTGACTGGTCCAAAGTCACCCAGTTGGCTCCATGGCTGAGCGGGGACTAGAACCCAGATCGTCTGAGTCCACCTAAATGTATTATCTGTAACTTTTATTCCATAATGCATAGTCTTCTTCTATGAGAAGTTTCTTCCTACTGCAGTAACTTCACACAACCCTATCAGTACAAGCAAACAGCTCAGTACAAGCACCCTCTGAAGAAAGCCAAAAAAGCTAAAGATGCCTCTGTTCTTCAGAGCAAAAGACTTTCCACCATTCACCACCTCCAGAAGGGAGCCTCATCCTAGCTGCTGCCATCACCAACTGTGCACTTGTCCATAAAATCAGGCGACCGAGTTAGCAATCAGGTAGCAATGAGGAGAAGCAACAGCATGCAACCCCCCTCATTTGCTTTATCCTTCTTATTGCCATTATAGAATCATAGAATAGTAGAGTTGGAAGGGGCCACGAAGGCCATTGGGTCCAATCCCCCGCTGTGAAACTGGGACTTTCTCCTGTCTTCACTAAAGGTTAGCAACACAATCTTACTAGTAAATGAGTGTATTACAAGGAGGAAAACGTGTGTGCATATGTGTGTGTGTGTGTGGGGGGGGTAGTATTAAGGTGAACTAAGTATGAAAAAGAAGGGGGAAACGTTAGGGACCTCCCCACCAAACTCCTCCACCGAGCTCCTGTTTGCTGTCCCTGGTAGCTCACTCCTTGGGAGCTTAGCTGCTTGTATCCTAGAGGTCCTAGCCCAGCTGGGGCAGCTTCTTCTGCTCTGCTCTACAAGTAGTCAGGAACCAGAATTATAGATCAGGCTTAATACAAAACCTTTGCTTTCTGATTTGTAACATGGCCCCTTGCTGGAGCACGGCATGCCTAGTTTGGGAAGAAGCTATCTGGCAACCATACCGGGCAATAAAAAAAGTGGTCCTCCGTAGTCCCCAGTCCAATGGCCATCCTCTGCCTGCAGGCCTGAGTAAAACCTCACCCCATTTAGTGCTGCTTCCTGTGCCGTGTAAGCCTTAGGCAGAACTGGAAAGAATTTACTCTGCAAAACACGAATAAAGAAAAACGATGATGAGACACAGGTGAACTCTGGAGCAGTTACTCAGGCTGATGAAATAGAGGGAAAAAAAATTCGTTAATATATCCAGGCAATGCAACAAGTAGAGGGATGTCTAGTTTCTTACTGCTACTCCTCCTTTTCCTCTCTGGAACGGAAGCCAGGCAGGAAACATGGGGAACAAGGGGGGTGGAAAGGCATCAGAGAATGGCTTGGTGTTTGCTCCCCAGGCAAATCTGAAGCAAGGAAAGTCTCTGGCATATGCCAGGAAGGATCTTATACCCTCCTTCCAGTAAGTACTCATGCTTCCTTAGAATTGGAATCTGGCCATTCCTGGAAGCAAAATACAACATTACAGCCCCCGGATTTTCAAGAAACATAACAAAGAGCAGGATTTGAAAGAAAGGGCACAAATGGTAAGATAAAAGCTATTTTCAGATCAAGTGACGTGTCATGTCCTACCTAGAGCAGGATTCCCCAGATGAAGAAAGTCAGAGCAGTGACCTCGGCCACGATTAGATACAAGGGTCATGGCAACACATGACTGCCCTCCATTAGAAGAAGAGGAGCCAGGACCTTTAGGGGCAGGTTCTGTGGTTCCCCAAGAGCAGGAGCAGAGACAGAGGAAATCCATCCCGTCCAAAGGAGCAGGAGTGCACAGCTTTGACAGAAATCCAAACACGCTGAAATGGGAGTGACCCGTGAAACAGCACACTGACTTAATTAGCTGTCTGTGCTGAGTTTTAGCTGGCTATAGATTAGTTCAGGCAGAGCTGCTCTGTGTTGCAAACAAGGGGCATTATCTGTGCTCCAGGACTTTGTTAATGCTAGCCAGTATCTAGATTCCTGGCCTGTTTGTTAGACTTTCCTTCAGACACCCCCACCTGACTTGGAGCTTCAGAAACACCATAACCATATGGTCTTGACTCCTGGACTGGAACTGACCATTCTTGAAGAGGTAACACAGGAATTGGGCATTTGTTTTTCCTGGGAAGGACATGAAGACTGTCCTTTTCCAGCAAGCTAGGAGATCCGTCCTATTGCAAGTGGACTCAAAGCAAAATGCCAAGCCTACAAGCATCAGGCTTTTTCTCTCAGAAGACTTATGGGCAGTTAGACTGATATATGCTTATATTCAAGGCACATACAGACTCTCAAGATGGTTACGCAGCTACAGATGAGCTACAGGTAAGAGGTTTTGGAATCTTTTCAAGCATTTCTTCAAGAGAAATGCAATATGGACAGACAAGCTTCCCTGAAAGATGGATGATTCTCCTTCCACTATCGTTCTTGGGTACATGGGGAACAAACAGATGCCAGGAAGCATTGGGTACGTTTTCCAACACATTTTCTGATCACACAGGGCTTGCTAATATCCCACATTGAGTTTGGAAGCGAAATAAGCTGATACATTTCCTAGCAAGTTTGAAAACTACTTCATAAGAACCAAACCAAAGCTACCAGCCAGCCCTAGTACGATGGCCATGTTCTCTTTATCTATCTCAAACAAGAACTTTCAGAACTTAGTAAGTTAGGCGTATAATCCACCTACTGTATCCAGCCCTAGAGAGTGAGCCTCCAAACCCGTTTGTTCTCTTTTATGATCCTCGCCATTTGCCAGATACTGCCACTGCTGCCGTCCTTCTTCGTTGCTCAAGCGCCAGCGAGTTAAATCCGTGGCAGGCTCTGTTTTATATGGACCACCTCTTCTTTTCCGCAAGCATCTAATGGGGTGATGCAAAAAGCAGCAGATAAATTCCACAGGCGTGACTCCAAGTATATTTCAGTTTAAAATACCTGAGGACTAAGTTAAAGAAATGTCTCTAAATAGAGGACTACACGTTCAGAGTAAATTACAGCAGGTCAGGTACATAAGACTTTTTGGTACAATATCTTGCCTTCTTTTTTATTTAACCTGTATGTGAATTATCTGGGTTATGCTAATAAAAAGTGCTACTTTTACTTATAATATTAGATATCCATGGATGCGCCTGCATAGTTAAGGTAGCTGTGTTTTTCACACTCAAATCACTCTTAAGTTAAAATGAAAATGATTTGAAGCCCTTAGATCTAAGTTTCATTCTGAGATAACTGTCTGCTATTTTCAGTATCAGCTGCACCCATAAAGAACACAGACAAGGAGGCAAGGAAGCATTCCTGATTGTTATTTTTTATTAAATTTAACTTTGAAGCTAACCAGTGAATATGTAAACGTGTGCTTATACTATGGAACAGGTCTCATCTCATCCCTTATACAATTGTATTAAAAACAGGATACTGATTTTCTCTTAGGCTTTCCTGATTAGTAAACTACTGGAGATTTCTGTCTATAGTCTGTCTTATTTAAGATGCAAATATTGTAAGGATTTTCTACTTGGAACTTCAGGTGTCAGAGAGCCCTCCCTAGTCTCCAAACATTTCGATTGTGGTTCCTGCAGGTGGTTCTATTCATTCCTGCTGTCCCTCTTCATCCTCAATTCAACAGTTGCCCTTCTAAAAGTTCCACCCTCCCCTTCCTGTAAAACTGTAATATTTACAAAGAAACAAAATTAGTGTGAGAGTCGCACTCGCCTGAACTTTAGTACTGAACAACATGTCTGAACCTGGGCAGTAAGCAAATATTTAACAACCATTCCCGTGCTTATAAAGAACAGCAGCTAACCTGTTGTTCAGTATGGTGTAAAATTCTAAACTGTGCCAGTTCAGACAGAAGGTATAGCAAGGGGATGTATCTCTACATCTCTTTTAAAAATGAAGAAGATGGAACTATCTGCATGCAATAAACTAGCACATTCAGGGGGACATTTACAATATATAGTGCACAGGGCTGCAAAATTTAATTAGCTGTGTAACCCGTTAAAGCTAAAATGCACCTCAATTAAACTGGCAGGAGATTTTAAAACACTTTTTAACAAGCGATTAAATAACACAGCAAGTGGCAAGCTTTTCTTTCTCTTTCACAGCAAAGCATACTTCTGTCAAGGCAATGTCTGTTACAGCACATACATGCACCATCTAAAACTACTTCTTGCTTAAAGATGCATTTCGTTTATGAGCACATTCATCAAACTTAACCAACCAACTCAAGCTTACACAATTTGGGTGCAATCCTATGTAACCTTACAGCTCCCAGTGTGGGATTCTGGGAGCTGCAGGACTCATTTCTGTCCAAACTTGCATAGGATTGCACCCTTAAACACAATAAAGATTTGTTTGTTTGTTTTAGTTGGAAGGCAGCACTATCTGGGGGTATATTGTGTGGGGGAAATAGATCTGCCTCAGTGAAGTATATGAATCTTCAGTCCCAGAACTCAGTTTCAAGTATTAGCACTGGGAAATGTGAAGCAGTATCAGAGTTCTGAGCATATAGGGGGCAAATGCAGCTCATTAGCACTCATCATACTTCCCATTTCAAGGATTACAAAGGAGAAAAGGTTCTTGCAAAGGAAGAATTTTAGTTCTGCCCCCTCCCACTTTTGAAATGAAGTGCTCATGCTCAAGTAATACAAATTCTACCTATGCAATAGCTAGCAAAACTTGTGGTGAGAGGGTCTAAGATAAGGGTATGTAGGTATGTGAACTAATCTACAACAACCTTAATCTAGATATAAATAGAATAATGTATTTCAAATTATTTTACTATCTTAATAATATCTAAGAGACAGACAAGTAAAAGTTAGTGTAAAGGCCTTGTCCACTTATCTCAACTTATTTTCCAAAACCCAGGAAGAAAACCTCTAAGTGAACAATCAGGTTGACTGAATATTGTTTCTACAATTAAACCTTTAAAATCAGAAGGAATGGCCTGAAATATTCCTGAAAAGGGACAGATCTATGCAACACTCACGTCCCATTCATCCTGTTGCTCTACACCAGACGTCCACCACGCACGACCTGGATCCAGCAGTAGCATCCCTTTAGGATGAGGCAAAAAATAAAAACGTTGACGACAGGTACACACCAGAATCTTTCGTCCTGCGGCATGCTGGGACATGAAGTCTTCTCCGAAGTGCACTAACAGCAGAATTTCTCTCTGAAAAACTACAGTTCCCAGGTTGCAGCGCGTAACATCCGATCTGGACTGATGCAAACGCAAGAGCGCCTCGGCCAATCAACGAGGACTTTGGGGGCAGTATCAGCTCACCCAAGTAGGCAGAGCTGCTGGCTGCTGCTGCTACCGTGCCGGTATCAATCAGTGGAGATTCCTGTTAGTTTGCATTATTTTAGCATGCGAATATTGGGAGAAGCTCGTGCTGGGCTAGTGAAGCGATGCCTGATAAAGAAAAGCTGCATAGGTAGAGAAACGTCACGCAAGCAACTGTGAAACGGCAAGCTAGCTAGTAGTTTATTTTGCTTCAAATACAAAACCGCAAAAGGCACAATAGGGGAAAGCAGCCCGAAGCCGGGAAATCGATTCTGCCTCAGTACGATCGCTACCTGGTTAGGGTTTCCAACATACACCAGGTTTTGCAGCAGTTGGTGGTTTCTCATCATTCCTGGCTTGCTTTACATTCCATGTTCTTGTTTCATTTACCGCCCAGTCCGAAGAAGAATAAGTGAGAACTAGCACGCTTTTCATTACTTTGTAATATTTTTGTTGGTCTGATAAAGGTAGAACCTAACTATGACTTTGGAGATTTTCATGTCCATGAAGGTTTTAAATATGTTGACTTGTTTTCAGTAAAGATCTATGCTTGTCAATAAAAGAAATATTACATGTAAGAAAACAGCTATATACACCGCAGGCATTGGTGGGGCTTGAAGGGTGTTATGATGTGAGAACATCTTGGGGAGCAATCTTCATTATATCATGCCTTGATCTAGAAAAGGAGGGAAGGCAGGTGAAACAGTGAATATGCTACCGCTTCTAACTCCTGTACGGTTCGTTGCTGCTGCAACTCTCCCACACATGTGCAACAAGCTATGGGAGGAATAAAATGCTGCATGCTATTTTCCATAAATAGGAAATATTGTATACAATATGCCATTGATAAAATATTCACACACTTCAGTAGTTAATTAACCTTACAGATTAACTCTTTGTTCTAGAGAATAGTTAATCCCCCCGTTCATTGCTAAAATTAAATCAATAGTCTGGCCTAATATTGTACTTCTCCACTCTTTCAGCCCCTTCTGTCACCTCCTTTTGTCCTTTCTGCCATCGTATTTGATGTGTTTATTCTTATATCCCATACATATTGCTTTCTTTGACCTTTGCTTCTCTAGCTCCAACTTTAGCATGGAACTGCCTCCTTAAAGGCTTCCTTGCAACCACCTCTCTTACTTCAAGTCAATACTCAAAATTAAGCTTTTCCAGCAAACGTTTGAATCATCATTATAGTCTCACTTAGTAGTAGTATGTGACTCAAAGAACTTCAGTCTTGTTAGGGTATTCCAAGTTCCTCCTGAAAATTGATTGCACCTCACATCCATATTAGATTGCAACTTGTGTTTCATTCTCCATAAAGATTTGTATGCTTTTGTTATAATTTAATAAGTGCACACACTTTGCACCCATTAGCTAAAGGGTTTATATACATTTTTCAAAAATGTGCATTTCCCCAAAGAATACATTTTTCAAATACCTTTTTGCTCTTGCGTGAATTGCATTACAACCAGAAAAGTACTTCAGACTACAGATTGCACATTTGGTACCAGAAGGTATGAATTGGATAAATCCTGGTCAGAACAAACTGAAAAATTTCACCCCTCCATAGTCTTAAGCTTATTTGTAATTAGACAACCATCAGATTTTTGGGATTCCAAAACATAAGGTCAGAAAATCACTCTGAACTTGTAGCTAGGGGTCTGCACTTGGATACTTCTTCCCACCCACTCTTCATAGCCAATGTATTGAAAACATGTGGAAGATTATCATATGGCGAGGAGTTAGGTGCCATGTCCCATTTCTTCTCATATTGCCATTATCAAGTATGTTGATTAATGTTGAGTCTTCAGTTATACAGTGGAATGTGTTTATGTTTCTCATATCTTATTCTCCCAGGCATAGAGCATTCAGGAGGATCCTGAATTAAACTGGAGTTGCTTAGCTCAAGGGCCAGGTGCCGGGCATGCATAGAATGGAAGTTTTTGAGCCAGAAGCATTCAACTATAAAACCAGGGGGGTGAGCACTTGAGTTTGGGAGCTTCTACACAGATCAGATGCCTGATGCTGTGTGATTGATGGCCTGGGGTCTCTCGCTGCCTAACCAGGGCTCCTGGCAGATGAAGGAGAGAAGATATTCTTGCAAGGTATAAATGCTGTTTTGCTTGCCTGTAGATACTTTCATTCCTTAATTAAAGCATTACTTTTCCTTCACCTACTGGCGTGCTCATTGCCTCCAAATCCCAAAAGAATTCCTGCCTCCTGGCAGAACAGCCAACACAGAAAGAACCACAATGGTTGTTTTTGAGCTCATAAAAGCAACCTTGGAAAAGGGCTTTTTGGGGTGACTGGGGAAGGGAAGGAGACTGGCAGCACCAGGATACAACATCTCTTTGTCAAACAAAGTGCTTCGCAGAGCAGGAGGAACACAGATATAAACTTCGTATTCCTCCTGCCTTGCATAGGATTGCCATAATCCTGAGTTTGGACTGCACTCTAGATCAAAGTATATGTAATTGAAATAAACATGTATTCTTCTGTTTACCCTTGGTTCTTTTCATACTCCGTTTCCTTGCCTTTAGACTGCCAGTATCCCAGGGGAAGGGCCCGCCAAACATAAACAACGGCACTATAAATATATTTTTGTTTAATTTCCAATGTGTAGGATGCTGCATAGCCTGACAAGGCTCTCTAAGTGGCTAACAATATTAAAATTCAGGCCAACAGTGCAAGTATACAGAGGGAAGGAGTGGGGAAAAAAAAATCTGCTGGTAGCAGAGTGAGCTCTTATAATCAGGTGGTAAAATCAAAATACCTGCGACAGAGGAGAGTTTTTGCCAGGCGTTCAAATGAATGTAGTGACAGCACCAGGCAGACCTCTTTAGGAAGCCCATTCCAAAGGTGGGGAGCAGCCACTGAGAAGGCCCTTCTTCTAATTTCCATTCCTTTTACTTCCTCTAGGGATAGCTCTTTCAGAAGGACTTCATTAATTGTTCTTGGTGTGTGAGCAGGAGTATTTGGGAAAAGGCAGTCCTTCAAGTAACCAGCTCCCAAGCTGTTTAGGGCTTTCTGTGTTAAAACAAGCGCTTTAAACTGAGCCCAGGCTTCAACTGGCAAGCAGTGTAATTTATACAGAATAGGTGCTATGTGGACATGCAAACTGATACATGACACCAGGAAAAGTTTCAAAAGTGGTTAAATTTTTTATTTTACATCACCAGCCACAGAACATAAAAGTATATACTATATCCATTAAGACCAACCCCCCCCCCCCCAAAAAAAAACCCAAAAAAACAACCCCATCAGGGCCCTGGTCATGTTTGCCTGCCACAGTATAAATAGCAATATCAAAATCACACATGAAATTTAACTAAAAAGGGAAGAATTCAATAAAATAGTATATATTGGGAAAAATACTATGAATTCATTTTGGGGAAAAATATAGTATCAAGTTTCTGTTTTTTGCGCAAGGAAGCTATTGCCGATTTTATGTTCTGTGTTTCTATATTCATTTATATGCTTTATTTCCATCAGGAGGCCATAGTGCTCTTCTTGATAAAGATGTCTACAGTGTTGTTATGCTAACAATTTTTACTCAAGAGGAAAATACTTTGGAATGCAATACCTACTCTATAATTTCTTAGTGATGTTAAGTTGAATTCCTAACATTCAAACACTTCAAGCAAATGTGACCATGTTATCCCCAATAAGGGGTGTGTCTCTGTGTGTTTGTGATTGTTTGAGATAAACACACAGTCTCTAACTGCTTGTTTAAAATCGCTAAGAATAACGCTTTCATCTTAATGCAAAATCTTCCTGGGTTCTTCTAGTTTCATTCATTAATGAAAATGACAATACCGGAAACTTTTCTGTTAGAGGCACAGGTATCCTGCGAATGCAAACACTGCAGTCAGGGGCACGTACAACCATCCATGGCTAGAACGAACATAGGCAAAAGTGAAGCCATGTGTTGTTTGCAAAGCAGCAGCAAAGCAAATCCAGTAGCCAGATTGGGAAATACTTCACCTTCTCACTGGTAGGCAGGATGCATCGGAGACAGTGCACCTTACCTCCCCATCCAACAGTATCTCTGCCCTGTGTCCAACACCACTGGTTATTCAAGTGGGAACATAATATATGGCCATACAATGTGATGTATATAGCAGCACCCATTTCATGCAGCTGACGCACCAGATAAAATCTGGAAATTAATTATGTGATCCAAATCTATAGTATGTAGGACCCAGTGCGATGTTACATCTGCAGCTGAACAGCTGGTGTTACTGGAAGTGGGGCAGACATCCCAAACAGATGGGGAGATAAGGCTCATGACCCCCATCCTGTATAGGAGAGTAATAAAAGAAAATATTGTCCAGGGCCCAGGTGATTTATTTCATGCTAAAGCACAAACAGAAGGTTCTTTGGAGGTATGCAATACAGTACAAAGACCGAAAGCTTAAGCATAAACAGGCTTACTTGGAGGTATGTTCTACTGAGTTCATGGGATTTACTCTTCTGTAAGTGTAAAAAGTGTAAGAAAGCAGTCAAAATAAAATGAGAATGCAGAAGCTGAGGAGCAATTCAACAGTATAAGATACTCTCATATAAGCATCACGCAACAGATACATAGAAAGATTAATTTACAAAAGCCTTTGCTGTCACTCAGACTTCTAAATGTTTGTCAGGTATTGTGAACTCCCTCACCCCAGAAATTTAGGCCAACCTTCAATTAAGTATCTATCATGTCTAGCAATGTTGACAAGTGGAATTCACAAGCAATTTCTTCTTCTCTATTAGCTTTGATCAGCTGTTTCAAGTATGCAAGTCCGATAGGTATAGAGGTGTCTGTGTCCTTCAATTCAAAGGTGTTTCCAGCCTAAGCAAAGAGAAACAGAAAAAAAAATGATTTTGATAAAGTGGAAAAAAGCAATGAAGGGAAAATAACACATACCTTTTTGGCTACAGATATTTAAGTCCTGTTTAGTTATTATACCCAAACAGAGCATATTGATGTGTGTAAGAAGCATGAATGTATTGTCCCTGCACCTCTAATGCCACATAAAGTATGAAAGAAAAAAGAAAATAGGACAGAAAGAAGAGTGAAAAAACCCCAAAACTTCAGCCTTGCAGGGAGGAGGGGCTCCCTCGGCCTGCTCAGCCTCATCAGGCTGCTCTGCCAGTGGGCCTGGCTCCTCCACGTCCAGATGAAGGATCCACTTGCTGCATGGCCTCCTCCTGCTCTGGGCCCTCTTTGAGGTCTTTGCCCGCTGGAAAGGTGCTAAGGGATAGGACATCTCGCTCCCCAACTGTGTGAAACCTGAAGTTAGGGGAGCTGTGCCCACTACCAGTGGGGGAAAGCTCTGGGATGAGGCCTTCTCCCATTTCTGGGCACAGTGCAGCCCCAGGTGGAGTGGGGGAGTGTCACTGTCCATGGCAGGTTTTCGCTTCAGTGAGGACTGCTAGGAATGTGGCACAGAGGCTGCCACGCTTGGTAGAAGAGGCTGGGGGTTGGGCAGTGAGTGTCCATGTTTTTCTGCTGGCCATGCTGCCTGGGAGCATGGCCACTCATGGATGGAGGTGGCATGTCCTGCTGAGAAGGCTTTTCTGAAGGAGAACATGTCAATATCTACTCGTACCTGGGAAAGTTTATATGCTGGCTGTTTGGAATGTGTTCTGCAGCAGTGGTGGAGGAAAGGCAACATCAGGGCTTGTTGACAGTCCTAAGTAATGCCAGGGAAAAGAGGAATAGAGGAGGGTAGGATGCTTCTTTCCTTCCCCTTCCCTGTGTGCATGTGTGCTTGACTTCACCTCCAGTCCAGATTGTGTGTGCTAGTTTAACAAATTTTTCATTTCCCCAAGAACTTGGGTCATCATGTGCTGAATCTAGTGGGATTATTTCTTGGAGGGTTGGGTGTGTGCGCCTTCTTCTCCCCCCTCCCCCCACCATGCTTCACCACTCTTGCTGGGTTCACAATTAATAACAAGCCATGTCACAATTTCCACTTTGACTTGTCATATGAACCTGCCCACTGGAAGCAGCTCTCCAAGGATTCCTGGTAGGATTATTTTATAACTTTCCTTGGAGATGCTGGGGAATGAATCTGGGACTTTTGGCATAGAAAGCATGTGCTTCGCCACTGAACTATGGCCCTTTTTGTAGGGGTCCTGGGAACAGAAAAGACTTGTTGCACAATGGACCTAGCCCAATAATTAGAAACAGCTAAACCGAATGAGTTTCTTCAGTGCACTGGTGACCATACAGTCGGTGGTTAAACTATATGACAGGCTTGTACTTATCTAGCAGTGGTTTTGCCTCCAGTCTAATCGGCAGAGAAACAGTGAACAGCATGAATGAGACAGGCAGAACTGCAGGCCTGATTCTATGTCACAGTCAGGCCTAGTTGCCCTTCTGCTGCTCTCCAGGCACCCATAGGATAGACACCTGGAATTTGTGGCATCCATTTCACAAGATGGCCACCCATGAGTTACTCCATTTACAGCTGGTGAAGTTGATGGGAACAATGTGACTGGTTAGGTTTATTGTATGTTTTCTGAAGAAATAATAATAATAATAATAATAATAATAATAATAATAATAATAATAATAAATTTGCTTGAAGCCATTTCATGAAAATGAACCACAAAAGCTGACAACGCTAACTCCAAAAAGTCAATGTCATGAATAAGCTAAATATTACATATAACATTTTCCCCCCATGGCAAATTCAGAAATGTAGTTTGTTACAAATACTCCATATACATTCTCATTAATATAGCAATATTCTTTGTTTCATTACATCCTTTAAGATTTACCTCTGGGCTTCTTGATGTCTTTGTTTTGGCCAGTGGATGGATAATCTGAGGCACAGACACCAGAGTTTCAGGGAGGTAAGCAGGAAAAGACAGGGAATCCGGGAATATCTCAGCATCTTTAACTAATAACTGTTGTAGCTGTTCATCAAATCTGGACGAATTGTATGATGAAACAAAAAGAATTTGCAAATTTTTGTGAAATGAAAAAAAACAACCTTTTGCTCATTCTGATCTCAGGCAGTAAGGGGCTATAATGCAAAATCCAACCGAATAAAATCAATTGAAATTACTGGAAAACCTATCAACATAACCATCATTCAAGTCTATGCTTCAACATAGATGCTGAAGAAGAAGAAATTGAAAACTTTTGTGCAGATGTTCAAGTGGAAATTGATAACATGCTAAAACAAGACATGCTGATAATCCTAGGAGACTGGAATTTAAAAGTAGGAAACAAAGCAGAACACTTGGCTTTGGGGTAAGAAATGAAGCATAACAACTTGTAGAAATTTTGTGAGGCCAAGAACCTGTTCATTGCAAACACATACTTCAAGCAACCACTCAGACAATTGTATACATGGACTTCACCAGATGGCCAGTGCAGATAGCAAACATACTATGTAACTGGAATCAGAAGCTAAAGAACTTGTATTCTTGCTGCCAAAACAAAACCAGAAGCAGACTGCAGTTGTGATCATCAGCACTTAATCTGAAAAATCAGAGTCAAGCTGAAAAAGATCACCAACAAAGTGCCAAAATATAACTTAATTAACATCATTGAGGAATCTGAAGTCCACATGAAGAACAGATCTGTATTACTCAACTTAGCATGGGACAATGCAGAAACAAAAGCCAGGGGAATGACCCGTTGACTTTGGTCTTCTGAGAGTGGAAAGCAATACCTGGAACAATCAGCTGGTCCAAATCTAAGATGGAGAATTTGTGCAGAGCCCAGTGGCCATCTCTTATTTTTTGCCTTTCCCCAGCAAGCAATTGGCCGGAATATGGAACATTTTCACTTGATAGAATGAACGAACACCCTCATTCATAGAATGAATGAACACCCTAAGTGCTCTTCATCCTGGGCAAATGCACTATTTGTATGTTTTGTGCACTGTTTCTCCATTGGATCATAAGTGTATCTAGTAACTCTAGAAGTAAAAATGACAACATGAAGGTTGTCCTACTTCAAGCATATCATAAGAAGGCAAGACTTGCTGAAGAAGACAATCATGTTAGCGAATGTTGAAGCCAGAAGATGGCAGGGAAGACCAAATATGAGATGGATTGAATCCATCAAGGATGCCACAGCCTTGAATCTGGAAGAGCTGAATGGAGTTCTCATGTACAGGACATTTTGGAGGGCTTTCATTCATACGGTCACTCTGGGTCAGAAACCTGATGACACATAACAACATCTGCTCAACCATGTTACAAGGAATCAAGATCACCAATTGTATGCTTGGTGATGATCCTCTGTGAAATGGCAAAAGAGAAACTTGGGCTAAGTCCAAGGTTTGTTATATCATTTTTCCCTAGATGTTCAATCTGATCAGATGGAATAGTACTCTTCAGGCAAAAAATATAACCCTTCTGCATTTAACTGTCAGACCAGGCAGTACACCTTGCAGCAAGTTAGATAAAGTCTAGTTGTTTTTTGAAGAACAATTTTACATTATATAAAAAACAAGCATGTACAAACCTATAAAAACCCTCTTCTTTTTTCAACTCACTTCCATGAAGGTTGTATATATAGTGCTTCCAGTTTCTTTGATATATCACTTAATATATATGCCCTAGAACAGGGTTCCAGTGATGATGTTTAATTTTCCATACTAACTTGCTTTTTTTATATTATCTTGGTCCATTTCTATCCTCTCCAGCTTTTAGCCTCCCATCCAACTCCTCCCAACACATACTACTGTGCTAAAAACTAACATCCTACCAGTATTTGCTGGGTTTTACTGATGTAACATTTCTACCTGTTCTTCCTAACCCCAGAAGTGGGCGTCCAACACAACCCCATGCCATACACGTAACTATGATTATGAAAGAGAAAGAAAATCTTTACCTCCTATTCTCCATTTTCTCTAGCTGCAGCTTGCTAGATAGACTCGTGGGGAGAAGATCTGTTTCTGAAACAGCCATTGTTAGATCTGTTCCTCTGGAAATACTTTGTTCCCTGTTTCCTACAGTTCCCTTCTTGTCACAATAATCAGCTGAAGACAGGGAAGGGGAATATAGCTTCCCAAAAGATGTTGTCTTTATCTTGGACCTAGAGAATAAGAAGTAACAAGAGAAAGCAAACATTTACTTTTTGTCTGAGTATAAAACAGTGCATTTGCTGTAGATTGGATTTTACACAAACATTGTGACTAAAACATAAAAGCAGCCCTAGCTGATGAGAAAAAAGGTCCATTTAATCTAACACGCAGCAGTGACTAGTTTAATACTTCCAGGAAACCATACCCATTATTTCTTCCCCAGTGCCTTGTATCTAGAGGTATACGGTCTCTAAAAATATATATATATATATATATATATATATATATATATATATATATATATATTTATTTAATATCCCCACCCAGTAGCTGAAGCTCTCTAGGTGGTTTACAACACTACATAAAATGCAATATAAAATACAAAATGCATTAAAAGCATAAAGATTACCATTAAAAAAATTAAACCAAATGTGAAACACACGTTAAAAATTTACATTAGCTTATATAAAGTAAATTGTAAGAACTGTTTAAGCAGTTCACAAGGCCCCAGTAAATTAATTAAATGTTCCGCAGTTCAAAATTGAGAAAGGAGTTTGTCAAGGCTGTATACTGTTGCCCTGCCAATTAAACGTATATGCAGAGCACATAATGAGAATGGCAGGGCTAGATGAATCACAAGTTGCAATTAAGATTCCTGAGAGAAGTATCAACAACCTAAGATATGCAGATGACACCACTCTCATGACAGAAAGTGAAGAGGAACTAAAGAGCCTCTTGATACGGGTGAAGGAGGAGAGTACAAAAGTTGGCTTGAAACTCATCATAAAGAAAACTAAGATCATGGCATCCGGTCCTATCACTTCCTGGCAAATAGAAGGGGAAGAAATGGAGGTAGTGACAGATTTTATTTTCCTGGGCTCCAAGATCACCACAGATGGGGACTGCAGCCAAGGAATTAAAAGACACTTGCTCCTTGGGAGGAAAGCTATGGCAATTCTAGATAGCATACTAAAAAGCAGAGTTGGACCATAAGGAAGGCTGAGCACCGAAGAATTAAGGCCTTTGAATTGTGGTGCTGGGGAACACTCCTGCGAGTCCCTTGGACCGCAAGGTGATCAATCCAGTCAGTCCTAGAGGAGATCAACCCTGACTGCTCTTTAGAAGGCCAGATCCTGAAGATGAAACTCAAATACTTTGGCCACCTAATGAGAAGGAAGGACTCACTGGAGAAGAGCCTAATGCTGGGAACAATAGATGGCAAAAGAAGAAGGGGACAGCAGAGAATGTGGTGGCTTGATGGAATTACTGATGCAGTCAGCGTGAGCTTAGGTGCACTCTGGGGGATGGTGGAGGACAGGAAGGCCTGGAGGAATGTTGTCCATGGGGTCGCGATGGGTTGGACACGATTCTGCGACTAACAACAGCAGTAACAACAAAGAATACTGTCTTTACTTGGACCCAAAAGGATATTAAGGTTGGCATCAGACCTGTGGGTCGAGACCTGTTTTCCCCTGAAGAGGGCAGAACACATTCCAATGGAGCAAAGCTCAGGGAACCAAGGTTTAATTTAGATTCCAGGCAATACTTCCTGACGAGAGAAGAACCAACAAGGGACAAGGTCTGTGCCCAGCCCCTCCCCCTGCTGCTTCCGCCTCTGCATGCCAGCTGTGCACTCACCTCCCCAGACACCTGTGGACATCCAAGGCAGGGGGGTGGTGCTTGCGGGGTGTGGAGCAGGCCCTAACCCTAAGGCTGGCGGCCTTGAGCCGGTGGCTAAAGGACAGTGGCCAAAGGGTGTGAAGGCATTCAAGGCTGTCTGGGGTTGGGCCAGGGGCTTTGTTGGTTGTATGGAGAGGAGGCTGAGCTTGGTAACTTTTACATGTTGTCCTGGTGAAGTTTTCTCTTTTGAGTGGAGCCAGAGGCATTTTGTGCATTAAGGCTCCGCTTCTGAATGCATAGCATCCTAAGTTTTTATCTTATATTTGTATTTTATATTTACATCTGTATTTTAATTTAGTATGGGAGTTCCTGAGGAACGGGGGTGGGGTGCCCCCATTGGGGTGGTTATAGGCAGGGGAAGGAATGACGCTCAAGGTTTAACAAGTCATTACAGAAGGGGGGGGCAGATGGTTAGGACCTGTCCCCTCTTTTGGTTTTTCCCCCAAATGGAAGGTGCCAGGCAGTGGTATCAACCAGCCCTCAGGCTTGGTGGTGGTGCTACTGGTGAATGCCCGGTTGGTCCAAAATAAAACATTTCTCATTCATGATTTAATCATGGATGAGGGGGCTGACCTGGCATGTATAAATGGAGACCTGGGTGGGAGATGCAGGGGGCATGTTGCTCATCCAGCTGTACCTGCTCGGATATCTGGTGCAGCACCAACCCTGCCTGAAAGGAAGGTGAGGGGGTATGGCCCTAATTTACCGAGATTCAATCTCCCTCACGGGGCTTGCTGTCCCTTCAAGGCTGGGTCTAGAGTGTTTTTACCTGGCACTGGGTGATCGAGACAGATTAGCGATTCTGTTGGTGTACCATGCCCAGTCAACTCCCTGCCTGTGGATGTTGGTCCTGGATGACTTCAATTTCCATGCTGGGGCTGCTCTGACTGGGGCAGCTCAGGACTTCATGGCTGCCAAGACAGCCATGGGGCTGCTTCAACATGTCACTGGCCCAAAGCATGAAAGAGGTCACATTCTAGACCTGGTTTTCTTGATGGGGCAGGAAGATGGGGATCTGGAAGTGAGGGATTTGATTTTAACCCCTCTGTCATGGTCAGATCACTTCCTCATGAGATTTGAACTTGGGGCCAGTTTCTCCCTCCATAAGAGTTCAGACCTTATTAAAATGGACTTCCTCGAGAGTCTTATGGATGCTGATGGATTTCTGAGGACTTTGGGGGATTTTCCAGTTGATAAGGCTGGTGCTCCTGTTGGTGCCCTCCTTTGTGGAATGAGGAAATGGCCCAGGCAATTGACACAATCGCTCCCAAATGCCCTCTCCTGCCATGCAGAGCCTGAGTGGTACATTGGTATACACCTGAGTTGCAGGTGATGAAGCAGGCTGGGAGACAACTAGAGCGCAGGTGGAGGAAATCTCATGACAAATCTGACTGAACATTTCTTAGAGCTCATTATCAAGCCTGTGTTGTAGCGGTGAGGGTGGCAAAGATGGAATTCTTCTCCGCTTCCATTGCTTCCTCACAGTGCTGTCCAGCAGAGCTTTTTTGGGTGATACATGGCCTATTTCACTCTGGGCCTAAAAAGAACCTTACTGCACTATCAGTGGCTTGCTGTGACAACTTTGCCCAGCACTTTAGGGATAAAATTGCTCAGATTCACCACAAGCTGTACTCCAGAGTTGATATGGCCCTGAAATGGGAAGTGTCCAGAGTGCCATCAGGTCCATCTTTATTGGATGAGTTTCAATTGTTGTGGCTTGAGGATTTGGACAAGGTGCTTAGACTAGTCCAACCCACCACCTGTTTGCTTTTCCTTTGCCCCTCGTGGCTGCTCATCAAAGCCAAAGCCAGGATATGCATCTGGGTCCAGGAGGTTATCAATGCCTCTCTGAGGGAGGGATGGGTTCCCACCTCTCTGAAGGAGGTGGTGATCAGGCCCATCCTGAAGAGGGCAACCCTGGACCCAGATATAGCCACCAACTATAGGCTGGTGGCTAATATCCCATTTTTGGGCAAGGTACTCGAGCAGGTGATGGCTGGACAACTCCAGGCTATCTTGGAGGAAACTGAACATCTGGACCTGTTCCAATCTGGCTTCAAGTCTGGCTGTGGAACTGAAACTGCCTTGGTCACCCTGTGTGGTTCGGGGAGTATGTGCCCCTGATGATTCTCCCGGACCTCTCAGTGGCTTTCAATACCATCAACTATGATATCCTTCTGGTTCTGGTCAGGTTGGGAGTTGGTGGCACTGCTTTGCGGTGGTTCCTCTCCTACCTGTCTGGCCAATTCCAGAAGGTGGTGCTGGGGGACTATGGCTCTGTGCCATGGCAGCTTTGCCAAGGATTTTCACAGGGTTCCATTTTATCCCCCATGCCCTTTAACATCTCCATGATGGGAGAGCTCATCCAGGGGTTTAAGCTGCAGAGTCATCAGTACGCTGATAACACCCAGCTCCATCTCTCTTTTACATCCAGTCCAGGTGAGGCAGTGGCTGTCCTTAACCGGTGCCTGGCCAAGGTAATGGGCTGGATGAGGACCAATGAATTGAAGCTTAATCCAGAAAAAACAGAGGTCCTGTTGGTGAGCGGTTCAGCCTTCCGGGTAAGGGATTTCAGCCCTGTTCTGGATGGGGATGCTCTCCCCCTAAAGGACAGGGTTCACGGTTTGGGAGTGCTCCTCAATCCAGAGCTGTCATTGGTGGCAGCGGTGGTGAGGAGCACTTCCCTTTAGCTTCGGCTGATCCACCAACTGAGCCCTTACCTGGATGAGCAGAGCCTAGCAATGGTGACCAATGCTCTGGTAACTTCCCGATTGGACTACTGTAATGCGCTCTACATGGGGCTGCCCTTGAGGACAGCCCAGATACTTCAATTGGTTCAGAATAGAGCTGCCAGGATGTTAATGGGGACCAGCAGGTATTCATATATAACCCCAGTCCTCTACCGTCTACACTGGTTGTCAAGTGAAGTCCGGGCCCAATTTAAGGTGCTGGTTATGACCTATAAAGCCCTAAGCAGCTTAGGACCTTGATATCTGAAGGAGCATCTTTTCCCCTCTGTGCCTGCCCACCCCTTAAGATCTGAGGCGGAGGTCCTCCTTTGGGAGCCCTCTTTGAAGATTAGGAGAATGGCTACCTGGAGAAGGGCCTTCCCTGCAGTGGTGCCGACTATGGAAGGCGCTCCTCAGAGAGGTTTGCCTGGCACCATCACTCTATCCCTTTTGGCGCTAGGGTAAAACTTCTTTATTTTCCCATTATTTTAATGTCTGATTAGGTTTTAACGCAGGTTTTATTTCATTGGAATTATTTGGATGCTGTGCTTCATTTTAATTTATGCTGATTTTACTGTAAGACCATCCCAAGATGCTAGTAGTTGGATGGTATATAAAAGCTTTAAGTAAGTAAATAAACAAACAAAATAAACAAACAAAAGGAAGGGCAAAGTGGTGATGTCTGCCAATCTGGATGGCCTTAAAAAGGAATTGGACAGATTCATGAGGGAGGAGGCTATCAGTGGTTACTGTCCTTGCTGGCTATGTGGTTGCTACCTCCTTTACCAGACGTTCCTGCATACCCCAGTTGCTGAGAAGCTTGAGCAGACAGAGGTCTTACACCCATCCTGCTTGAAGGATGGGGAGCTGGTTTACCTCCATATATATGGAGTTCTGGACTAGCTGGACCTTTGCTCTGATCCAGCATGACTTTTTTTGTTATATACAAAGTATTCAGAAATGCTTTCTAGCCAGCTTCTCAAATGTTCCATCTCATTGGAACCACAATATACACAATAAGTAAATGATACATAGTCTCCTATTTATGGGAATCAAATCTCCTAAATTTTATTTATTTATTTATTTATTTATTTATTTATTTATTTATTTATTTAGTAAACTTCTATGCTGCCCCATTCACTGAAGCCTTGCGGCGGCTTACAACAATAAATAAATAAATACATATAATCATATAAAAACAATATAATTGGAAACGCCCTGGCCAAAGATATAAAATCAATAAATAAGCTAACAATTAAAATGCCGTTTAAATAAAAAGGTCTTGGCCTGGCAATGAAAAACATATAACGATGGCACCAGGCGGACCTCTCTGGGGAGCGCATTCCATAGATTGGGCGCCACTGCAGAGAAAGCCCTCCTCCGGGTACTTACCCTCCTAATATCCTTCACGGAGGGTTCCCAGAGAAAGGCCTCTCCCGCTGATCTCAAAGAGCAGGAGGGCACGTATGGACGTAAGCGCTCCTTTAGGTAACCAGGACCCAAGCCGTTAAGGGCTTTATAGGTGATAACCAACACCTTGAATTGGGCCCGGACTTCAATGGGGAGCCAGTGGAGTTGACGGAGGACTGGAGTCATGTGAACATAATGCCCAGTCCCCGTCAGTAGCCTGGCAGCTCTATTTTGCACTAACTGAAGTATCAGGACTGTCTTCAAGGGCAGCCCCACGTAGAGCGTGTTGCAGAAGTCTAATCGGGAAGTTACCAATGCATGTGTCACTGTCGCCAGGCAGTCGTTCTCCAGGTAGGGACGAAGCTGATGGATCAGCTGAAGCTGAAAGAAAGAGCTCCTCACCACTGCTGTCACCTGAGCTTCAAGTGAAAGCTCTGGGTCAAGGAGCACTCCCAAACTGCGGACCTTGCCCCTAAGAGGGAGTGCAACCCATTCAGGACAAGGTCAAGGTCCTCTTCCCCGAAGCCTGATCCACCTACCAACAGGACCTCCGTCTTGCCTGGATTGAGCTTCAGTTTATTGGCCCTCATCCAGCCCATTACCTCGGCCAGGCACTGGTTCAGCACAGCCACTGCCTCACCTGGATTGGTAGAAAACGAGAGGTAGAGCTGGGTATCATCAGCATACTGATGATTCCACAGCCCACACCTCCTAATGACCTCTCCCAGCGGTTTCATGTAGATGCTGAATAGCAGAGGGGACAAAATTGATCCCTGCGGTACTCCATGGCATAGCTGCCATGGCGCAGAGTCATAGTCCCCCATCATCCTAATAAGAGTCTTGGAGCTGAGGGCAACAAACTGTAATTTCTCTAATTATCTCTATTACAATGGCCAGGAGAGCCAACATGGCACAGTAGTTGAACTGGGACTTGGGAGTTCTAGCCCATGTTCGGCTATGAATTTCACTCAGTGACTTTGGGCCATTCATTGACTCTCAGCCTAACAGATAAAATGGAGAGGGGTACCATGTAGGATGCCTTGGCTTTGTTGCAGGAAAAAAGGCAGGTTATAAATAGTGTGAATGATCTAGTCCTCTCAAGTGCAGTTTATATTAAAAATAAAACCAATAAGGTATGGTAAGAACAGTTAGTACAAGGAGGATGTCTTAAACACATGGGGAAGAAAGGCAGACAGGACAGTGGTGGCTGAAAATAATTGTGGGTTAACAGGCCCAGACACACTTTGGAGATCTAAGTGCAGTCATGCAAGAGTCTGTTGTATATGCTGCATGTGAAATACACTGCATCTTACCTTCCTTGATTCTGATGGATTTCTTTCTGAGTTCTTAATCTGGCTTCTTCCCATAAAAAAGGACAAGTAAATTTTTTCAAATGGTCCTTTAAAAAATATACATATATCTGTCCATCTTTACTTACTGCTTCTGTAAAATTAAAAAACATATACCCATGATTCAATTAGGTGTACAGATTTTCCATGATCAACACAAATTAACATGTATCAAATTGTGATCTGCTCACAGGGTCTATGGGCTAATGGAGCGGACAGTAAGTCCAAAAATAATAAATAAAATGTAAACAGAAACACTGCACCTTTTCATGGAATGCAAGTACTGTATATATGACTTAAACAGGAAGAATATAAATAAAGCTGCAGCTTTCTAGAAAGCAGTCCACAATAAAATCAAGTTGCTTACTGGTAATTGTCATTTTCTAAGTGGTCACCTATGCATTCACACAGATGGGCTCTGTGCCTACAGGGAGCCTGTTATGTGAAAGATTTAATAGGTGAGAGCTTTTTGGCAGGGTGCCCTCCCCCGGGTCGATATAGAAGGGAGCTGCTCCCACCATTCCCCTCACTTCCAACGAGACCACCTTGTTGCCTCAGGGTTAAGTGGTCAGCTGTGCAGTCCACATGCTGCTCAAGGCCTAGGTTGGAAGGATTGTCTATAGCACAGTGGCACAGAGTGGACAGGAAGCCCTCCACCCCTTCAGGGTCCCTGGATAAGAAGGGTAGGGCTCCTGCCCAGTCCATCAGTTGCTTTGGGGGCCACATCATCTCCAGACAGCTAAAGGTGTAGCTTGGATGGAACGGTGATGATACTCTTACCCTCGTCTCACAGCCGGTCACGGGTGGAGGGCATGGCAGGCTGACAACAGGTAGCAGGGTGGAGAATGGGTTATGTGAATGCACAGATGACCACTCAAAGAATGACAGCTACAGATAAGCAACCTGCTTCCTTCGTCTTGGTCATCTGTGCATCACACATATGGGCCCTTGTGGAGGGAGGTGCTGGTGTCACTGGAGGACTGCTGAGAGGAATGCATGATCCCGTCTGGCATAGACGTCAAGCTGGTAGTGCCAGACAAGTTTGGGGCACGGACCATGTGGCGGCTCTGCAGATGTCAAGCAACAGGATCCCAGCTAGCAGGGGAGCAGATGTAGCCTGAGCTCACGCAGAGTGTGCATATGGGCACACGAGGAGGTCAAGTCCTGCCATCTTGTACACAAGACAGATGGTGCTGCACACCTAGCTGGGGAGTCTCTGGGATGAGACAGGTTCCCCTTTATTCTGGCCCTTGTAGGAGATTAAGAGGCAGGCTGAGCATTGGAATTGCTCTGTCCGTGCCTTATAGAAGGTGAGGGCCATGCTGGAGGGGTTGGGGAAGAAGGCTGGAGGAACAATGTCCTGAATGATATGAAAGGGGGAGGTGACCTTGGGTGTGAAGTGTGGGTCAGGATGCAGCACAGCTTTGTCCCTGTGAAGTGAGGTAGGGGATATTGATCCACAGTGATAACTTGCTGGTGCAACAGGCAGACGTGGTGGCCACAAGGAGTTGTCTTCCATGACGGGAGGTAGAGGTCTGTTGTTGCCACTGGCTTGAATGGCCTTTTTTGTGAGAGGCCAAGAGACTCCACAGAGGTTTGCAGGGGCACACAGCTTGGGTGGTAATCTGGAGGACGCAAAGGAACCTGCACACCATGAGTGCATGCAAGCAGATGGCCCCTGAATGGGAGTGGCAGTGTGAGGCTGGTGCAAGATGGGCCTGCCAAGAGGATGGGGCGAGGCCAGCACTGAAGTGGTTCTGGAGAAGATAAGGAAGGGTTCCATGGAAATCTAGGAGCCTGCTGATCCTCCAGGTCCAGGGTCCTGATGTCAGAGTGAAGCACCCAGTCCCCATCCTGTGATAATAGGTTGTGATGAGGCAGCAGGTGGAGAAAGTTCCTGTTGGTGAGGAGGAGGAGGAGGGGAAACCATGATAATCTTGGCCACCAGGAAGTAATCAGGACACAGTCCGTCTTGTCCAGCGCTTTTTTTGTAAAAAAAAAAAAAAAAGGTGCCGGAACTCATGTCGCGAGCATTAAGCGCGCGACCACACACACAGCGGAGCGTCCCAGGTGGAGAACAGCACCCTCACTATCTCACTATCAGATAGCAGACACAAAAGCAGCCCACAGGCACTATGTTAATGATGTTTGCTGCTGATCTGCTGGATGGGCCATGCGTGGTGGAAACTGTCTCCCAGCATATATCAGGGATAATGAAGTCCCCCATGATGACTACATTGCTGTTCTTGGAAATGCTGGCACGTTGCTTTTCGAAGGTTGCATCCTTGTCCTCTTTTTGACTGGGTGGTCAGTAATAAACATCAATAACTCTGTTTTTCTGATTTTTTGCTCCCTTTAAATTAAGCCAAATGCTTTTGATGGGCTACCAAGTTCCTCTTCTTGTATTTCTGTGCAGATATGTGTGTCTCACATATAATGTGATTCCATCCCTGGGCACTCGTGTAGAGACATTCTTGCTGTGCCCTGGTTTTCTTCCTACATTTTATGGGAGACTGGTGTTGGGCCCTGCTTGAGTTTTTTTCTGTTGGAATATATGTCTTTGCCAGGTGAAGGTATGTCATGCCCGTCTCCCTCCCTTGTATTTTTCAGTTTAAAGCCCTCCTGATGAAGTTTTCGTGTAGTGGCCAACCATCTGTTTCCCATTCTTGGTGAGGTGCAGTCCATCACTTGCCAATAGTCCATTGTGGATGTGAGCCTTGGCACAATGTCAGAGGTGCGGGGTGCGTGGTCTGGATGGCATGGCATGGCTGCTGCACAGGCTCCTCAGAGAAGGAGGAGGAGTCTTTGGGGTCTCTTCTGATCTAGGCCTTGCACTGTGCAGCAAAGCCAACATGTGTGAATGCACAGAGACCACGACAAAAAAGCACTGCTAACCTGGGCAGCCAAACCACCAACCTGTTTGTAGTTTTTGTTTTCCCCTCTGAAAAGGCTTACAGAATATCAATAACCCATGGATTACTGGAGCTGCACAGGAGTGTGTTTCCTCAAAACAACCTGCTGCTTTCACTTTGTTTCTGGTGACAAGACAACTCAAGAGTTGCTTGCTATGATGTCTGAGCCCAGTGGCTGAGGGAGAAACATCAAGAGTCTAGCCCAACAACAAAACACAATCATTTTATAATTTGGAAGCAAAGCAGAGGTAGGCTGCTGGACCCTACAACTCTCTTCTTCCTTCACCACTGGCAGCTCTGCCTAGAACTAGTCAGAGTTGTAGGTAAAAACATCTGAGTGGGGAACAAATTGCCCACCCCCTGCTTAACCTTATTAACCCACCAGGCTACCCACCTGCTCAAGAGATAAACAGTTAAAAAAAAGATCATTTGGGCAGGAAGATAAAGAAGCATGACACATTCCTCACAGTGTTAGAGAGACAAACTGAATGTGTGCTGATGCAATTTAAACCAGAACATAACTGCCAAATTTAATAAAACTGTCCCAAATACATTTCTTACCTGGTGATACTGATAACTGAGGTGGTTTCCAGTCTCTCAATTTATGATTAATGCAGACTTCCAGGATACTATCCCAAGGGATCTCCTTCACAGAAGGGCCATCTTCTCTAAAGCTGACACAGTTTCTGCCCTTCCACTTCAAGTAGGTTTGGCTCAACAAATTCTCTATCTGGGACTGTAGTATCTCCTGTGTCTGAAGTGAACTGGCAGTCTGGGACAAATACTGGAAAATCATGGCACATACTGGGCTCCAGGGAGCTGTGGGAGGAAGGAAATTTTATTGCACTATTTCCAAGTATGAGGGAACAAGCCCGGGCATAGTATTATATCCCAATGTCTGCTTTGACATTAGCACACTCAAAATATCTCAAAGACACCAAGGCATAACACAATCCAGTTAAATGCAGCTAACCCCAGGTAAGCATAGTGTGGTGTAGTCTAAATGTGCGGAGGGAAATTTGGCATTCATTGAATTCTGTTAGCTTACTCAATGTAGAACCTGGATTTAAATTAATTAGCATAGCTGCAGCAAATCTTTGAATGACTCTTTTTTACTGCCATGCAAAAAATAACTAAATACACAAATATAAATATAGATTATAATGAATCTCCATTAAGAAAATTTGGGAACACATTTTAAATGTATTTTAAAATAGGGGAAGACTTATTGCATCAAGTTCATTTTAGGCAAGTTGGATCCAGGAAATTTGAGACCCTCAAAGTTTGTTGCATGAATATCTACTGAAGTGAAAGCAACGAAAGCTGTTCTGTTTAAAATAGGGTCTTGCTCTTGAACAGACAACCCTAGAACTGCACTTGGAATACTGCTAGTTTTTTACAGAATTTTTTTGACTCTTCAGCTGAGAGGACAGAAGCTCTCTGTGAGATCCACTCCTGTTAACTTCAACAGGGACCTTATTTTATCCCCCCACCCCTCTGATAATGAAGGTATTAATGAAGACCAGGCAGGATATTTAATTAATTTGTATAGAAGCTGCCTGTTAGCATAATGCTCTCTGGATGGCCATACAATAAAACATCAATACTTAGGTATTAATCTTTCAAAAAGTACTTGATATCTGGAAAAAAGTGATTTTGATATATTAAAATATGGAATAAAGAAGAAAATGCAGCTATATAGGATTATCTTGGTTTAGGAGAATAGCAGTTTGTAAAATGAAATTTTTACTTAAGATTAACTTCTTATTTGGGATGTTGCCAATTACTATATGAGGGAGTTAGAAGATTGGCAAATAATTAATTTTGTAATGCAGATAAAAAAGCAAGGATTATTAAGAAAAGATCACAGAAAGAGGGAGGACTAGTTATTCCAAATATTAAACTATATTATGAAGTGAATCAACTACGATTTATACCAAATATTATATAGCAGCCAGATGAGATAATATAGGCAGAGACAGAACAATAGGCAGAGATAGAACAATACCCCTTCATGGATCACTGCCTTGTTGTGGCAAAGGAGCTTGTGTAGCTCAAGGAAGCTATGAGCTATGCCGTGCAGGGCCACCCAAGATGGACAGGTCATAGCAGAGAGCTCTGACAAAAGCTGATCCACTGGAGAAGGAAATGGCAACCCGCTCCAGTACCCTTGCCATGAAAACCCCGTGGACAGGACCAAAAGACAAAGAGTTATGACACCGGAAGATGAGCCCCTCCAATCAGAAGGTGTCCAATGTGCTACTGGGGAAGAGCGAAGGGCTAGTACTAGTAGCACCAGAAAGAATGAAACGACTGGGTCAAAGCTGAAAGGACACTCAGTTGTGGATTATCTGGTGGTGAAAGGAAAGTCCAATGCTGTAAAGATCTATACTCCCTAGGAACCTGGAATGTAAGATCTATGAATCAAGGTAAGCTGGACGTGGTCAACCATGAGATGATAAGACTGAACATCGACATCTTAGGAATCAGTGGATTCCTGTATTTGGACCTGAAAGGCCAAGGAAAAGGGTGGCTGCATGGAGGGTAAGCAGTAAACAAGCACAGTAAGTGATACTGCACATCATGGGACATGTCTGTTAAGGCATCAGTCTTAGCTTCCTATTTCCTAGTTTTCTGGAGTAAGAGCCAACATGAAGGTAGCTTACCTCAGGACTCTGAAACTAGCAGAGACTTTTTAAATCATTTGAATATATATCAATTAATTGCAGAGCCAGAATCCAACATCTTTAGTAGTACACTAAAATATATGAAATTCAACTCATTGGTTAGACAAGAGAAACTGACAGACTTATGTAAAGACACACATTCCAATAAATTGTCTTTTTTCATTCAACAAGAAAAATAGCATTCCTATCATATTGATTGTTTGTCAGTACAACAGCCATTGGTTGACAACAGTTTTATACTGGTTATTCTGTCTGGCTAAAAGCTCTTACCACCCAAAGGAGGCAGATCCATCTGTGGGATCTGGAAGGAAAGCAGTGCTTTCTTCAGCCAAGCCAGATGGTTCGGTGCATTCCACTTGAGATGGGGAAGGTGTTTGCTGCCTCCATCTTCTACAAATTCAGTTACAGGCCAAGAAAGTTCACAAAGATCTTCTGAAGAGGCAACTTCAGCCAAGAACTGAACTACGCTGTTATATAGCTCTATTATGGCACTAGGATCTTGGGATGGCAAACCAGCCATGTGTCTCTCTTTCTTGTCTTTGTAGAACTGCTGGTTGAATTCACGGTCAAGGCCATCTTCAATGAACTGCATAAATGTCTGGAAGCCAAGCTTGACAGAGCTTGGGCAGTTAGCAACCAGCCACTGTACTGCTTCTGATAGCTGAAAAGAGCAACATACAATTCACTACTTGGGAGGGGAGAAAGTAGACATCCCATATACAATTTATCACTATATTAAAATCTAAATCTCATTGGAAACAAAAGCCCTTTCAGACTCACTTTCAAATGCAGTCTGGTGTCAAAGCTGAAAATACTTATTAAAAGATGTTAAGTTGCAGGAGAAACCCAATAGCCTTTCCATGATCTGAGAAGACTGTGTAGACATGATTACTTTTCATGCTTGTTTGGAGTACATAATGCTGTCTTAAACTAGATAACATCAACTAACTTACTATGGAAAAATAGAAAATAAACACAGATTGTATTTCATCCTTCACAACCAATTGTTGTGGTTAAAAAGATTCCAACTCTGTGCTGTCAGGGAACAAAAGAGAGGAGTGGGAGCTGGAGGAAAGATTGCAGAAGCTTTCAATGGAACTCTCCATTAGATAGCCTGTAAGAAGCAGGTGTAATACTTGTGATCAGGTTAGGGCCAGAAAGAAACCAGCTTGTCAGTAACTGTACAGAAACTGCACAAACCAGTATAAAAAGCCATGTTCTTCCACGTGAAAAATCCACCATTGGGCAAATCCTGTATGAATACTAACCAAAAGGCAAAAAAGGCAAAGTTAATATCCCTTGAAGATCCTCAGACCATTTCATCAAGCTAAGTATTAAATAAAAATTGGGAAAGGAAAAATGCTGAGTCTGAAGTCACAACCTGTGCATATTGATTGTCTTAAGACAGCATATAGGAAGGAACACAACCCCAGGTAGTTATGTAGATGTTCCTCTCAAAACATCTTAGCCAAGGGGAATACAGCCTGATACCACCCATTACATTAGCCATTGGAGGAAGAGCAGGTTGCTTACCTGTTAATGCTGTTCTTCAAGTGGTCATTGTGCATTCATACTTATGGGCTCTGTGCCTGCATGATGCCTGTTGTCAGGAAAATTCATAACTGAGAGCACTGGGGCGGGGGGGGGGGGCGGCGGCTCCTCCCTCATGGTAGGCATGTCATGAGTGGAGCTGGCTGGAGCTGGGGGGTCAGACTAGATGGCCCAAGAGACCCCTTCTGATTCGCTCTGTTTCTCTGTTTCTCGTCCTGGTGTTTGGTATATATGGGAGGAGCTCTCACCCATTCCTTTAGACTTCTTTTGTGCCCCAGGACTGATCAATCATGAGATTAGTGGGACCCATTCTACATACAAAAGGGAAATTTTCTAACCCAATTTTGGTAAACAAAAGAGGGTTTAGAATGTGACAGTTGAAGAGAGGTCTGGGTTAGTGGGTTTTGTGAATGCACAGAATTGCAGAATGCACAGAACTCAAAGAATGACACTTACAGGTAAGCAAACTGTCATTGCACATGTTAGTGGTACTGGGCACTGCAGTTTATTATTTAGTTATTTATTAAAACATTTTTATGCCGCCCCATTCGCCGAAGTCTCGGGGCGGCTTACAACAATACATAAAACCAATAAGTTAAAATATACATATAAATAATCATAATAATTTAAAACACACAATATAAAATAAGCCGCCCTGGCCAGATATAATTCAGTGGTATTAACATTTAAAATGTTGCTTAAATAAAAAGGTCTTCGCCTGGCGCTGAAAAACAAATAACGACGGCGCCAGGTGGACCTCTCTGGGGAGCGCATTCCATAACGTAGGCGCCACCGCTGAGAAAGCCCTCCTCCGAGTAGCCACCCTCCTAATTTCTCTCACAGGGGGCTCCCGGAGAAGGGCCTCTCCCGCCGATTACATACAGTTACATACAGTTCATACACCCGAGAGACTGTTTGCACCACTCAGGCTGCTAATCTCTGTGATGACAGAGAGTGTTCTTGATTCTTGCTATCATAGGAGAAAAAGGGTCTTTGGGACCAACGGAAGGCTATAGAGTGCCAGCACTCTAAGAATGTCCAGAATATGCAGTATAAACTCCATTGGGTTGTACAGGGAAGCAAAAAATGCTAGAAAACAATGTCTTGGTTCAAATGAAACTGAGGATGCTACTTTTGGAAGAAACAAGAGATTTGGGCTCTGCATCACCTCACCCCTGTGGAAGATAAAGCATAGATCATTCTTACCTTGCTGGTACCTTGCAAATCACTCAAAGAATCTGGCATTTCAACAATTTTGTAGTCTGAGATAAGGTTAGCTGAAATCAAATCTGGTAGCATCAACCCTTTAAAAGAAAAGACACTTCACTTTAGCAATTCCACTCATGTATCGTCCCAGACAGACATAGAATTTAAAAGAGGCAATCATATGACTAATGGAAAATATCAATTTCAACTTTAGGAAAGCATCTATCTTCAAAACTATTTATGCTGAGAAGACCCAGCATATTTTTCTAGAGCAATCTTATTAACTCCTATTATTTATAAGCTGCTGCTTCTGTCTTGGATATTTTCTTAGGCATTAGTAAATTATTTCAAAATAATTAGTAAATTGTTTCAAAGTTATTTCAAAGTTCACATACCTTTTGCTACTTCCTTTTCCATGCCCTCCTCTCCGTGACTTGGGACAAGCACCACCAGAGGTACTACTGGCTGGAAAGGTTTTGCCTGAAGGAGCTGTTTCAGTTGAAGCAAGGCTGAAATCCAATAAATGTCTTCCTCCACCTCATCTTCAGTACTCACTCGAGGAGACAGCAGCAGAATAAGCCCACTAGTTCCAAGCAACTCTTTATGAGTCTCTGTGTCATTGAGCTCAGTGGTGCTAAGAGTCCCATGAGTCACCTATACAGAGAAGGCAAACTTCTAATTCCATTGTACAAAAAAAGTAAGCTAAGATCCTAAAAAGCCAAAAGCTGCCCAAATGGGAAAGACAAAGGTGCATGTGGTCCAGCATCTTGTTTCTAATAATAACCAACAATTTGCTTCTCGGAAGGCTGCAAGTACACCATTACGCAACAAGCTTTCCCCCTGCTATTCACCTCCACTAAACTCTAGCAACTGGCAGAAGACCACAGTCTCGAACATGGAAGCTAGAGTAATTTGGAAAAAGAAAAAAAAAGGCACCAGCTATCCTGAAGACAGAGTCATATAAGGGTTCTGCAGATCAATAGGTATCTTTTGTTCTATTGTCTGCTCATTGTCAGGTATGGCTATCTCCCCCCTTCAGAAAAATATGCAAAAAAGTCAGCCAAATTTACAAAAATGTACCAGGCATGCTGTTTTGTGTGTCTTTCTTAGTATAGAGAACAATTGATGAAAATAGTGTATATATACACACACAATCCCCCCAGCTACACAGCTGAGCAGTGAAAAGAAATCAGAGATGTATAAAACATGTTTAAATAGTCTATAGGCCAGCAACTTTAGGATTTTTATATTCTGAAAAAAATGCACACCCAGGAGGATACCAGTCCATATCAGAATCCACAGGGTAGATTCATGGAAGACAGAATTTATTTGAATCCATTCCAGATTTCTTCAAGAGGTTGTAATTAGTGTCATGTGCTCCTGGACTTTTTATGACTTAGGCAGATACTCTGCTTCTCTTTGGCCAGGCTAGATAGATGTGATTGCTTGCAATCAGGGCTGCCTCTTCAGATACCTTAGACCTTGGGAGCCCTGTGTGACAGCTGTGCCAAGGCTATTTAGGTTAGTAAGCAAGATGGTTATTTCTTTTGCATGCTTCTTCTGTTTTTTTTCTTCTACCCTTTTGCTGGATTTTGTTTTATTTGTAATAAACACTGTTTTGTAATCTAAACATTGTGGCTTGATTGCAAGACAAACTCTAAGTAGGAAGTAGTAATAAAAATTACAGGGATATTGCAGGTTGTGAATTAAAAGCAGAAGTGGGCAGGAATCCGCACACTCATTTGTGGTTGTTTACTTACATAAACCAGGTCACAGGGTGTGTCAAGATATAGCAAGCTGTAGCAATCAGAAGGCATTGTGCAGCTGCTAAATCTTTTTTCCCCTTACCTGATTTTCTGCAGTAAGAAAAAATAAGTAAAGGCAGAATATGGAAGGGTTACAAATAGAAACTGACAACTTTAGGGACCTTATACCACTTGGAACACTATAAAACATCACTAGAACTTGTCTGGAAGCCAACTGGAAATCAATTAATATGATTAAGCACTGGGTGATACATTCAGTATACCAATTGTACTGTACTTTCAAATACAGTCAGATAACATCCTGGATGCTACATTTCTAAATGCTTCTCAGAAAGCAGCTCCTCATAAAATGCATTGTGGTATTCCAAAGTAATGGACTTCCACAGTATCTATCAAGATACATCCAGCAAGTATTGTTTTGAACAGACCTTTACACATATATTAACACAAACATGATGATTTCCTTGCATATGAAGAGAAGTATGCAGAGCTAGTGTCTGAATTCCACTGGTCGCCAGGGATGTAGACTCCTTCGAATTTTTATCAATTATAAATTTAGCTTTCACCCAATCTGCTAGAATTCTGTAACAGAAGGAAAAAATATTTCAGCTTACCAACAGATTTAACTCGTAGCAGTATCTAGCAGTTAAAGCATAAAAAAGCCCCATAGCCATAAGCTATCAATGTACTAATCAGTATATGTCATGAAGTTAAAACAACTGGTTTCCTCATTTAACAGTCCCACAGACTCATTTTACCGTGAAAAAACATATTTATCCATTCGAGCTAGGCCACAACATAATGTCTACTCAGAGAAAGGTCCTCCAGATGTCAGCATTCCTCAACAAACAATCTAGCCATTATGGCTGAGGAATCTGAAATACACACACACACACACACACACACACAAATAGAGAAAGAAATGGGGAAGGGGTAGAAATATTTCAAGTGAAAGCCAGCAAAGGCACAACATGCTGGAAGCACGCAGTGGACCAACTGTAAAAAGGCTGCTGATGTGCTGAAAAAGCATGGGGCTATGGGACGTCAATTCTGCCAAAAAGGGATCTGAGATACACACAAGAGCCCATGAGAAGCCAGAGCAGGAAGAAGGGCAGGAGGGGGATATAGGCAGGTTGCTTACCTGTCATTTTCCAAGTGGTCATCTGTGCATTCACGCATATGGGCTTTGTTGTGCAGCACAAGGACTAGACCAGAAAGGAAACTTCCATAGATCAGTGTCATGGAAGGGGGGCCCTGGGGGCCCCAATAAAAAGGGGGGCTCCTACCCACTTCCTCAGGTGCCTTGGAGACTGCAACAGCTTGGGCATGTGAGGGTGCCTACACATGACAGAAGGAAAGAACAGAGATGGTGACCCACCCCACACCTGGTGGAGTCACAGGGCACACTAGGCTGAACACAGCCAGTGGGGTAGAGGTGGGTTGTGTGAATGCACAAATAACCACTTGAAGAACAATAGTTACAGGTAAGCAACAAGGCTTTCTTCTTCATGGCCTCTGTGCATCACACATATGAATGACTAGAAAATGCACCCTTCCTGGAGGAGGGGCTGTCATCACTGGAGAATTACAGAGAGGACCGCCCTGCCAAACGCACAGTCTTGTCTGGCACAGATGTCTAGTCAATAGTGCTGGATGAAGGTCAATGGCATGGACCATGTAGCTGATCTGCATGCTCCGTGCAGGGGAATGCCAGCTAGCAGGGCAGTAGACGCAGCTTGTACACGCGTGGAGTGCACACAGGGGCGTGCTGGAAAACCCCATTTCACCATCTCATAGGCCAGGGAGGTAGTACTGAACACCCACTTGGAGAGCCTCTGGGTCAAGATGGGCTCACCTGTATTCTGACCCTCATAGCGCATGAGCAGACGGCTGGAGCACTGTAGTGGCTCAGTCCAAGCTTTGCAGAAGGCGAGGGCCTTGCACACATCGAGGAGGTGCAACATGGACTTGATCGAGGTGGCAAGGCTGGGGAAGATGGCCAGGAGGACGGTGTCCTGGTCGATGTGGAAGGATGACATGACCTTTGGTGTAAAGTAAGGGTGTGTGCAGAGGACCACCTTGTTCCTGTGGTGCGGCTAACTCGCTGGGACAGCAGGCGAACAAGGAACACTGTCTTCCAGGATAGGAGGTGAAAGTCTGACATTGCCTTAGGCTCGAAGTATCTCCTTGTGAAGGATTACAGGACCACAGAGAGACTCCAGCGGGGGAGTGCAGGGTCTAACTGGAGGGGTGAGGTTCTGAAGGCCCTGGAGAAACTGATGTGCTAGTGGGTGCGCAAAGACAGAGGACCCCTGTACTGGTGGGTGGAAATGCAAGATGGCTGCCAGGTGGACCCATAGGGAGCATGGGGAGAGACCTGAGCACAAATGGGTCTGCAAGTAGGAGAGGATGTGCTCTCTGGAGGGGTGAGGGGGGCAAGTCCCTACACCTCAGTGAACATGGAGAATGCCTTCCAGTTTGCCAGATAGGACTTGCGGGTGGAGGGTGTTAGTGCGGCATGGAGAATGGAGGCAACCAATGGTGGGAAAAGCTGTAGGGGTCTGTCACCTGGCAATCCTCCAAGTGGTCAGGCACAGAGTCCTGATGTCGGGGTATAGCACTGAGCCCCCGACCTGGGACAGGAGGGTGGGTCACAGCAGCAGACAGAGGAAGGTGTGGCTGGAGATGCGAAGCAGGAGTGGGAGCCACAGCTGCGTCAGCCAGTAGGCAGTCCGTCTTGTCCCTGTGGATCTTAGCGACGACCCTGGTGATCAGGGGGACAGGGGGAAGGCATACAATAAGGTCCCTTCCCACTTCAGGAGTAAAGTGTCTGCCAGGGATGCAGTCCCTCGGCCTGCCCTGGAGCAGAACTGCTTGCACTTGGTGTTGTGGGGAGTGGCAAAGAGGTCCACCTGGGGATGGCCCCATCTCTCACATAGTCTGCGGAACAGGGAGGCCTCCAGTTCCCATTCGTGTGGGCCAGTGGCGGAGCAGTTCAGGGTGCCTGCCAGGGTGTTGAGGTGGCCCACAACATGGATGGTGGGGGTGTTAATGCCCTTCTCTAGGCACCGTTCCCAGATGGTGGACAGGAGACAGGTGAGGGGAGAAAGTTCTGCCTTGTCTGTTCAGATAGTACATGATGGTGGTGTTGTCTGTGGCTATCTGAACATGCCATCCTGTCAGGGAGTTTTGGAAGGAAGCAAGGGCTTTGCACACTGCCAGCATCATGAGGAGATTGATGTGGAGATGCAATTTGTGTGGGACTCCGAAGCCCTGTGCGCGCATATCTGCACAGTGGGTACCTCAGTTGTGTCTGTCATGGAGGGCTCTGGAGGGAAGAATGGGACCCTGGTGGTAAGATTGTTGATGTTGCCCCACCAAGGGGGGGGAGTATCTGACCACCAGAGGGGGGTCAGAATGATGGCACTGGGGTCTTCATCCATGGCAAAGGCTTCTATGAACCAAAGCTGGAGGGGCCTCATTCAGAGCCGTGCAAGTTGAAGCACTGACCTGGCGGTGGCCATGAGGCCTAGGAGTCTTTGGATGGTGTGGGCAGTGGAATGTGCTGTGGTCCTGATGGATGCGGCCAGCAGCTGGACTTAAGGGAGTTCCTTGCTACCTGCGTGGCTTGTGGGGAATGAACTCCATGTGCCTTGCAGTGGTGCGGGCCTTATGGGGAGAGCCCATGCTATCATCTATGCAGGCATTAAAGAGGCCCTCCCCGTCAAAAGGCAAGTCCTCAGTGCAGGCCCACGTCTCCAGGGGGAGGCCCGCTGACCATAGCCAAGTGTGGTGGCAGATCACCACTGCTGCCATCATTGCCTTGCAATTGGAGTTGACCTGCTGTCTGGCTGCTTCATTCTGGCACCTGGCTGGCTTTGCTGCCTCAGTCTGGAGGCACCGCGGAGGCAACCAGGTAAGTGCTCCGCCATAGATCCCATCTTTTCCCAAAAGAAGAGCTAGTAACTGGCCACTGTGGCCACATAGTTGGAGATGTGCATTCCCAGGTAAGAGGCTGCAAGTCCCTTCTTAGCTAGGCCATCAAGGCGGCCTCCCTCCTTGTCCACTGGTATGGACTGGTCTCTCTGGGAGGTTGCACGCAGGCAGGGAGGCCCTGGGCGGTGCGTAGGCGAGATCGTCCAGGAACTCTGGTGTTGGGACCTTGGGTGTCTGGTCCAGGGGGACCCCAAGGTCTGGCGTGCACAGGCAACCCTCATGGGGTGAGTTGGCACACGGAGAGGTGGCAGACTTGGAGGTTCAGTGCTTTTGGCACGTGGGCGCAGTTGTAGGCTCAGGTGGGCCATCTGCGTTTGCGGCAGAGGCAGAAGAGGGGGCAGTGGCAGCGACAGCCCTCTTCCTGGAGCATTTGGCTCACTGGGCGGATTCCTCAGTGGAGGGCAGCATTTTGGGCTCTGATTTAGAGGAATCTGCCACACTCAGGATGCACTTCTACAGGGCAAATTTCAGGTGCTCTCCCCATTGCTGGCGGGTTTGCTTTTCCAAAGCCTGGCAATGCGGCATGTCTCCCTCATGTGCTCCTCCCCATGGCAGAGGAGGCAACAGGAGTGGCCATCCGTGTCAAGCAAGTGAGTGGTGCACAAAGCACAACAGTGAAAGGATGGGTCGGCCATACGGAGGTGAGAGAGAGAGGAGAGAGAGAGACAAGTGGATGGAGAGAAGAGTAAGATTAAGTCTCCTTCCTCACAGGTTGGAGAGAGCGCGACGAGGAAACCTCGGGGCAAGGCTGAGGTGGTAGCCAAAAAGGTAGGAAAAAATATATGTTTTAGAAAGAAAAGGGAGAATTTTTTTTTTAAGAGAAGAAAGTAAAAGAAAATAGGAAGAAAACATGGGAGCTGGAGCAAGATCCAATCAGTGATGTGGCTGCAAGTGTAGCTGAAAAGGAACTGAGTGAGAGGGAGCCTCCCCCTTTTATCTGGGCCCCTGGAAGGGGCAGGAGGGGGCCCACCCACTCCATGACGCTGAGCTATGGAAGTTTCCTTCCGATCTAGGCCTTGCACTCTGCGGCGAAGCCCGCATGCGTGATGCACAGAGCCCACGAAAAAGAGCACATGCTAAACAACCCACACTGTGTAGCACATTCACGAGATGTCTTTAACTGGCTGACTCATGTGTTATGCTATACACTCTGAAAACGCTGTACACAATGTCTTTGATGGATACCTACATACTTGGTCCCACTTGGTTCTCTGTCTGTGGCAACTGCAGAAAGATGTTCTCAGGATGTATTATATATTTCATATATTTAGCACTGAATGTCACACAGCCAATATCACAGCGACTGGGTTTCTTACATAGTAGTCTGAATACAAGTGATACCTGCTGGGAGAGTCAAATTGATATTCCTCATAATCCGGCAACACCAAAAGTGTTTTCCAAAAGACCTTTTCTTGTTTCATGGGAATGTTTTCCGCAACCAATGATGGCAGATCCAGTGGAGTCCATAATGCATCCCTAAGAGACACAAAATATCATTAAAATACATAATTCTATATTCTTTTTAGTCTTATTTAACATCTAATGTAATCCTATAGATAAGTGATGGCAAACCTTTTAGAGACCGAGTGCCCAAACTGCAACGCAGAACCCACTTATTTATCACAAAGTGCCAACGCTGCAATAAAACCTGAATACTGAGGTTTTAGTTTAGAAAAAAACAACTCACACATTAGGATCTTTTGTGTTAAAAGAAAAACACAACAACAGAGAGAAGGAGCCATGTTCACGTTCAGCGCCCCCAAGTCGAGGGATGCCGGGCTTGCTTGCACCCGGGTGTGCGCACTCCCCCCGCCCCAAAAACCAGCCACCGGGAAAGCCGCAGGAGCTTCGGCGGTGCTTCAAAGTTTACTGGAGGAGCAGAATGTGGGGGAAAGAGACCTAAACTAAAGGTGAGGAGAGGCTGCCGCTGATCCCTTCCATGTTTCCGTTGGGATCTTCCTCGAGGCACCCCCATGGTGTTGCCAAGCCCTGGTGAGTGGGGTAGGGTGGGGAGGGGGTCCCTGCCACACGCCCACTGCTCTTGCTTTGCAGCAGCTCCAGCCTCCACTTTTCCTTGTTTTTGCCTCCCGCCCCAGAAAGTGCCACCCCCCCTCTCTTCCTCCTCCTAGTTATAAAACATAACTAGTGTATTTTTAATACTAGTTAAAATGTAACTAATTCTAAACTAGTCAAATATAACCAACTCAGAATTTCAAAACAATGTCTGTATTATTATAGGCAGTATTCACAAAGTTTGTAGCGTCTGTGTTCATGTAGGTTTATTAAAACTCCAACATACCATAATAACTGCTGATAAAAATGCTGTACTTTCATTTGGTGGATTGTCTTGTTCCGCAACCACTGCAGCCTAGAAATAAATAAACTTTATTTATTTATTTGTTATACTGCCAAATAGCAATGTCAAATGCTTGGCCATGCAGAATTGCAAACATTAAGCCTCCCTATCTAGCTACCAAATGATGTTCTCTAATCTGCCAAGTCTGGAAGCAGAAAGGTATGATGGAATAGGTCCGTAACAAGGAGATTCTAAAGGCAACTTGAAAATGGTTATCTTTTTACAGATTTAAGATAAATAAAATTGTTACAATGCATTTATTTGTGTTGCAGCTTAAATATCTGAGAAAAAAACCCTAGGAGCACACCAATTAATAAGCAGAAAATGCAAAGTTTATTACAGTGAATTTCTGTTCTCTGATCCTCAAGGATGGCACCTCCTCCAACAGGCAATATCCAGTTCTAATTCTTTGCCTCTCTAGAAGGGGGAACCTTCCTGTATTCCAGATCAGAAAGTCAAAGCAAGGTCACCCCTTAACCCCTCTCTCTGAAACAAATCCATCCATACCTGGTCACCATAGTTAACAAACTGTAGCATGAACTGGGAACAAGGAACTGAACAGTATGGAAAGAACACACAGAAGACATGGAGAGAAAACCTCAAGACTGTGCCCCCACCCCTGCATACAGGACACTGATGGAAGCTATTACTGAAAAAACTGGCTGATCCTAGAAGCAAAGATGCAGGTAGTATGCTCTCTGTGACACTTAGAGAACAGAAATTCTGCATAAGAAAATTTTCTTTTTCTTTTGAGTTTTCTGTGGGGTGGGAGGTTACACATCAAGATATACCAGAGCAGTACAAAGAGATATGCGAGCTATCAAGGATCAGATTAATCCACCATACACCCTTCTGCAAGACCATATGGCTGAAGGAAACTGAGACAGAAGCAAATCTATCAGGCTGGGTCTAAGACTCAGGCCATTTGGATTCTAGTCCCTGATCAGCCATGGAGCCAACTGGGTTATGGGCAAGTCACAGACTCTACTCACAGGGCTGTTATTATGGGAATAAAACTGAGTGCAGGAGTAAGAGAATGATGTCAGCTGCTTTGAGTTCTTTAAAAAAGAAAACAGAGAAACAGAGCGAGTCAGAAGGGGCCTCCTGGCCTATCTAGTCTGACCCCCGGCTCCAGCTGGCTCCACTCACGACATGCCCACCATCTGCATGTCTAGCCTATCTTTGAACTCCCTCACCGATGGGGCTTCAACCATCTTGCATGGAAGCCCATTCCATACCCTGGGGGTCCTAACTGTCAGGAATTACTTCCTGGCATCAAAATTGAACCTTGGTTCCCTGAGCTTCACTGGAACGCATCCTGCCCTCCTCTGCTCTGTATCTTTTTATGGTGGTAAAAATGCAATACAAAAATATTTAACCTTAAAGGCCCAGGCCCCTTTTGCCTAACAAGTCTTAGCCAGCATTGGAGTGCAACCCCCAAGAACTTCTCCAAAACTGCATTCAGCTCTTGGGCTGGAAGCGGTGCCCCACATCTCTTTTGTAACATAACAAGTGGCCACTGAGAGAGTAAGTACTTACCTAAGGCAGGATGTGCCAAGTCTCCCCGCATGTCCCAAGTTTACAATCCTTTTAGCAAGATGCTTTCTAGTGATAGGGCACTCTGCACTAGGTGACAGTGCTTTCAGCTTGTCTTTTGGGTCTACAAAACATGGAGCTGCTGGGAATGCTCTCATCTGACGCATCAATTTCTTTCGGGCTGTAACAGCTTCCCTCCATCTTTAAGAGAATATACCATTGCATTAAAAACTACTGGTAAAGCACACAATCATCTTAACTTCCCTTGCATTAACATTTCATTACAATTTTCTGTACCTGCTTTGGCTCCGAGCTTTTCATTAGTTCCATTTAGGGATCCCATGTTCCCTGCTCTGTCCAGTTATTGAGAAGGAACAGAAAGAGTATACTGCAGGCTTTTACAAATCTAATTTGGCATCTCACTAAGGAGAAATGCTTCAGCCCTCTAATGAAAGCATCCAGTAGCACACATATACCTCCACCTGAGCTCTCATTTGCAATGCATATTGGGGAATATAAGAAATAGTTAATATCTTACCTATACCACTTGTCCAATCCTCACCTCTTCTCTCCCTCTCTTAAGAGTGTTTGGGAAAGAGGTGGGATTTGTCCTGTGGTTTGGAGGCAACACCTTTTTGTGACATTTCTCATGGTTTCCCAAAGTCACACAACTCTCCCCAATCCCTCTGTTTGTGCCTAAGGAGTTGGTGGGAGGGATTGGTGGCAAGCACAAATGTGGGGTGCTTAAGCCAAGTCATTGATTTGTGGAACCTAATTTGAATTCAGAAAAGTATAGTTTGTGCATTCTGAGAATGTTTAAGTTTTGCCCAATGTGGTTCTGAAAGTTCATTTTGGTACCACTTTGACTTAAAGGAGAGAAGGTGGAACTGAAGCTACTATCATGCCATTGAAGTCTCATGCCCTGAGCTCTTTGAGCAAAATGTTCTAGTTCCAAACAAAAATCAAAATATAAATCATGAAAGAGCCCAAAAGCCACATAACTTAAGTTCTCAGACTAACCTTCCTCTCATGCAGAATGAAAATGTAGAAATGCAGAAAAAGACTGTACTGGGCTGTAAAGGGCTGCTTTATGGAAGAGTGCAGTACAGATGTGATGATGCCATCAAGACTATGTCATTCTGATGTAATGGTTGTGGAAAAGTTTCATTTCACCCACCGTTTTAAGTATTTGCAGAAGCACTGGAGTTCCTGCAGGGTCTCCTTAGCAATCTGGAAAATCTCATCTTCCAGAAATGCATCCATTATGTCAGCACAGATTTCCTTTGAACAACGAGCAATGCGTGCTTTTTGATCCTTCTCCACAGCACACCTAGGACAAAACATTTCCATAGACATTTCCAAAAAGAAAAAGGAAGACACACATTCGGAATGATAAATTAAAATGGGAATCTCATGATTTCTGTCAAGCAATCTTTTTCTGTTTTGCTTAACACCCTAAGGCAGCCTTCCCCAACCTGGTGCCTTCCAGAAATGTTTGGACTGCACCACCCACAATTCTGAGTCAATGATCCTGTTGGATGGGAATTCTGGGAGCTGAAGTCCAAAAGCCTTGGAAAGCCAGCAAGTTGAGGAAGGCTGCCTTAAGGAGCAATTCAAAAGCTTTGCAGGAGTTGCGCCATATGAAGCATTATGTTGCTAAGAAGCATAGGCATGGATTAAACAAGATTTCTTGTCTTCTGCATCCAGAGAAGCACCAGATGAATAAAAAAATCTAGAATCATAGCATAAAATAGTTGGAAGGGGCTTATGAGGCCATCAAGGCCATCCCCTTACTCAAAGCAGATGAGCTGAATGGATCCATAACTCTCTATGTGCAGACTGAAACATAGCTCTTCATCCAATTTTGTACTTCTTGGAATGCGCATTTTGAAATAAATGCATATACAAAAGCAGTGTTTGTGCAAAGTTTTGAACATTGCAGATTGATGAAGAAACAGGATTGAACAGAATTATTTATAACATTTATATACCACTCAATTGCCACACTCTCTAGGCAGTCCACAATAGTGAATGTGTGTAAACATTGTCCATCCCTATTTACAGAAATATGAATGTTACTGAACATAATAGTGTATCATTTTAAAATGAAATTCAAAATAAAGTTGGCAGCTTTTCTCTGCTTTTAATATTTCTGGGTTAAAATCTATTTAACCACATGTTTTAAAATACACATATATTAATTTACTTTGATGCAAAACATGTCTCAAATATTTATAACAGTAAAACTGAATCAAGTCACAGACTATATAGAGAGATGGGCTGAAAATCTGAGAATTAAAATATCTAAGTAGCAGAGATATGTACTGAATTTGGCAAAAGCATGAGCAGAATTGAGCCCCTTTGGACTGATTGTGTTACTTGCTCTGGTGACTCCAAAGCTACCTGAAAAGTGAATGGAAACCAAGCCAAACCCTACATGAGCCTTCGTTCACAAAAGTGGGGAAAATGATGACTACCAAAACAGTTGAGCAAACATAAAATGTGTTCAAGAAAAGATCTTAGGATATACTGTATATATTAGAAGGAATACTTTAACACTTTAATTGTTACTTCTAATATATATTGATGACTGCATATCAAAGAACTGATCATGATTTATTGAAGAATATTGGAAATGGTAAAAATATTCATTATGGGAAGAAAAAATAAAGTAGGGGTATCTGGAGTTCTGGAATGAGTTGCTATTGTTATGCTAATAGCATGTAGCTCTACTTCACTTTTTCATCTGTAGCAAGTGAGGCTGTGGATATATTAACCCACTGGTTGGGTGTGGCAATGGGCTGGATAAGTGCTAACAAAATGAGGCTCAGTCCAGACAAGACTGAGATGCTGTTGGTGCATGATTCCTCCGACCAGATGGAGGGTGATGAGCCTGTAGTGGGTAGTCCTCTTTGAGTCACCTTTCTCATTTGAGGCTCAAGCGGCCTCAGTGGCATGGAATGCCTTTTAGCAGTTTTAGCTGGTGGCCCAGCTACACCCCTATCTTAACTGGGATAGTCTAGGTTCAGTAATGTACACTTTGGTACTCTATACCAAAGTGTCTATACATTACCACAATACTGCAATGCACTTTTTATGGCACTTTGCACCTTCAAAGCCTGTTCGAAACACATCAACAGACAAGTAACTACGATCAGACAGTCAGAACATAACACCAATACTGGCCTGCATGCACTGGCTGCCTGTATGCTTCTCAGTCAAATACAATGTCTTGGTTTTAACCTGTAAAAGCCTTTAATATCTTTGAACTGAAAGATGCCACAGTGTAGCATCTAGGCAGAGAACCTTCTCAGCTGCAGCTTCACAACTGTGGAATGATCTCCCCATTGTGGCCCATCTGATGCCAACTTTATCATTCTTTTGGTGACAGGTTAAGATGGCCTATAATTTAAGGACATTTGAGCATTCTGGTTTGATGGTGCACCCAAGTCAGTTTTGTGTTAAATACTGTTTTCCTTCTTTCCAATTGTTATAATATTTTAAAAATCTGTATTATGGAAAACGTATGTTTTCTTTATTGTAACCCCCATCCCCAGACAGCTATTGAGCTATTGGGCAATACAGAGGTTAAATAAATATATAAAATGTGAGCATATATGACAGAGGTCCTCAAACTTTTTCAATAGGGGGCAGATGAAAGGCGGTGGCGACTGGCGCGGGGCAGTGAGGTGGGGGTGCCTGGGCTGGTGAGTCAGCGTCGGGCATGCGCGAGGCAGTGTCAGGTGCGCGCAGGCCGCTCGCTCGCTCACTCGGAGATCTCCCAGCGAGTCCAAAACCATCTCCGAGCAAACAAGCCACTGCCTCCCCGCCCGCACAGCGAGGCAGCGAGCGTGTGGGCAGGTGGCGGTGCGGGCCAGATAAATGGGCATGGCAGGGGCTGGATCTGTCCCACGGGCCGTAGTTTGAGGACCCATGACATATGATGATGGCAAAATCAGTTATATTCAGATACACTCAGATTATTTTATTTAGAAGTTGACACCTGTTTTTCAAAAGTTAATCAAGAGTCTGTGTCTCTCTCTCTCCCTCTCTCTCTCTCTCTCTCTCTCTCTCTCTCTCTCTCTCTCTCTCTCACACACACACACACACACACACACGTATTTCAATGTGTTCATAATCATAAAAAACAAAGACATTACAATCATCCAATAAGAAAAATATTTTGTTATTTACTTTAGCTCTTGCACTGAAATCTCTTTCATCATTTCCTTTACTACTACTTCTTTCAATTCTTCACCCAGAGATTCACTCAACCTTTTTACTAAGTTTTGTTTTTCTTGTTTCTTCCTACAGAGAGGAGAAAAATAGCATATATAGACAGATGAAATGACAATTGGAATATACTTCTTAAAAAAAAACCCATCTTAAGGAAATTTTGCTATACAAAAGAGGCAACTTCAAGATCACTTCATTAAGTGTATTATAAGGAAAATTATGAGGATACATTCCATTAGACTACTGCGTTAGTTCTTTTGATTTTTTTTCTTTTTAAAAATAGAAACAAATAAACTGCAACATACAGTTAAAATAATTCTTAAAACAGTACCCCCCACCACCAGGACCAATGATACATGCTAAAATCAGAAAAAACTCATTCAAATATTTCAGGACATCCCCCACATCCAAAACTGAAATGATTCTTTTGAAGGCTTGAATAATTTCCCCTTTTTAAAAGCATACCCAATAAATACACCCCAAATATCATTAAACTTATTTTTCTTTATATGCCCTTTTCTCACTTTACACTCACATGTTAATTTGTAATTAATAGCTATATTGCAATAATATACCAATCAGACAACTGGTAATCATATTTTATTTTCCAATGCTTAGTTATAATTAATCTTGTTGCAGTTATTAAATGTGTTATTAATTCTTTAGTATTACAGCTCCATTGTTTTGATCAAATATTGAGAATAATGCAATTTCAGGGCATATATCTAGCATCCATATATGCCCGCCCACCCCCTGAGAGCTGCGGGAGAGGCCTTTCTCCGGGAACCCTCCGTGAAGGAAATTAGGAGGGTGAGTACTCGGAGGAGGGCTTTCTCTGCAGTGGCGCCCAATCTATGGAATGCGCTCCCCAGAGAGGTCCGCCTGGCGCCGTCGTTATTTGTTTTTCAGCGCCAGGCGAAGACCTTTTTATTCAAATGTCATTTTAACTGTTAATAGTATTTATTTATTTTATTCTTTGGCCAGGGAGACTTAATTTATACTGTTAATTTATATTATTTTAATTGAAGTTATTTATGTTTGTGTGCCGCCCCGAGGCTTCGGTGAATGGGCGGCATAGAAATTTTCTAAATAAATAAATAAATAAATAAATATTTAAACTCAGTATTTTACTACACCCTTTAAAAACCTCTTTCCAAAATTTCATTATATATTCACATTCCAGTTAGTGGGATGCACCCTCCACACACCCCACGGACCAGCAGGAAATTTCGGGCAGAGCAGTGCTGGTCCGCAAACCAATTGTTGAAAACCACTGATCTACATGATTCAACATCACTAGAGTTAAAACCACTTCCACAGAATCTTGTTTAAAATGTCCTTTATTCTTAGTGACATACATTTTAATATCCTCATCCAAATATTTTCAATTTTCCTAATATTCTTTCTCAAATTTGTTTCCCACATTGCTTTAAATGAATAACAGTGATCCTGCTCTTCTAATAATATCTTATAAAATTTCCTTTTCATCTGCATATTCTCTTGTTTTTCCTTTTCTACAATCGTATCTTCAAACTTTGTATACTCCCTACATCTACCTCTTTTCCTTATCCATTCTCTTGCCCAACCTTCTAATTGAATCATACTGTACCAAATTATTTTCTCTTTGCTCAATATTAATTTTATCTCTGCATTTTTATTGATTTTTTCTAACCAATCTTTTAATCTAACCATTTGTTTATTCCTTAATATTTTCCCTAATCTCCCTCATTACATGGAAGGAGATTACATTTAATGGAAACCCCCACTAGTTCAGTAATTGGACATAATGTTGAAACTGATAACATAACTTTTTCCTTCAGTTTGTTCCAAATTTGTAATATATTTTTAAGGAAAGGATTTTCTACCTTTTTATAATATTTCTGTTCCATATTTAAAAATAATATTTATCAGGGATCCTTCTAATTTTGAAGGTTCTAACCATATTAACCTATTGGGTTGTAGTATAATAGTATATGCCTCGATTAGCTATCTAATATAACTTAACATTATGGATACCCAATTCCCCTATCTTTTGTGACCTTTCTTTTTTTAACCCCATTACAAAACTTACTAAACATTAATAATAATTAATCAGCCCACCTCTGACAAGAGGCACAACATGGAAAGATACCTTAGACTGAGACAGACTTTTTGTTCATCTAATTCAGCATACTAATTGGCATTGACTGTCTGTCCAAGATTTCAAAAAGGAATCTTTACCAGCCCTCCCTGGAGATGAAAGGGACTGAACACATGCTTTCAGTCCACTGAGCTATAGCCCCTTCCTAGTCAAAGCCCTCTGACTACAGGAATGTGTGTTGAGACAATGTATTACAGAAACTTATATGTCATGTGGTTCAGCCCTGGATGAACACTTTGAGAAGCCATGACCTTGGTGTGTGAAAGGAGTGTAAAGATGAATACAAGTAGGGCCCATATAAACACGGGTCAAACATGCGACATGGGTGGCACAGCTACAGGGCGCAGCAGCACCATCAGGCAAGGCTAGCTCATGAAGCACATTCCCCCTCCCCCATTTTAAATGAACAGGACTGGAAACTGTCTGATCCAATCTACAGTTACGGCTGACTAACTTAGTTAAACCAGTATTGCGACTCCTTCCACTTAACATTTTTTAGTCTCATACAAATACTAAAGAAGGTTTACCTCTCTTCTTCAACCTGACGTTTTTGCTCTTCAAATCTTTCTTTTTCTGCATTGATTACAACAGATGCAGTTTCCTTCAAAATGCCGACCATCACTTCTGCCATGAGCTCATCTGCAGCGGCATCAGATAGCCTTCATAAAGAAAAAAACCCACTGTGAACATTTGACTGAAATAGTATGTTACACATTCAAAAAGCCATCAGAATTTCTCCTGTTTTCACAAGGATGTTTTTCACACCTACATGACGCCGCACTGCCCACTGAAAGGGAAAGCACAACATGAGGGGGAGCCATGAGGGCATACTCGCCGCAGCCATGGACACACAGGTAAACTGCTTAGATCTATCATTTTTTATTTATGCTGAATGGGAAGAATGCTAATTACTTTTCTCCAAGACTCTGAGTCCAACAGTTGTCGCCAAGTCAATTCCATACTTAAAAGCACAACAAGCTAGGTCAAGTAGTAGATTTTTATCTGAAAACAGATGCTCTTTCACAGAGGGAAAAGAGAGGGAGATCCAAGACCTTCTAGCAGCCACCCTACTAACACTCTTCCATCCTCAATTTTACCATCAGCAGCCATTACAACAAGCTATATTGAGGAAGATGAGAGGGAAATAGATCCGTTCCATCAGCCCTGAATTAGTTTCTGCCCTCCTTCCCTCTTCATTCCTTTTTCCTTATGTACTCCTATCATGACTTTTTGGATTATAAACCTGTAGGCAGAAACTGTTTTGTTGAATTAAGTATAAAAGGGTAGATGGAGGAGGTATTCAGTGGGCTACATGCATCAGCTTTCCCAAATTTATTTTTAGAAGCATTTTTTTTCCCCAAAAAAAGGCATCCGTAGATGCTAGAGTATCAAAATGATAAAAGTTGGCTTGGTTCCTAAACTAATTTGGGATGCCAATTTTCTCTTTTTTTTCTTCTTTTTGTTTTTTTCTGGTACTCAAGGGGCTACAGACTTCATGAAGTTGCCTATCTCTGGCATATAGGAAACTTGGCAGATATGAGCCTTGTATTCTATAAATAATGATGATGATCTCATTAGAAGATCACTTAATAGGATAAACTCTCAAAATGTGGATGTAAGTGAACAGACATGCCATTACTGGTGTAAGTGCTCTGATGAAAAATGAAACCCAGAAAAAGAGGGTTCTGTACTGATACAGGTATTCCTATTAAAAAAAACCCTCAAGAAATGTCAATGTTTCTGTATGGCCAAAATATGTACGTAAGATGTGATCAAGTCTACAGAGGCAATGAAAACTTCTTGGTATAAAACTAAGTATAAAGCCATCTGCAGTGATCTTGGAGCCCAGGAAAATAAAATCTGTCACTACCTGCATTTCTTCCCCATCTATTTGCCAGGAAGCGAGAGGACCAGATGCCATGATCTTAGTTTTCTTAATATTGAGTTTCAAGCCAACTTGTGCGCTCTCCTCCTTCACCCGCACCAAGAGGCTCTTTAGTTCCTCTTCACTTTCTGCCATGAGAGTGGGATCATCTGCATATCTGAGGTTGTTGATATTTCTCCATGCAATCTTAGTTCCAACTTGTGATTCATTTAGCCCCACCTTTCTTATGATGTGCTCTGCATATAAGTTAAATTGGCAGGGCGACAGTATACAGTCTTGCCAAACTCCTTTCTCAATTGTGAACCAATCAGTAGTTCCATGTCCAGTTCTCACTGTTGCTTCTTGACCCACTTACAGGTTTCTCAAGAGAAAAACAAGATGGTCTGGTACTCCCATCTCTTTAAGAACTTGCCACAATTTGTTGTGATCCACACAATCAAAGGCTTTAGCATAGTCAATGAAGCAGAAGTAGATGTTTTTCTGGAACTCCCTAGCTTTCTCCATGATCCGGCATATGTTAGCAATTTGATCTCTAGTTTCTCTGCCTCTTTGAAACCCTGCCTATACTCCTGGTAGTTCTCAGTCCACATACTGCTGGAGCCTAGCTTGTAGGATTTTGAGCATAACTTTTGCTAGCATGTGAAATGAGTGCAATGGCGCGGTAGTTCAAACATTCTTTGGCGTTGCCACAGACAGCTCCTGGTCTTGTTTTTACTGGCTGTATAGAGCTTCTCCATCTTTGGCTGCAGAGCACATAGTCAATCTGATTTCTGTGTTGACCATCTGGTGATGTCCATGTGTAGAGTCATCTCTTGGGTTGTTGGAAAAGAGTGTTTGCTATGACCATCGTATTCTTTTGACAAAGTTCTACCAGGCTGTGCCCTGCTTCATTTTGTACTCCAACACCAAACTTGCCTATTATTCCGGTTATCTTTTGGCTTCCTACTTTAGCATTCCAATACCCCATGATGATACGGACATCATTTTTAGTGTTATTTCTAGAAGGTGTTGTAGGCCTGCATAGAACCGGTCAACTTCAGCCTCTTCAGCACCAGTGGTTGGGGCATAGACTTGGACTACTGTGATGTTGAATGGTTTGCCTTGGATTCGAATGGAGATCATTCTGTCATTTTGGAGATTGTATCCCAGTACTGCTTTTCCTTCTCTTTTATTGACTATGAAGGCTACTCCATTTCTTCTGGGGGATTCTTGCCCGCAGTTGTATAACTGATGGTTATCAGAATTAAATTCACCCATTCCTGTTCATTTTAGTTTACTGATTCCTAAGATGTCGATGTTCAGTCTTGTCATCTCATGTTTGACCATGTCCAGCTTACCTTGATTCATGGATCTTACATTCCAGGTTCCTATGGAGTATAGATCTTTACAGCATTGGACTTTCCTTTTGCCACCAGATACATCCACAACTGAGTGTCCTTTCACTTCATTCTTTCTGGAGCTACTAGTACTAGCCCTCTACTCTTCCCCAGTAGCACATTGGACACCTTCCGGCGTCATATTGTTTTGCCCTTTAGAACAGTCCATGGGCTTTTCATGCAAGGGTACTGGAGTGGGTTGCCATTTCCTTCTCCAGTGGATCACCTTTTGTCTGTGCTCTCTGCTATGACCTGTCCGTCTTGGGTGCCCCTGCATGGCATAGCTCATAGCTGTATTGTGCTACACAAGCCCCTTCGTCATGGCAAGGCAGTGATCCATGAAGGGGATTTTAGGTTTGTGCAAACCATGATTTAAATGTTACAGTCTTTCCTGAAATCTTAAAAAAATAGATAAATTCATGATAAAATTTAGCTGCTGAATGCATCTAGAAATCCATCCCTGTTAGGAAAGACTCACAAAAAGGCAGCCACTTCCAAAGAGGTAAAGGTTCAAGGGTCTTTCATGTGCAAACATTTACTGGCATTAAGAGAACCTCTTCCAAAGGCAATTGCACCTTTACATTCTCCCTTTGCTGGACCTATGGCCTGACAGGTATGGGAAGAAATACACTGAAGTTGCAGAAGCACTGAAGGCAATTGTGAAGTGCTCCATTCTTTACCTTTCTTTATGTTAGGAAGACCTAAGGGATAAATGAAGAGGCCACTCTAAATTTCTGCAGTAATGATGCTACTGTGACTGGGTTTCAGCCAAAAAAATCCCTCTCCCTTTTGCAGCTATCTAGAAGGAGAGAAAAGAGAGAAATGAGAGAAAAGAAAGAAAAAAAGAAAAGAAGAATTGCTCAGGAAGAGTGAAGAGGACCTGCTCTACTTGAAGGTTAAGTCAGAACTGAACAGAGGAGGACCTTCCTCCTGAAAAGAGATATGAAACCTGTTGGCCTTAACTGTGAATGGAAGATGGATTAAGTATTCCCTCTCTGTTCTCTTGCCCCATTAAGACAAAAGTAGGGACCAATGCAATAGCACCAAATTTCTCTACAGCTGCAGCTGCTTTTTCTAGTTATTTAAAACTCACTTTTTGAGAAACTCCAGGTAATATTTTACAATTTAATCAGAGAATGTGCACTGAACTACTTCTGTCAACAATGTTAAACTTTAAATGAAAAAGAGCCAAATGTAACCTTAAGGCAAAGGTAGAGCAACATAAATATAACAAATAATCAACAATTGCTTCCAAACTGTAATTAAATAAAACTAAGAGAAGACGTAGTGACTTTACCATATTGCTGACTGAACATAGGCTGCACCTGCATTGCTGATTTCTCTGCATTCTCCTTCCAGCACATCCTCCACAAGATCTTCAACCACTTCTGCAACATCCTAGGAGCAAGGGAAAAAAATTAAGAATTAACATTTAACACTGAAAAACTTCTCTGCTGTACTTAGTAAGAGTACCCAATGTACTTGTAATGGCATAGCACATTGTTACTGGTTTTTCGGCGCCAGGTAAAGACCTTTTTATTTAAACATCATTTTAATTGTTAAAACATATGATCTGGCCAGGGCAACTTCTTCTTCCTTCTCTTTTCTCCTCCTATATTTTTATTTACTTATTTTATACTGATAATTTTAATTTTATATTTATAACTCAATGTATTTTTTGTATTTTTGTATTTAATGGTAATTTATTATGTTCTATTGTATTTCAATGTATTTTATTGTGTTGTAAGCCGCCCCGAGGTTTCGGCAAGGGGTGGCATAGAAATGTTATAATAATAAAAATAATAATAATAATAATAATAATTGCTTAATATTAAAATTAAAGAAACTGGATGGAATAATTATTTACTACACATTCCTCAGTAACATGAGACCTCCAACTTACTCTTTCATGTAGCAAGTGAAACCTAATCAGAGGTCCACACATACACTCACAATATTGTTTCTTCATTTTCATTTCTATAGTGCCCAATAGCCAAAGCTCTCTGGGCAGTTTACAATTGTATCAATGCATTTGGTTTCTTTTTCCTAGGTGGAGAACTTGGCACTTGTCCTTACTGAATTTCATTCTGATGCTTTCAGCCCAGTGTTCAAGTTAATCAAGATTGTCCTGGATCTTCATTCTGTCTTCCAGGGTGTGTGGTATTCCACCCAGTTTTGTATCACCTGCAAATTTGATTATCTTGCCTTGTACTTCCACATCCAAATCATTAATAAAGATGTTGAAGAGCACTGGACCCAGGGCTGAACCCTGTGGCACCCTGCTAGTTACCTCCACCCAATTTGAGAAGGTGCCATTGATGAGCACTCTTTGTGACCAATTTAGCAGCCAAGTTTGGATCCACCTAATAGTTTTACCATCTAGTCCAGTTCTTGCCAATTTGCTTATCAGAATGTTGTTTGGCACTATGTCAAGGGCTTTGCTAAAGTCTAGGTAGATTATGTCCACAGTGTTCCCTTTGTCCATTTGGGAGGCTCCCCAGCCAAAAAATAGAATTAAATTAGCCTGACAGGATTCAATTTTGATAAATCTATATTGGCTTCTGCTAAGCACTGCATTTTCTTCAAGATGCTTGCAGATGTACTTTTTAATGTTCCAGAATTTTTCCAGGGATTGATGTCAGACTAACTTGTCTACAGTTCCCAGGTTCATCTTTCTTTCTCTTTTTGACGAGAGAGACAACGTTAGCCCTTCTCCAGTTGTCTGACCCTTTCCAAGATTTATCAAAGATAATAGCCAATGCTGGGAGTTCCTCTGCTTGCTCTTTTATGACTCTGGGATGGAATTCATTGGGCCCTGGAGATTTCAAAGTATTTATTCCATCTAGGTAGTTTTTGACCATTTTTCTGTCAATCTTGGGCTGCCATCTCTCACTTTTCATTCAGCGTGAAGTGACTACAACACACTGGAATTCTACATTTTAAAGGAAGCAGAATTTGAGTGTAACCATACATGTAACTCTGGATTTTGGGAAAACTGATTTGAATGGACTCAGAACACTGATAACTAAGGTCCTGTGGCAAGTGACCCTCAGAAAAAAAGGAGTCCTTGATGAGTGAGAGGTTCTGGAAAAGAAAATTTTAAAGGCATGATTACAAGCAATTTCAACAATACAAAAGATAGCAGACAACAGAAAAAACCAGTGTTGCTCCAGAAAAGGCTTAGAGATGATCTGAACACAAAAAAGGACATATAGCAAGTGGAAAGAAAGACAGGTGATAAAAGAAGAACACAGACAGGTGGCGCAGAAGTGCAGAAATGACATCAGAAAGGCTAACCCTGAGAAAGGCAGGTTGCTTCCCTGTAACTGTTATTCTCTGAGTGGTCATCTTTGCATTCATACATATGGGTGCTGCACCTGCACAGTGCCTGTATTCAGGAAGATTCTCTCAGCTACTAACATTTTTGGTGGGAACTCCGCTCCCCCACCCCCTCGTATAAAAGTGTGGAGTCCCCACCCTCTTGCCAGCTGGAGACTGCCCATTCACTCCTAACTGGTATTGGCATGATAGGTAGAACAAGATAGAAATTACATTACACCATATGAACCCAGTCACCAACATCGATGTGGCCAATGGGTGGGTTGCTTGAATGCACAGATGACCACTCGAAGAACAACAGTTACAGCTAAGCAACCTGCCTTTCTTTGTTGTGGTCTCTGTGCATCACACATATGGGCGACTAGTAAGCTTACCAAACTTGGAGGCAGGACAGGGTTGTTATTGAAGGACAGTCAAAAGGACAGCAAGACCAAAGAAGCAGTCCATTCTAGTCTTTACATGAGGATGGCAATGCCTGACAAAGTCTTTTACTGGTATGCCTGCACATAAGGCTGACAAGGTGGCCACAGCTCTAGTTCCATGACCTCTTAGAAGGACTGTTAAGTACAATTTAGCGACTTAGTATTAAAGCTGTATGGTTTCAATGATGCTTTTCAACAAGTTTTGGGGTCCTATCGGTGTTCCTTTATCATGTTCAGGGTATTTGATGAACAGTCGCTTGGTTTTCCTGAACAGTTCAGTTTGGAACCGATAAAAGTTGAGTGACCTGCAGACATTGAGGATGTGAACTGACCGTTCAATCAGTGTTGACAGTGCTGGGAGGTATGCAAGTAGCATGTTATCTTGGTTGTGGTGGAACACTGTCACTAACTTTGGGAGGAAGGTTGGGTCCATGGGGAGGACCACCTTTTCTTCATGGAAATTCAGATATGGGGCGTTGACCCAAAGGATGCATAGCTCACTAGCTCTCCTGGAAGAAGTTGTAGCTACCAGGAAGGCCACCTGCCAAGCAGCCTTAAATTAATGGAGGCTAACAGTTCGAATGGAGGTTTTGTTAAGGCCTGCAGGAAAACTGACAGACTCCATGTTGGTACGATTGGTCGGATAGAAAGGTGTAGATTTTGGAGTCCTTGTAGGAACCAACGCGTTAGTTGGTGTGAGAACACAGAGAAACCTTCTATGTCCTCTATGGTACGATATGGCTGCAAGGTATACCTTGATGGACAAGGGTTTTAGCCCCCACTGGTATAGCAAGAGGAGGAATTATAAAATGTTCTCGATAGTTTCAGTTTCAGGTGAAAAGTTGTTACTGGTTGCAAAGCATGTAAAGCATTTCCATGTCAAGCCATACGATCATCGAGTATTTGGTCATAAAGCTGAATGTAAGATGTATTGAATGTCCAGATGCAGACTTGTCAGTACTGAGCTCGACACTGGTACTGAAGTCAGTGTCAGTACCGAAGTCATTGTATTAGCTACGCTGTCCATTTCAGTGTGTGTAGGTCTAGGTGTCGAATCCTGCCCTGTCGTTGAGTTGGCAGGTCTGGAATTTCCAGTAGGTAAATGTATGTTCCTCAAGACAGATGAAGCAGGGTCGAGAACTAAGCTTGGTGGGGCCACCACGGGATGATCAGTATGCCAGTGGTGTTGTCCTGTTCGATCTTCGCTAACGTCTTTGTTATTAATAGACTCAGAGGAAAGGCATGAAATGGAGCACGGTTCCATGGAACCAGGAATGTATCACCTACAGAGTCCTGTCCCACACCTGTCCTGGAGCAGTAGGTATTGCATACTTTGTTCTGATGGTTTGCAAACAGGTCTATCGAGGGTGTTCCCCACTGATCAAAGAGATGGTGAAAGATTTCTCAATCAAGTTTCCATTTATGTGTTGTGGACATGTAGCGGCTCAAGGAATTGGCTTCTTCGTTTTCAATGCTGGCCAAATGGACTGCTTGTATGACCATCCTGTGGTGTATACACCAGTTTCATAGATGAAGAGCAAGATGTGTAAGCAGAACCAATCTTGTCCCTCCCTGTTCGTTCATGTAGAACACGGTGAAGATGTTGCCTGTTGCTATCTGTATGGTCTTGCCCCTCAAGATGGATTCGAAGGAGCAGAGTTTTGAAAACTACCAGTAATTCTAGGTAGTTGATGTGTCTTGTTCTCTCCCGGCCATGCAAGATACCCTGAATTCAGTAGGATGCATAGTGGGCCCACCATTCAGTTCGAGAAGAGTCCATGTAGAGCATGGCAAATGGGTCTGGTGGCCGGAACGGCATCCCTTGGGTCAGGTTGGTTTCGACTAGCCACCAGGACAGTGTTCATAGTACTGAATGCAGAGGTCTAAGCAACCAGTACAGTGGATCATGTTTGTGATGGAAGATTCAACTGAACCATAACTGCAACGGTCTCATTCACTACCTCACATTTGAGACTACAGACACTGTGGACACCATATGTCTGAGAGTTTGCTGTATGGATCAAGTAGATTTCGTTCTTTTGGTGTGCAGTCTTAAGATGGAATCTGTCAGGAGCAGTAAAGTGTATGTAGTATTGATTGAGGTCAGCAGGTTCCTCCTAGAGGATGAGACTAACAGCCAATTGTCTAGGTATGTGCCATACACTTTGTGAACACTCTAGATGCCATAACAGGGAGTACAGAAGGGGTGTACATTGAATTTGTATGTGCCCGCACCGACTGTAAATCTTAAAAAGTGTCTATGTGCAGGATATATACTTATATGAAAGTAAGCATCTTTCAAGTCCAGAGATACAAACCAATCCTCTTTTTGTAGCAACAGGAGAATGTTTTGAAGTGTGGTCATTCTAAATTTTTTAGTTTTGACAGAGATTTACTCCATGCAGGTCTAGGATGGGGCGAATGCCTCTATCTGTCTTCAGTACCATGAAGTACATCAAGTGGAAACCGTGCTGTCTCTCTGAGTGGCCAGCCTTTTGAATCGCTCCCTTACGAAGGTATGTGCTTACTTCCTCTAGCAGGACTGGTGAAGCTGGTGTTTGTCGGACCGCTCCGAGAGGAGGTGCAGTTTCAAACTCAATTTTATATCTGTGCTCTATAATGGATAGAACCCACCAA